TGTTCAATCGTCACCTGACTCTCCAAAGAAGCACGATCAACCTTGATCACGTGAGACTACTCTGTAGGATCATAACAAAGAGAGAGAGAACTTCTAGCCTAAGTTCGAAGGAAAGTAAGCGGACGCTATAGTAGTACGGGCCTAGCCCGAGCCTTATATCTAAGGGCTTACCCTTTATATAAGGTCGATATATCTAGTATATAACTAAAGTCGTTAAAAGGTAAATTGGGAAGCTTAAACAATAATAGGAGATAGAAATATACGATAGGAACGGGATAGAAGAGTACCTTACTATATTATTACTATATTATAGAAAGGAAGGAGATAGAGATAGCTATCCTATAAAGATAAGATAGTTTACTTAGCTATACCTTAGGCTTACTCTTACTAACCCTCTAAACTACTAATTCTTAACAAAAGTAATTAAACCGGTAAGTAACTAGTATACTAAGCTAATTTAGCGCGGTTTTAGTAGTATAAGTATCTCTAACTTTATCTTTATAATCCTCTTCCCTAAAAACTCAACCTCTATTGCTTTACAAGTTACCTCTATTAGATTAGTCTTCTATCTTCTCTAGGTGGCAAAAGTCACGTGGCAAACGCCAAGAGACATTTGCCTAACGTAAGCCTCTATTTAACCACATCGCTCTTTAATACTATACCAACATCACCTTGCGTTGCGCACAATGCTCACTGTGTGACGGTCATGTCGTCGCATCAGCAAGCAATGCGTCCAGTGGGTGACTCGACTAACACATTCATAGAGTATTTACTACTGTTTAAGCATCACCATCACACCTTCCCGACAGGCTCAAGTACCCACTGTGCAACATTAGACTCAAGAGGTCCTATACATATAAATACATTACCTTGGCCACCACATACCACGACCGCACCTGCCAAAGAATACCACCTTTTACCTAAAAGCATAGTGTCACAGCCGCGTGTCAAACTGTCCGTGTGACCCTTGACCTCACTCCAGTCACTTCAACTTGGACTCCTTCACTTCCCATTGCTCACCTCACTCTACCTGCTCAGCTTGCTCAACTTCCTCAAACATCCGGCTGTCCACTCTACTCCAATCCAAGACAGAGAAGGCTCGCCCACCGACGATACTCACCTTCCCGTGTCCTGGAAGGAGTACACCACCGGCAAGCGAAGACATTGGAACCATGGCTGAAGCGAAAGTCAAACTCGAGCGTGACGACACGCCTATGACAGACGTCGATGACTGGACACTTGTGGACGTACCTGCCGTGGACCCAGCAACGACAAAGCTACAGATGGACCACATCAAGACTGAACGCGAAAGTCTTAAGCAAGTGTTGATCAAGAGCAAACAAACGAAAGGTTTCCCGAACCCCACGCAGGAGCAGTTGGGATTGCTCAAGCGACTGGACGACTTTTTGGTGTGGCTTGAATTGAAACTGCACATGACGCCAGAAGTGGAACGTGAGACCAAAGTTGGCAGCTTTGTCAACCAGGTCTATAACCCTATGCTGTGCCTGCCCCAAGCGTATGCCGCAAAAGTGGAAGCGCTACACAAGACGTGGCTGGCGTCCAATTGGGGGGAGGTTAAGAAAGAAGTCAAGAGGGAATCTGACTCTGATTCGGCGGTGGAAGGCAGCGAGTCCCCACCCAAGCGAGCTCGTGCTTCCGCCCCTGGATACACAACATCGCACCTCCCTCCCCCACAAGACCCTCTCTGGGGTCTCAACGGCATTATGCACGGCATCGCCATCAGGACCGGCGCGGACGGAAGAAGGAGCAACTTTACGGATCCACGTTACAAGAGAGAGAAGCGTGAAGCTAAAGTCTTCGGCCATAACGGCCTTGAGAATGGCGCTTGGTATCCATTTCGACTGAATGCGATCTTTCACGGAGCACACGGGGCTTCGCAAGCTGGAATCTCCGGCGATTTGCAAACAGGAGCCTATTCTATCGTAGTTTCCAATCTTTACCACGAGTTTGACGAAGATCTCGGTAACACCATAGTTTACTGTGGAGCTGGAGGCAACGACAACATCGATCCTAACAGAGCGGCGAAGTCTACGGGCACGGAGGCCTTGCGAGCATCCCGTCAGAATGGACAGAGCGTGCGGGTTCTGAGAACAGCGAGCGGACGTTCTGCTTGGGCACCGCGTGCCGGCCTTCGATATGATGGGCTCTATCGAGTTGTTTCTGTAAACAACACTCAGCGTAACCGCTTAGGCGGTATGGTCGAGACTTTCAAGTTGGTTCGATTGGACAATCAGCAGCCCATTGATCTATCACGACCAACGGCACAAGAAGTCAGGGACCTAGAACGCGTACCTTCGACGACGATTGGAGCAAGCTGGACTAGTAAAAGGGAGTAGACTATGTCGCCTGGACATGCAAAGTCGTTTGGAGGAAGGATGACAGTTTTGACAAGATAAGTGTCATTCTCGGGAGGAACAACACTTTATCAGTGGCAACACCTACTAGGGGGAGATCTTGTCGCCCAAAAACGTCATATCGAGCGGCGTTAGGGACATGCATTTATCAAGAATGATTGCCGTAGATCAAGGAGGATCAAGCAGGATACGTGGATGGTTAGATTGAACCTGACTGTTGCTTTGGGATTCTTAGGACTTGCAAACAGACTGACTGCTGCCTTTGGGCTGGTTTCATTAAGACAGACAGACTGAACTGACGAATTGACGAATTGACGACCTCATATCTCTCGCCCCATCCTTCATGAATCCATCTGCGTGTTTTGTACCGCAATGGCGACAGTTCCCTCCAGTGTCTCTGTACGGTCAAAGACAAGCCCAGTGCTTCGTTGTGCCATTGCGGATATAGTGTCTCCCCTCGCATCCACACCTTCCGCAGCGACGAGGTCTATTTCCACCAGCTGTCGTTCTTCCATGCCTCGTCTTCGATCATCTTCAATGTCTCGAGTGAAGTGTGCTGCACATCCCATGTCACGCCTGTCTGCTTCTCAAACCCCGCAATTATATCCGCATGGCTTGCAACGAACGACTTCCCTTCAGAGCCTTGTTGCGGGACACTTCCGGGTGCAGCAGTGCAGCGACGACGAAGCGACCAACGTCTTTCGTGGTCGTCCAAGCAATTTTCTTATCGGCTGGTTCAAGCAGATAAGCCTTCCTTGCCTTCGCATCGAAACTGCCAATTTTGGGCTCCTGCGGCACCGGTCCCCAGCCGAAGTAGTAGTCTCCATATGGTCCGGTCATGATGTAAGTGTGCTCCAGTCGTTTGACGTGCTCACGGAAATAGTGTCGCACTTTGAGTTTGTCTTGGTGCACTGTCTCGTGGGTTGAAGCTTCACTGTACTCAATGTCGGTGCCAAATTCGCTGGGGAAGAAGCGCTTGATCATACTGCTTTGGTCGGCGACGCGGACGAGATCGATCTGCGTCGGAATGGCTTCACGGCCTAGAGCTGAGACGACTGTGTCGTAGTCTGGCACTCAATAGCATGTGACCGATAAGCGGAAGAGTGGTTGTGGAATACTTTGGTATGCAGCCTTCACGTCATCTTCGTTCTGTAGATCACCGAATAATGACGCTTGCGCCCTTTGCTCGGTACGCATCAAACAAATCCTTCTTCCGCTCCGCTGAGCCCTGTGAAGTGAAGATGCCAATGCTGCCGAAGTTGTGCTTTGCGGCGAGCAGGGCGTTCGTGATGTATCCGCCGATCAAGCCGGTGGCGCCGAAGACCAGTATATTTTGTGGTTGGTGGGCCATCTCGGTGGCCTCTGATAGTCTGTCGGTGGCCAACTCGATGGGTCTCAGGTCTATATTGATATAGCTTTAGCTCATCTTGCGAAGGTGCTTACACAGCTCCAGCCGACGGCAGCTCCATTTGGACCATGTTGATGACTGCTGCGAGAGACCGGTCTAGCAGACCTCCAGGATGCCGCAAGCCGGTGGACTTTTCCGGCATGGCTGAAGGAGGCAATGAATGGCCAAAGTTGACGAGGGGCCGGCTGGTGCGGGAGAGGTCATGCAACACCCCTTGCGAGGCCGCCATGCCGGTGCAGGGCAGCTAGATATTTACTCCCAGTCGAAAATGAACAGTGGAAAGGAGCGGAATGGTAAATGCGGATGGAAGGCGAAATGATCACACATCACTTCTCAGTGTAATCCCTCCGTACCACGACCTACCTTGGCTTTCCCTTCTTCATTCAGTTGAGAGGACATGTAATGCGGAGTTGGTTTGACCACTAATAGACTACCCAGACTTCATGCATCATTGTGCCGGATAGATCTTGATGGCCCATGGAGGGAATGATGGGGAAAGTTGAGAGAAGATGGAAGGGAGTTGGATGGCGTGAAGTCGCCGGCGATACTTCGGCGATACTTCGACATCACCTCTACCTGTCCCGCGTCGCGACGTCCAAGGACGCGTTGGAGTGCACGTGAAGATCGAACCTTGACTTGGGCTGTACACGAGCAGTGTTGGCGGTGCATTGGGGATCATATCGGTCGCGCAGGATGTCTCTCAATCCTGAACAGCAAGCGCAGTTGCAGGCAAAGCTCCAGCAGGCGGTCATTGACTGCAGCGAGCGGTGTCTCTACTTCTCTGCAAAATGGTATGTTGCCCACAGCATTGACCACACGTCGGATCTGACGTTGTGTGCTAAGGGCGGCAGAACTCTCCAATTCCTTTGCACCCACTACTAGCGAACCGGCGGACGACACTTCTGACACAGACATCGACGATGACACCGAGATCCCTTCCAGCACCACCCGGACGAACCATGACCGGAAGGAGGCCAGGCTGGAAGAAAGGGAGCTCTCAAGATACCTGATGGCAAAGTCGTTCTTCGACTGCAGAGAGTACGATCGATGCGCGGCTGTCTTCCTTCCAAACAATGTCCCACACGGCAGACCTGCCCCAGGCAATGCCTCTGCAACCAAGCTACCTGCCACGGGGTCTGGTAGACCGTCGATGCCTCTGTCGGTCAAGCCGCCACAGTCCCAGGCCGCGATGCTGCCCAAGAGGATCAGCCAGAAGTCTCTCTTCCTCGGCCTCTATGCTCGGTACATGTCTGGCGAGAAGCGAAAGAACGAGGACTCAGAGACCGTCTTGGGACCAGCAGACGGACCAGTGACTCCCAACAAAGAGATCGATGGTATCTTGGCAGTCTTGGAGGAGTACTTCACTGCTCGCGGCGGTCTGGACAACTATGGTAATTCTCAAGGTTGGCTGGAGTATCTCTATGGTTTGCTGCTTCTGAAGAGCAAAACAGAGAGACTGGCGACACAATGGCTTGTTCGAAGCGTCAACATCAACTTCTACAATTGGTCAGCTTGGATCGAGCTTGGTAGTCTGGTGGGCTCTCAGGAAGAGCTCCAGATAATCTGCGAGCGTCTACCGCAGAACGTGATGACGTTGCTATTCTACGTCAACTGCTGTCAAGAGCTTTTCTTGCAAACAGAGGGAGCGTACAACACTCTCTCTCAGATGCAAGCCATCTTTCCAAAGTCAGCTTGGCTGGCACAACAGAGCGCAACCCTGCACTATCATGCAAACGACCACGAAACCGCACTGCAGATTTTCGACAACCTTCTTACATCTCATCCTCAGCGCTTGGACGGCATGGACATCTTCAGCAATCTCCTGTTCGTGGTACCGAGTCGACCGAAGCTCGCCACCCTCGCGGCCACTGCCTCCGCTATCGACAAGTTCAGACCTGAGACCAACATCATCCTTGGGAACTACTACTCCCTGATCTCTGAGCACGAAAAGGCCGTCCTCCACTTCCGCCGTGCTCTCACACTCGACCGCAACTTCCAAGCAGCCTGGACATTAATGGGCCACGAATATGTCGAGCTCAAGAACACCCAAGCAGCCATCGAATCCTACCGCCGCGCCGTCGACATCAACCGCAAAGACTTCCGCGCCTGGTATGGTCTCGGCCAGGGCTACGAGATGCTCGAGTGCTGGTCGTACAGCCTGTATTACTTCCATCGCGCTGCCGCCATCTGCCCTCACGACCCGAAGATGTGGGCTGCAGTCGGCAATGCATATGCTAAATGCGGCAAGCTCGGCAATGCCATTCAAGCCCTCAAGCGCGCACTTGGAGTCGGAAGCCAGATTGATCCCGGCTCGAGCTTCGGCACCAACACTTCCGACCCTCTCGCGAATGCTGTCGGAGGCGCATTGGATCCCCAGATCTTGTACGACATCGCCCTTCTCTACGAACGTTCGGCCCGCGAGAACGAAGCTTCAGCGTTCATGGAGCTGTGTCTGGCGCAAGAGGAAGGAGCGGAGGAGGGTGATGAGGGCATCGGCGTGACGCAAATCACTTCTCGCGCGAGGCTGTGGTTGGCCAAGTGGTGTCATCAGCGTGGGGACTGGAAGAGGACGATGGAGTATGCGAATGAGCTGTGTCAGGATGGGGTGGAGGTTGAGGAGGCGAAGGGGTTGGTCAGGGATGTCAGGGCGAGGTTGGCGGTGCAGGAGATTGAGGAGGAGGATTGAGAGGGTGGAGGAGGTGATGCATGAACTCATCATCAAGAGGTCATTATCTTCGTGAGCTGCTGTGCTTGGTAGCTGGCTTCGTAGATAAGCACGCATGCGTACCTGATAGCAGCAGCTTCTAACATTATGACCACGCATCCCATCAATCTATCCATTTATCGCCTTTGCGAAACCTGATCCTCTCGCCGCCTTCGAGCAAATCCTCATTGCAGCATGCGATATCGTGATTCGTGCCTCGTTGTTCCTGGTGTCATCTTCCATCTGCCGTGGCCTGGGCGCTCTCAGAGACCATCTACGGGATCAAATGGCAATCAATCTGTCGCCTTCTCGCTCCCTCCAGAACCAAATGGCCTCTCATTCCGGTCAACCTCGACTGCCTCCTTCACCTCTTCTTCGCATTAACATTCCTCCCCGCCCCCACCCTAATCCTCCCACCCGCCCTATTCCGATCCCCAGTCAAAATACTGGGCAAATAATCCTCATCCATCAGATCCCTCGCCTTCGACTTCTTCTCACTGTTCGCCGCCCGCTGGTACTCCTTCTGGTCCTCCGCCAGCATGAGATCGTTGCCCCAGCCGCCCTTGCCACCACCCTTCACCCTGCCGTTCGCAGATCCGTGGACGGGTTTGGGGATGCTGTAGCGGTCGCCGCGGGTGTTCCATTGCATGTTCTTTTTGAGGTGGAGTTTGAATTCGCCATTGGAGTTTGTGGAGCAGGATACTCGGGTGAGAGAGGGCTGGCCGCAGCGGGGGCAGAATTGCTTGTTCATTTCCTTGGTGGTTTGGAAGCAGGAGTGGCAGCGGAGGACGAAGGTCTTGAGATGTTTGACCCTTGTTAGTTGGGGAGAGAGGAGGTTGAGGTTGATTTGCAGAATCACGTTCTGCATTGCGAAGTCCGTTGTCAGGACGCCGACTTGCATTGTTTTTGGTTCTGGTGTTTGGGAGATGGAGGAGTCGGCGTCTTGGGCTTGCTTCTTCTTCAGGTTCGAAGGGGTGATCCAGCCTTCCGAGTCGGAGTCGGAGTCGGAGTCTTCTTGGCTTTCTGCTGAATTCTGTGCCGAGTCTACCTTTGGTGTCGAATCGTCGTGGCCGGGGCTCGCCTTCGCCTCAAGGTTTGTATTGGCTAGGTCTTCCTTTAGCTCGTCGACGTTCGAGGCATCCGTATTGTTCGAAGGCTCGGCCTGGTCTGCGGAACCGCCTTCGGGTACGTTCTCCACTGGTTCTTCTGCAGTCGTCTCGAGAGCGTTGTTCCCGTTCGCGGCCTTCTCTGTGGTGACTGCTTCGTCCGCAGTGTTTTGTTCCTGCGCTTCGCCACCCGCACCATGACCCTCCGCGACCTCCTTCTGCGGAGCTGCACCATTGATTCGTTTCTGGCCAGGCATTCTCCGTAATCTCCAGTCTCCATCGTTGCGCTCACATTCCAGTTCATACGCCAGTGCGATGATCAGTATGTCTGGTCTGCTAAGCACGGCCAGGTCTCCAGTCCTCCTGGCAAAGTCCGTTACAAATTTGACACTGCTCGGAGTCGGCGACCGCAAGGTCAGGAAAGGCTTTAACGTTGTCTCTACCCTTGATCGTGTGGGCGCATCCCTGATCTCTGTAAGAATTTCCGGGACTGTGATGAGATTTTCTGATTGTTTGAGCATGGTCGAGACGGACGGCTCATTCTTAATGATCGAACCGGTGTCTAGGACGAGCGTATGTATCGGCTTTGGTTCTTCCATGGCTGCTGGATGTTTGTACTCGCTGTGTGAAGTCCGTGTTGGACCTCAAAATTTATAGGAATGTCTGGAAAAGGAAGCTGTGAGGCTTGGCGTTGGTGCCTTGATGCCTTAGACTACATGGCCTCCATATGCTTTGGTGACAACATGTCCTTAACTACGCGCTTCCTTATGCAACTCCTTAATTTTACCACGAACATATGGTACATTGATTGCTATACAACACACACCATTTCTTTGCGCCTCAACCATGTCTTGCACCGTCAAACACCGACTAAGTCGGCTCAGGAGGTCCCACCAGCTACCTTTCCTGTCACGGCTATACCCTGGCTGCCGAAGCCACCTCTGGAGACCTTCCACGAGGGCATGGAGGTACACTCCACTCCTTTCAGGGTCTGTCGTGGACGAACAAGCACCACACCAACATGCAAAGCGGTCAAGCAAAGTCGAAGTGCTCAAGCCCGCGTCCAGGCCATAGAAGCAGCCGCGTGAATATGAATGAGTACTGCGGATGCGCACCACGGTGATGGCACGAGAATGGCAACTGTGAGAGGTGTTTTGAGAGGGAAAGAGCTGCCCTGGAAAATTTTACAGAGCTGGCTCTTCTTGTTGCCAGAGACCATCCTCGCCTCACCAGGATTTCATACCAGAGAAATGTCGGCCCGAGATGGAATTTTGGTCCAAATATGCCTGTGCACCGCTACGGCCCTGGTCGAGGACCTCTCTGTTGTCATCGCCCGCTCTGTGGCGTGCAGAGCTTGGTCAACAAATTCGAGCTTGTGTCACAGGCCCGAAGAACGACCTTTCCCGCAGGACGTGCACAGGACATGCACACTACCGCGTCAGGATTACCCGTCTTTTGTCTCCAGCATCGCTTCAGTCATAAGGATACTGCCCTCAACACGATGCGTGTCAGCTGATTCTTTAACCCCAGCTTGTAAGTAGCGCCGTCCTTGTTTCCGTATAAGCACTGCCTTCTTGCCGGAGCCCATCATATTCCTTTCCCTTTCTTTTGCTTCTTTTACTTTTGGTTCGTATAATCTTCTTGCTATGCTCGTCGCCCCGTTCCTACCCACAGAGCATCACCCATGGCTAGGCCGCCTCGGCGCGCCATAACGGTCCTGGACAAGGCCTTCGCGTCTTCGATCATCCCTTGAAGCCACCGAACGCTTCTACTGCTAGGCTTAGCTGCAGCAACGACACAAGGGCCGTTTCCACGGTACGGGCCGGCTATACTTCTTCACCCTGGCAGCTGGACGGCCCGCCGACGTATGATCGCATGACTGGACTTGATGGTGCCAGTCAATGGTAGTGGTTGGTTGTGCTTCCCGCTGCAGTCCTGTAGCCAATGGCAAACATTAACAAGAATCCTGCGCTGGCAACTTGGGGTCTTGCCCACAGCTGTGGGCTCGGGCGGCCTCCTAGGTTTTTGATGAAAGCACTGACGTCGCTGGGTCCTCCCGTCTGGTCGAAGGCAATCTTCGCATTAGCGACCCTTTGCGCGAATTATGGAGACCATGATGGCAAGCTTGCTATCAGCTCGTGGTTCGCCTCTAGCCTTCCAAGGGGCGGGAAGGCAATTGCGCATTACATGCTAGGCAGCCCTGCAGTAGAGTCGTGATGGGTCACGGATCGGCCTGATGCATTGACGTGGCCCTTCCAGCACGATATATTTGCTCATGGTCCTCTTCACACACAGCGACAATTTGCTTCGATCCTCGCTCCAAGGACGCACGCTTGTGCCGCCGGACATCCGGGGATCAGAGCTTCGGAGCTCTGTTGGTCGACAGCTCTCTGTGACTGGAGGAACAAGCGAGGAAGCAAACCACTGGGACACAGGTTTCAATCACAACTGCCGGCGAAAGACAGCTCCGAGCCGCCCGTTTTATACATCAACGTCGGAAAGCCAGATGGTTTTGAGCCGCATCACGTGCAGAAGAGATCCACCGGCCATGGTAACAAATCCGGCACTTCCTGAGCCTACCTCTATATGTGTGGATGATCGGAGCTGAGATTGGTCAGAGCATTGCCCACGTTTGCGCGAGGGTCAAAATGGCCTTACTCCCTGGTCCATGGGCGCCTTTGCTTCAGATCTTGGTCACAAGCCCGATCTACGTCCCGCAGCCTTGGGCAACACTTAGCTTGCTGAGTGATCATGTGCTCCGCGGACCACCGGCCAGCGGATAGTGAATCCTGGGCAAGCCTTTGTCTCCCTGCCCAGCCAAGGTTTTGGGACAACTTGTGGAAGTTCACCTAGTGTTCAACGGCCATGCCGAAGTTGCACGAGCACCGAGGGCCTGGGAACTGAATGATGGCCTGCACAGATTCCTGCTGGAACGTACAGTGGGTGTCAGTGTTTGCGCAACAGCATGTGTCCGAAGAGTTGATCCATCCATGGTCCCAGATCTGTTCCCTGAGTGGTCAGAATCTTCACCGGTCTTGAGATGATAGCCGCTTGTGACGACAGCGGTATCTCGACCGAATAACGCATATGAGCGCGGTAGTCCGCGAACCCGCTGTTGGCGTGGTGAACCCATCTTTGCTCAACTGATATAGACCTCGATTGGAAACGGCAGGCTCGAGCGCTCTGGTCGCTCCGGACACTGAATGCGCCAGACGTGCACTTGGAGATCGGCCGACTCACTTTGAGTTGTGTCATCAGACGTGGTCGAAGAGAACATCGCCCCAATGGCAACAGTACGCCTTGGCTATTCGATCTAGGTGAGGTATCGTCGTACTGACTCAGCCAGTCATCCTCCTCGATTCCTTCTCCGCACTTCTTCCTACAGGTCGAGCAGATGCGTCCAAGTCAGGATTTCGAGCCTCGCTATGACGGACAAGGCCACTGGAAGCCGCCCAACCCGCTAGGCAGTAATGAATTGATTCAAGAAGAAGCGGCTTCATGGTACGAGTTCGACAACTGGCATGCTCGAGCGGTTGGCGCTCTTGACGACGAGAAGTACGACTACAAGACCTTTTCTTTCTACAGCAACGAAGGTCGCATATGGATGTGGGAGGGAGATGCCACAAGCTCCAGAATCGGCGACGGAGTGAGCAACCGGCGGATCAGACCTCGAGTCACCGGTCGCCAGCGTCACGCCAACCGGAGCTCGAGCGATGAATCTGAGGACAGTGCCCACACGGACGATTGGGCGCAACTGTCGTTTCTATGGCCGATCCCTCAGGACCCGCTCCACAGGTCGCGTATAACAAGAAGAGGTAACAGCCGGCAGGTCCGGTTGCAACAACGCAATAGCATCGGTCTGTACCAGCTTCTTCCCGAACCGTATCGTGCTGCTTCAGACCAAAGGCATGGAGCACAAGGACATGGGGGGATTTTGGGTGACCTACCAATCCTCATCGCCTTGCTTGCATTGTCTGTGTTACCGAGTGAGGTTGGAGGAGCGTTGGTCAACTGTCTCAGGCGGACTTATCGACCGCACCAGTATAATATAGGGCGGGGATGTGAGTTATCGGATTCTTCGTGCCGAGTTGTCATCGTACTAACTTCCACAGGGGCGCAGCCGCAGAGGGGCATCGTTGTGCGAACACTTTGTGACACCGACCGTGATTCGGACGATTTGGCCATTCAACGGGTGGAAGCATACGAAATGGGTCGGTTTGGTACCTTTGCCGCCTAGCACTTGAGTTTTTCTTGCTAGGAGGCCTCGTAGACCGAGCGACCCGTAGGAGACTGAACATTGAACACGATGCCAGAGGCTGGTGGGAGGCGCAGTTGCTTAATGCGCTCTTTGATCAACAGTGCCGGCTAACGGCTGATGAATTTACGTTACCATTTCAGCTTGACGCGAGAGGAGCTGAAGCTACCTTCCAAGACAACTTGCGGTTCCCTCTCTTGGAGACCCTTAGCTGTGAAGCTTGATGGGCCGACAAGTCTGTCAAGCTTCTTCTATGCGGTATCCCCAGCACTGACACTGCATGCATATGGGCTCCTTCCGATTGTGGCGTAATGAGCAGATGCAAAGCTGACCACTTGGACCTCACTAGCACCGGCAGACTCGACACGAACTCTCCACAATCTGCTGTGAGCACCTCCACCAGCTGACACGGGACCAGGCTACCCAGATGTTAGCGCGAACGGTGCTTTTTACCAGATCCCAGTCAACCGGGCCGTACTAAGTGGCGCAGGAGCGTCGGGGACTTCAATCTCATCACGTTTGTCTTTCATGCCCATCTATCCTTCGACCAACCAGCCTCAACTGACGAGATAAAGGCAATCTGGGCAGCAATCATCACCCTCGCAAACCCTTCACATGCCTACAGCTCTGCCCATCGTTGATTCTCTATAGATCAACGAAGAACGAGCAGCCATCGGCAAAGATCCTGTCGGTTTAATCAACCCAGCGCTGTATGCCAATGCTAGGGAGGCGGGCATAAAGGATGAAGTCAAGGGCTCGAATCCGAACTGTGGGACGAGACGGTTTCCTGCTGTGCCTGGATGGTGTATCTGGCATCCAAACTCATGAAGAGGGCAAGCTGAGCAGGGACTTTTAGGGAGCCGAGCACTGGGTTGGGCACGCCTGACTATCCAAAGTTGCTGGAGTCTTTCCTTTCTCTGCCATGAGTGCTTGAGGGGGCGGCAGATCAGTGGAACAGCCCATGAGCCATGAGCAGATCTTGGCAATTGTGCATTTGAATGGATGGTTTTCATCGGGACATACGCTCTCTTCATGCCATCAAAGTTCCGCTTCTCGATCCACCTCACAGCAGCCCCTGCTTACTCAAATCATTATACACCTTCAACGGCATCACATTCCCCGCACTATCCTCCATCTCCACGACATCCTCCTTCTTCTGCTCCCCCTGCTGCCGATCCCGCTGGATCTTCTCCCACAACCGCTGCGCCTCCTCGATCTTCGTAATCTCGCGGAACAAACTCGTCTGCATGATCCCGAGACACTTCAACCCGTGCACGTGCCGCGCCTCGGAGAAGTGCTTCTCGAACGCCCGTCGGCCCATGTAGACGTAGTTGCCGCAGATTTCGCAGGGGAACTCGACGCCCAGGCCGTGTAGTTTGTACAGCCAGAAGGGGATGGGCTTGCCGTCCCAGGCGAGCGGGAGCTTGAGAGGGTTGTAGACTTTCTCCTCGCCCTCGTCGTCCGAGTTCTCGCCGTCAGCCTTGGTGGTGCCGGCCATGGCAGTGTCTTCGGCGTAGAGGGCGGCGAGCTCTTGTTGTCGTTCGCGATCCGTCATGCCGGCTTTGCGCTCGACGTTGACGCGAGTGTCTTCGCGCTCGGTCTTCATCACGTTGGCTAGACGGCGGATACGGTGTTCGCGCTCAGCGATGGCTTTTTCTTTTAATCGGGATGTGCTTGTGGTAGATGTGTGGGGTGCGGCTGTGCCGTTCTCCATGTCGACGTCGCCCGATGCGGCTTGCTTTTTCCTCGCCTCGACATTTTTGATGTGCTTCTTGCCCGTCAAATGCGCCTTGTACACGTTGTCGTTCTTGAATTCTTTCTCGCAATCTGCGCACCATATGCCTTCACCAGAACCCTCGGTGGCCGGTCCCTTCGATGCGCCGCCGTTCGCCTGTTGCGCTCCCTTCTCGTCCCAACCAGGCACCTCATTCTTTCCCCACAGCGTCTCAAACTCGTTCTCGAAATCGGCGAACAGCTTGTCGAAGTCTTGGAGCGGTTTAGTCCTGTTCAGGAAGCTCTCCAGATACTGAGCCAGAGAGCCAACATAGCTGAAGTACTGGTCCGTCATCTTGTCCTGTCTGGTGATCGGACATCGAGGGGGCGTGAAGTTGTCGAAGAGATCGAGGTATTGCAGGTAAGTCAGCTTCCTTTGGCCCTTCACCCCGGGCAGATTCAGGTACTCCTCGTGCAGCATAGTCAGGTCGAAGAAGCGTCCGAAAGCCTCCTCGCCCGTGAACATGCCATCGATGTCTCCAGCATAGCTTCCTGGCCCACCTTGCTCCACTCTCTTGTATGCGCGCTCGAGATTCTCCACTGGCTCGTTGGGGTAGCGCTTGTGGAAGCTCTTGACCTCATCTAGGCGCTTGTAGAAGTCTTCATATGGATCGCCGGTGCCGATGGCCTGATGCTCTTGCTGCAGCTCCTCCTTCTGGTTGTTGTAGATGTTGAGGCCTCGTTCTGACTGTGCTTGGATTCGTGAGAGGAAAGTGGCGACTTCATGATCACGGACAAGCCTGTTACGTATCTATGCGCTGTGAGCATCTCTCGGTCTTGCCAAAGCATTGGACAAGAGGACTTGACTTACGTGTCTGGGCTCTTCGACTACTCGCTCAGCTATCGCTTGCTCCAGCCGCTCGACATCCTCGTGGATGTAGCGCAGGTCTTCGTGGAACATATTGCTCGATTGCTGTGTTGTGATGTCGAGACTCCTCCACCGCCTTGCTGTCCCCCTGCCCCGAGCTCCTCCCTACTACTACTGCCACCAATGTCCGCCTCAAACGCGCAAAGTAGAAGGTAAGGGCACTCTGAATTTACGCAATCTCAGCAGCTGCGCCGTCGCGGTTGCAGTGCTGGTGGCCCCGGTATGTGCTGACCGTTCTACCGGTTGTCGCGACTGGCTTATGTGAAGTGGCTGGCGGTATATTGGGCGAAGTAGTGTATAGCACCTGTGGTCATGAAGAAGTCGGATCGTCAAGAAACCTTCAAAGCTCTCGGCTATTTGCGATCACTAGCGCCGGTTTAAGCTTTGCGGAGGAGACTAGCGCCCGCAGGACGAAGGCCGAGCTATTTTCTGGTTTGCAACAAGTCAAGTTCATCTTCACCAACCACGAACACATCCAGCAATCATGGCGGAAGATGGCATCGATCGCAAGGCCGAGGAACGCATGGAGTTCTCTACCTCCAAGGAGGTCAGCGTCGCCCCGACCTTCGAGGCCATGCATCTGAAAGAGAACCTCCTCCGCGGCATCTACGCCTATGGCTACGAGTCGCCATCTGCAGTCCAGTCCCGTGCGATTGTGCAGATATGCAAGGGCAGGGACACAATCGCACAGGCACAGTCGGGGACGGGCAAGACGGCGACATTCAGCATCAGCATTCTCCAGGTCATTGATACGGCAGTGCGGGAGACGCAGGGTGAGTGGTGCTTCGAACGATGTGAAGCGGTGGGTCGCTGATACAGAATGACACAGCACTCGTCCTGTCGCCAACCCGAGAACTGGCCACACAGATTCAGTCCGTCCTCCTAGCGCTCGGAGACTACATGAACGTGCAATGCCATGCGTGCATTGGGGGGACGAACGTTGGTGAAGATATTCGCAAGCTGGACTATGGGCAACATGTTGTGAGCGGTACCCCGGGACGAGTGGCTGACATGATCCGCCGCCGTAATTTGCGGACTCGCAACATCAAGATGCTGGTCCTGGACGAAGCCGATGAGCTCCTTAATAGAGGGTTCCGCGAGCAGATCTACGATGTGTATCGGTACCTTCCTCCGGCTACTCAGGTGGTGGTCGTGAGCGCCACTCTTCCCTATGACGTCCTGGACATGACGACGAAGTTCATGACAGACCCAGTCCGCATCCTGGTCAAGCGCGACGAATTGACGCTCGAAGGGCTCAAGCAGTACTTCATTGCTGTAGAAAAGGAGGATTGGAAGTTCGACACCCTATGCGACCTCTACGACACCCTCACCATCACACAAGCAGTCATCTTCTGCAACACCCGCCGCAAGGTCGACTGGCTCACGGACAAGATGCGCGACGCCAACTTCACAGTCTCGAGCATGCACGGAGAAATGCCGCAGAAGGAACGCGACAGCATTATGGGCGAGTTTCGGCAAGGCAACAGCCGGGTGCTGATCTCGACGGACGTGTGGGCGAGAGGGATTGACGTGCAACAGGTCAGCTTGGTGATCAACTACGATCTGCCGTCGAACCGTGAGAATTACATCCACAGGATTGGTCGATCGGGAAGGTTTGGGAGGAAGGGAGTCGCGATCAACTTCGTGACTAGCGAGGATGTGCGCATTCTGAGGGACATTGAGCGTAAGTGCTTGGAGTTTGGTGGTGTTGGGTAGAGCGAACAGCTAACGTGCGACAGTCTACTACTCCACCCAGATCGACGAGATGCCGATGAACGTTGCCGATTTGCTCTCGTGAGCGCACAGCAGGATGAAAGCCCGAGACTGAGAATGTTCCAAGGCTGGACACAACCAGTCTATTGATCGGACGGCACATGGCCGAGCTGATTCAGAACGTGCGCGTGTTATGACAGCAGCGAGATTTGGCGAAAGGCCACCAAGGGAAGGAAATGGGTGTTTTGTACCAGAATGTTCGTCCACGCGTCTGTTCGCCGTGCAGTCGAAGTCAACCTTACTGATTTTCTGCAGGACACAAATTCATACCCCCCTCAACTGACTTTACGAATTCACGAACGCACGAATACCGACCCATGTCCCCACCAACGATGCACCATTGGAGTTGAACCAGCTATTGCCTACACGCTTCAGCGACCTTGGCGGTGTCGCTCTAGAGCGGTACTATACGCCAGCTCCCTTTAGTGATGACCTTGGTGTGCTTGACGTAGTGACTTGAAGATGCAATCCAGACAGACATTCCTGGTAACACAGCAATCTTCTCAGTGACTTCCTCATACTAGGTTGGATCTTGGCGCTTGAGCTGTGTTGCGGACCTGGAAGGTGCGATTTCCGCGCGATTGAGCGTCTTTGCTCCTTCCGCAAGATCAACTTGCCTCGACTTACCTCGCAGCAAAGCTCTTCTCCCACACACACACACACAGATAACTCTCACTCGCTTCTCTAGCCAGACAACGACCCCATCACCGCACTCCAACATGGTGCCCATCAGAACGCCAAACCAGAACAACCTCACCATTATGCCCAAAGCCCAATCCACACTTTGCGCCCAACGCACCCAGTCCATCATCGATCGCATCGAGGGTCGCACGAACCGCATCGCCAATATCGTCCTCGTCGTCACCATCACTGGCATCCTAGCCCCAGCGTTCGTCCTCGAGTTCCACCGCGTTGGCCGCCGCGCCCGCACGCTCTCGCCTGTGCTGCTACAGTTCGGTGGCAAGAGGGTCGCCGACTGTGCGGAACTGTGCGGCCCTGCGCTGATCGTCAAGAGCTGTGCGTACTTCCCAGCGCTGGGGACAGCGGCAGCTGCCTGGGGCGTTGAGAAGGAGTTGGGTGGGGTGATGGCTATGGCGTTGGCGTACGTGATGATGGTTTGGGCGACGTGGAAGGCTTTGGCACGGAATCGCGAAGAGGACTTCGGGTCGGACGGGAAGCAGGTGAGATATCCCATGCACTTGTTGCAACGCAAAACAGTCGCTAACGATCTGCAGAAACGCGAGTCATTGGGTTGAGCGGAACCACGCAATCATTGGAGGATCACTGTATCTTCAGCATCGTACGAAGATGACATTGCACAGTTGAGTCCACTTATGATTGCAATTTCATCCCAAGATATCTAGCTGGAATGTCGTCAAGGTTCACGCCACCTCATCATTCATCAACCTTTCCCACCAGGAAACTGCAGGCAGCTCATTCCCTAGTACCCCCCAAACTCCTGCTGAATCTTCTTATGCGGGTGCTTCTTATGCGGGTTGTAGTTCTCATCCTCCCCATAATGCTGATCATACAACGCCTCGCTCCGCTTCTTCGCCTCGTGCTTCGTCTTCTCGCGGTCGATGTAGTCCGCCCCCTTGGTCTCGGCGAGCCGGTCGACTTCGACGCCCGCGATGGCCGCGATGGCTTCTTTGGCGAAGGCGTGGTCGACTTCTTTGCCCTCTTTGCGTTGGTGGTCTTCCCATTCTTTCATGGCCATGAAGGAGGCGCCGCCGGCGAGGACTTCATGGCTGAGCTCGGCTTTGTTCTCGGGGTTTTGAGTCTTTTTGTAGTCGTCGTGTGCGTCGTCTGGAAGATGATCAGCGGAGGTTATTTGGTCAATGGGGATCTGGAAGCTTACCCCAGCCGAACATTTTGACGGTTGTTGTGGTGTGGATGGGAGATTTCTTGGGTTTGAATTGTTTCTTTGGATATGGGGTGTTTGGAGCGTGTGTTGTTTGGTCGAGGAGAATGAAGACGAAGGATCTTTGAGAGGTATATATACTCACATGCCTGTCCGCGTGGACCTGGACCCCTCCAATGCGCCTCTTCACCAGCGCACGAGCTAGTCATTCTACGTCACTAACTTTCCATCATATCCACTCAGCTGCACTAGGATCGTCTTCACCTGCGCCGCCCTGCGTCTGGAACGGCTCAGAAACCTGCAGCGGCTCCCTCGTGGCGTCAGTTGAAGTCACTGCTGTTTCACGAACGACTTCATCTTGCAAGACCCGCGAGCAACAGTTGGCTGTCGATGTCACAGCTGCTTCTCTTCCGGTCTCAAGCAACGTAGTCTGACATCAGAAGGCGTTTATCCTCCCTTCCAACAATCCGCAATGCCCGATCTTGAAACTCGACATCACAGCCAAGCCACCAGGAACCGAAGCAAGCTTCTAGCGTGCCACGCAATCGGCAAGTCAAGCACTGGTCCAGAAGCTTGCCCGCGCTTAGCTTCACCTCTGCATCACCTTGCAGGTTTCGTGTCTCTGTGAAGCATGAAACTCTTGTGACCAAGTGGACAGCCTCACCATCTGGTTTCTAGGAACGAGCGCTGGCGAATCGACTGGTCAGGTTGCAGAAAAGAATTGCTGGAGGTGGCGGCTAGATCTCGAAACATGGGACGACTGCCAACTACTTCCGACTTCCCGGACAACATCAAGCTATCGATCGGGCCGCGTAAGTGCTGCAGTGGGCTGTCATCAGCTACAGCTCGCCCTGCATTTGTCCAACTAGCCTCTGCATGACCCAGCACTGCTTCAAGTATACACATGCGGCAGTAGATTTGAAGGTAGGCACAGCTGCTAACACAACCTCCTTTCACAGCACCCGGCAACGATGCCCCAACAAACGTCCTCATCCTCCTCCACGGCCTCGGAGACAACCACGCCTCCTTCACCAACCTCGGCAAGCAGATGAATCTGCCCGAAACCGTCTGCATCTCCATCCAAGGACCGCAGGGTTTACTGGATCTCGGCGGCTTCCATTGGGGCGACGACATCATCTTTGATTCGACCTCTGGCGGTCTGGATCCGGATGCGGGTTTCAAGCAGTCTACCAAGCTGCTTCGGAGTATTGTCCAGGATGGGTTGATTGGAAAATGTGGGTATAAGGCGAGGGAGATTGTGTTCTTTGGGTTCGGGCAGGGTGGAATGGCTGCGCTGAACTATGGTGGTGAGTGCTGTCAATCTTTCGAGCAGGCTCAAGTAACTGATAACTCTCAGTCGACCTTCATACCTCATCTTCAACCGCTGCAGAGAGCGAACTAGGCGGCATCATCAGCATCGGTTCGGGTCTACCAAGCGAAGCTCCCGCCTCCCTGGACACCAAATGCAAGACTCCCATCCTCGTCTGCGCAGGCTCAGACCAGTCAGCCGTGACGGCTACGTCCGAAGACAAGCTTAAGCGTCTCTTTGAGCATGTTGAAATCAAGCGGTACCGTAAGCCCGGGGACAGCATGCCGGCGAATCGAGATGAGATGATGCCCATCATGCAGTTCTTCTCGCGACGGCTGAGGAGCACAAAAGGCGTGCCGGAGGGGAGTGTTGAGGTTGGCTGAGAGCTGTTGCGTCTCTGCTGGACATTGTCAGAAGAGACGACCGATGGGACCTTCGAGCACGTTGTGCTGTAGCTGAAATTTGTTCATGGCTGCGCGAGAATCCAGCTGCGACACGTCTGAAGAGCGATGGGCCATGCCCTTAAAACGACACAGCGATGTGGGTGAGAGATGTGGAGTTGAGGTCACAGACTTGTCGGGTACGTGAGACGAATTCAGAATACCACACTGTTCGACACGAGTATTCCAACCCCACCAGTCATCCCGATGATAATCGTCTTGATACTCTTCTTCGTAATCATCCGAAGGCGGAGAAGAAGAGCCATCGTCGTCATAATAGTCCCTATCATCCCTTCGATACCCCCGCCGCTCCTCATAATCCCCATCCTCTCGCTCATCATCATTGTAATCGCCACCACTTCTTCGATCCCCATCCTCATACCCATCATCCCATGCCCTATCCTCTCTCCTCTCCTCCCTCTCCCTCCTCTCATGATGCTCAAACATCTCCGCACCTATCGCGCCCAATGCCGCTCCCCAAATGGCACCGAGCACGCCATGCTTCTTCGACATCTTGTGCCCGAGAAAGGCCCCGCCGGCGCCGCCGCCGAGCAGTTCAGCGCCTAAGCCTCGCTCACCTCTTCGACTGGCTTCCTGAATATCTTGTCCGGCAGAGTGATTTGAGTAGCTTTGGCTGCTAGCGGTGTACCGGTAGCGCCCGCTTTCCGGGATGCCGTAGTAAGGGTCGGGAGGGTCGTTGAATTTTCTCCAGATTTGCTCGGGATCCCAGTGCCGCATCCAGGGACGATAGGGGACAGTGGGTCCAAATCCGAAGGCTGTTGATAGATGGGATGTTGAGGCGCGAGCGTAGGGGCTGGATACAGGGGTTGGGGTTGGTGCTGGTAGGCGTCACGTTGTCTGTAGGACCTCTGGTCGAAATAGGGTGCTTCATAGTGCCTTTGGTATTGGAGGGATTGCTACGGCGATGGTGGCTGGTATTGAACAGATGGGTAGTAGGCCGCTGGGGGTTGTTGCATGTATTCGGGTGAGTAATAGTACTCTCGAGATGGCTGTAATGGCCAGGTGCCAGCTGGTGGCATCGGCGGATAGCACTCCGTAGACATGTTGATTGTGGAAGTTTCCCCGATGCGCGATATGGTGGAAACACTGACTTGGAGAATCGATTCAATCGCCTACTTGTGCCTCGTCTATATACTTACCTGTCATTCCTAGGACAATGTCAGCTCCTCGCCACCACTCGTTACCTTCGTGCGAAGCATCGTGCTCGCCGCAGCCGTTTAGAAATAATCCTCTCACTCGGATGAGCACGGTCAGAACAGGTACAGACACCCGCGACCGGAAGGAGCGGGAGCTGCATCTCGTATTCAGAGTTGGGAGGATGAAGACGAATACAACTTCGGGTGACGTGGTCGTTGTCAACGTGTTGCCTGCCGAACGCCATGTTGCCCATGCCGGAGAGCGCTCGAGAAAATGAGAGAACTTCGTTGTGGTTGTAGCAAAAAGAATGAAGGTGACAAGGGGTCAGGTTGTTGCTCAAAGAAACAGAGAACAGGCCTCGGCCATCGCTGACTAAACAGTTCACATTCAACGTCACCTAAAGCACTTCCCTCCAACAACCAGCACATATCCTTCACGCAAACATCACCATACCTCCACCATGAACTCCGTAGCCTCCAAACGTCTCTACCAAGAGTACAAACACCTCACCACCGACCCGCCCGAGGGCATCACCGCCGGCCCCGTCAGCGAAGACGACCTGTTCGTCTGGGAAGCCATCATCGCCGGGCCTGAGGGCAGTCCGTACGAAGGGGGAGTGTTTCCGGCGGAGCTGAAGTTCCCCAAGGACTATCCTTTGATGCCGCCGACGATGAAGTTCCTGTGTGATTTGTGGCATCCTAATGGTGCGTAGCACAGCACCTTGCTCGACGAGAGGGAGTTGCTGATGGAGGGACAGTCTACACGAACGGCAACGTCTGCATATCCATCCTGCACGCCCCCGGCGAGGACCCGAATCACTACGAGCAGGCTTCCGAGCGGTGGTCGCCGATCCAGAGCGTGGAGAAGATTTTAATCTCGGTGATGAGCATGATTGCGGAGCCGAACGATGAGAGTCCGGCGAATGTGGATGCGGCGAGGATGTGGAGGGAGCGGAGGCCGGAGTTTGAGAAGAGGGTGAAGGCGGATGTTAGGAAGAGTTTGGGGCTGTAGGTTTGTTGGGTGATATTGTTGGTTCAGCGTGGAGTATGGCGATAGGGTACAGGAGGCTTTTTGACGGCATGAGCCACGAATGAATGAAGCATACGTGCGGTCTCGACTATGGACGTTCCTCACACAGTGATAGCCAACGCATCGACACCATGTCTCTCACAATGATCACTAATTCAATTGTTGCATTAGAACAGTATCACGATCGACCGCGAAGCATTATAGCGAATACCTTAACCCTTCATTCTCCATCTCCGTCGAATCTCTCCTCTCCATTTCAATCGCCGCCTTCTCCTCCTCGTCATCCACCACACCAGCCGCCGCTGCCTCTCCATCTCTCTTGTTGCTGGCTGTAAACATGTACACGTACAGCACCGCCGCCATCAGCAGCTTCACGCTGTACCCCACTAGCATAGCGATGTACGCCGAGTGGTAATATGGCGCCTCGCTGTTGCGGAAAGTTGAGGACCTACGATGTTGCCAATACAGTATCCGGTGCATAGAAGTAATTGATGCCGTTCTTGTCGAGGTACTGGAGCAGGTAGATGACGATGAGGACTGGCAGCACCCTCAGGTCAACTTTCCGCAACATCCTCTTGGCCCCCTGCTTGCTGCTGGTACAACACGTAGTTGTCGCCAGATCAGAGTTGTTGCAGAGCAAAGATATACCTACCAAGCAGCAACAAGAAAGACAAGGGGAAACGGAAGGGATCAAGAAAGGAAAAGAATTTAGCCAGCCCACGGGACTCCATCTTTCTCACACGCTGCAGTATCGTGCTTCCAGCGAGGAGAGCTGGTCGAGGTGGTGGTGGGTGAGACCGAAGCATTCTCGTCACTACTAGCAGCTGTGAGAAACCACAAGATGGCAAGTCCATTTGACCGGGAGAGCACTCTTCGACGGTCTTCCGTTCCGCAAAACTGCTAGAGCAATGTCGTGATCTGATTGGCGTACTGCTTGTTGCTTGTGAAGGCCGTTGGTACCTACTGCTTTGGCACTGGCTGAGGCAGCGGGCCGGCTCCACGTTTGCTTGAGGTGCTTGTTCTTTACAGACTCCAAAAGTTGCGGGCGATGTGGTGGTGACTGTGCAAAGCTGTGTGCGGTCGTTGTTGGAGGAGGAGACGGTGGCAGTCGATTGATGCTTGGGACGAAGTCAGGATTCAACGCAGATTTCAGCATGGAACAGTACATCTGGTCATGGCCGCGTCCCGCGTCCGCGCGCGGATCGGTCTCGCTGCTTACGAGGCAGGAGACCACACACTTTCTTCGCTTCAAGCAGGAAGAGTATCATCAACGGACTCTTGCCGTCGATATGTCCGGGTATTTCCACTCAAGACGTCTCTCATCAACTCGCTGTTCATGTGCGTTGGCTCAAGGGGAAGCGGGATGCTACTTGAGTACACCATTTCCTGCCTCCATGTCCTCTATCACCACAGGTAACACGTCACCCATCTCTCTCATTCATCTCAATACCGTACTCTCAACACTTCCTCGCTGTCACTTTCACATGTCTCGCGAAACCACTCCGCGGTCGGAGTTTACGGAGCTTTGCTGCTCGCAGTGGAGACGATACTTTTCTTCAACTGCAGTTCACATCATCGCCACTATCACTATGACGACTAAGGTTTGGGAGACCACGGTGTTAAGAGCCATGGGTACGGTGCGTGCGGGAGACCGCGGCGGTGCGGCCTTCGACGGAAGTACATATAATGGCCTGCTACACTAACCTCACATTTTATTCTTGTACTCACCACAAGCGAGCCAACGCAAAACCACAAGTCGAAAGCACATCATCTGATTCTCGCAATGGCATCTCAACAAAAGTTCGAAGGCTGGGTCGGTCTCGACAAGGACTCTGCTGAGGGAAAGCTGGTCTGGCAGGCATACGACCCAAAGACATTCGAGGAGACGGACATTGACGTGAGTCTTCTTCCCAACCAAACTACAACCTACCACCACTAACCCGTTCACCACAGATCGAAATCTCCCACTGCGGCATCTGCGGCAGCGACCTCCACGCCCTCCGCAGCGGCTGGGGTCCGACCGACTACCCCATCGTCGTCGGCCACGAGATCGTCGGCAAAGCCATTCGCGTCGGCAAGAACGTCGACAAGAAGATTAGCGTCGGCGACCGCGTGGGCGTCGGCGCGCAGTCCGGCAGCTGCTTGCGCAATAGCTGCAGGGAGTGCACGCACGACTACGAGCAGTACTGTCAGAACGGACAGACGACTACGTATGGTGGGAAGTGGCCTTCGGGGGAGAAGGCGCAGGGGGGCTACGCGAAGTTCTGGCGCGGGAATGGGCATTTTGTCTTTAACATTCCAGAGGGTTTGGCTTCGGAAGATGCTGCGCCTATGCTTTGCGGGGGTGTGACGACGTACTCACCGCTGAAGATGGGCGGGTGCGGACCAGGCAAGCGTGTGGGTATCATCGGCATCGGAGGCCTGGGACACTTCGGACTGCTCTGGGCCAAGGCTCTGGGGGCCGACAAGCTCGTCGCCATCTCCCGCGGGACGTCGAAGAAAGAGGACGCGAAGAAGCTCGGCGCCGACGACTTCATCGCCACGCAGGAGGAGGGCTGGGAGACCAAGAACGCTAGCTCTCTTGACCTCATCGTCAGCACGGTCTCCGGCGCCAATATTCCCATCATGAAGTACCTCCAACTCCTCGATGTGGGCGGGAGGTTCATCCAGGTGGGAGCGCCGGAAGATCCGTTCCCGCAGTTCCATCCGTTCGCTCTGATCGCGAAGCGTGTCTCGGTCGAGGGTAGTGCGATCGGTTCGCCGAAGGAGATTGAAGAGATGTTGCAACTGGCTGCGGACAAGAAGATTAAGCCGTGGATTCAGGAGATGCCGATGAAGGATGCGAATAAGGCGATTGTGCAGTTTGAGGAGGGTAAGCCAAGGTATCGGTATGTGTTGAAGAACTAGACGAGAGTACGAAGCCGTCGCCCATTGGACTTGAAAACCCACGAGACACGATTCACGATACATTGAAAGGGAATCGATATTATGGCAAACACTCTATTGATTTTCATTTCAAAAGAGGTAAAGCAGCCATTTCTGCATCCCGCAGCCTTCCTCCCTCTACCTTCCCCTCGTCCTCCATATCCTCCGCTGCCTTTCATCCCGTCAAACCCTTCCCATTGCGGAGGGAGGGTTTAAACCTTCTGCCTCTGCGCCCTCCTCTCAGCATGCCTCCTCTTCCTCTCCTGCCGCTGCTCTTCACTGTACTTGTTCCCGTTCTCGTCCTCGCTCGAGCTCGAGCTGCTGCTGCTGGCGTCCTTGCCCTCGGCTTTGGCGGCCTTGCGACGGTCGCGGCGTTCGCGCTTTTCGGCGGGCGTGCGTTGGGTTTTGTCTCCGCCGGAGGAGGAGGAGCCCATGCCCATCTTCTCCTTTACTTTGTCCATGACTGTTGAGCGGTTGGGTGGTTTGGTTTGGTTGAGTTGTTGTGGGTTTGATTGGTGTGTTGATGAGGTAGGGAAAAGGTCGCGTGCTCTCTAGGAGAGGGAGGTACCTCTTTATACCTTTCTACTCACTACCATACACCTCCGAGAGGGACCAAGGTTCAGTCGTGTGACCCCGAAACCTGCTTCTGACCCCGCGATGTGCTGTCTAAGTGGGTTCGCCATTGGCTTCAGAGTGCTCGAGACTGCGGGGCATGCGACGCTATTACATGTGCCTAGACAGGCGGTGCCAGGCGTGACCTTGGTTGTGAAGGGATTGAGACAGGATGGAGAGGGCAGTGTACCAAGTTCTCCCTGCTGAACTACCAGGCAGTGTCGACGATTGTGGGTGAATATACCACCACCTCACGTCGTCGATCCTAGAGACGACGTGACAGCTCTCAGCCGCCGTCAGCGAGCAAGGCACTCCAACTCGGAAGAAGTTAAGGTGCCCGGAAATCGGATGGTTGACCCGAACGCTTAGAACCTGTCGTGCGTTGGTAAAGTAGCTGAAGAGGTTTGTTCACAGCACATGCTGGCGAGTTCTTTTCTGCACAGGACAGGTCCTGATATATCAACATGTTATCTCGGTGAGAGACAGCAAGTTGGGCGTCAGCGAACAAGGCATTTCCAACTTCGAGGAAGGTAAGATGTTGGAGACTTGGATCGATCGACTCGATTAGCCCAACAGTCAGAGCCTGTCCTGCACTGGTGGGTAAAGTAAGTATATTCATAACACATGCTCGCAAGTTCCTTCGTACACACGTCCTTCATTCGCCATAAACGCCTTGGATCTCCATCATGCTCGTAGTCCTTCCCAAACAGCCAGCATTCATACCAGAACCAGCATACCACCATGATCAGCAAGAACTCTCACACACCGCTCCGATGCACCAGACTCCCGCCTCGCCGGAACTGCACGCTCTCCCGTCTATTCAGCACCATGAGAGCACGGTTGAGCGCCTGCTCGCTGTAGCCCTTTCGCTCCACGAACTCGCGGCGTAGCGTGGCGAGGGACGAGGTATAACCAATAGGCAACCTATCATCTGCGTCAGCACAACCTTCAACACCACCACCGCCTCAAACGGATAGAGATAGAAAAGAACATACCTCCGCCTAACCTCCTCCTCAACCTTATGCACCTCCTCCACCAACTCCCTACTCCCCCCTCCCGCCTCCCCACCCGCACTCATCACCGCATCCATCGTACTGCCCAAAAACAGCCTTATAGCCTCGTCGACATGCTTCTCCGTCGCGACGGGCTGCAGCTCCATCTTCGCAAGCGCCTCCGTGATGCGCACCAGCGACTCCAGCTGCCGCACCGTGATGGGGATGGACGAGCGCGCGTTGGCGTCTTGTTCCTGTCGCGCGACTTGCCGCCGGATGGAGACGAAGTGGGAGGAGAGTTTCTCCGCTGCTTCGGCGGATAGGCGGGGCGCGCAGCGCGATTTGGCGTAGGAGATGTAGCGTTTCATCTTCTCGACGGGGATTTCGGAGGTCTCGGCTTGTTGTTGCTGTTGGGCGTTGCGGGCTTGTCCCGCCATGTGGATGTTCATGACGTGCTTCGCCATCGTCTCGTCCTGCGCGCGGTCGTGGGCGTCGCGGACGATGAAGATGAGGTCGAAGCGGGAGAGGATGGTGGTCTGGAAGTCGATGTTCTCGCCGGGGGTCTTGAGGTCGTCGTAGCGGCCGAAGATAGGGTTTGCGGCGGCGAGGACGGACGTACGCGCGTTGAGGATGGTGGTGATGCCCGCCTTGGCGATGGAGATGGTCTGTTGTTCCATGGCTTCGTGGATGGCGACGCGGTCTTCGTCGCGCATCTTGTCGAACTCGTCGATGCAGACGACGCCGCCGTCGGCGAGGACCATGGCGCCGCCTTCGAGGTAGAACTCGCGGGTGCTGGTGTCGCGTTGTACGGAGGCGGTCAGACCGGCGGCCGAGGAGCCTTTGCCGGAGGTGTAGATGGCGATGGGGGAGACTTTTTCGACAAATTTGAGGAGCTGGGATTTGGCTGTTCCGGGGTCACCCAAAAGCAGGACATTGATGTCACCACGCAGACGCATGCCATCGGGGAGGATCTTCTTGCTGCCACCCATTAGCAGGCAGGTGATGGCTTTCTTGATGTCGGCATTGCCGTAGATGGAGGGTGCAATGCAGGAAGCGAAGAGGGAGTAGAGGTCAGGCCGGCGGGACATTTCAAGAAACTCTTGCTCCTCTTCTTCGGTGAACTGCATGCCCATGCCGCCGGCTTGGTTGTGGGAGAGGTCTGTTTGCAGGCCAACAGCGCGCAGATAGGGGTTGCGGATAGCGACTGCACCGCTGCCTTTGTTGTTCTTCTGGCTGTTGTAGATGCTGAAGACACCCATGACCACACATCTTGAGCCGGGCACCACTCGATTGGCGAGGTATCTGTCGGCGCTGACCAGGATGTGGCGAGGTAGTTCTCCAACCGGTACATCGTCGTGTGCTTCCTGCAGCTTCAGTACCTGCTGGTCGATGAACTGCGATTTCTCGTGCACCACAAAGTATGGATCCAAAGGGCATTTGTCGCCATCCGACGGATTGTTTTGAGGCCGTCCGCAGACTCTAGGAAGCGTGACGCCTGTGAAGCCAGAAGATATGCTGAGTCTCTCTGGGTGCCCACAGCTTCGACACTGGATGTGTAGGGCTACTGCTTTGGAGCTAAGCGTGCTGGCGCCAATGACAATGCCGGGTATTCGCACGAGATGTGAGACGTTTGTGGCGGTAAGACCTCGGATAGAAGTCTGCGTGACGGAGGAGTGGATGAGGAGTTGGTGTTCAGGGAGGGCTTGCGCAAGTTGCTGGTCTTCTACGCTTTGCGATGGGTAGAGTATTCGGCGGGTGCATGTCTTGAGGGCGGCTTCGAACTGTGCGTCTGGTTAGACTTGCTTCTCTTGACCTTGAGTCGTGTTGTACGTACGACAGGGATGATCTCTGCCGGCTCGTTGTTCAGCCGGTGCGCCAGATGCTCGTTGAAGGCAATGAGGTGGGCAATGTCGATATCGCAGAAGTACTGCCGCGACAGCACGTTCTCTCGTATCTGGTCTCTGCACTGCGCATCAGCATTCGCCTTGTACTCTCCCAATACCTGCTCCCCTCACCTGTAAATGAAGACATTGTCGAGGTGGAAGTCGAGGATGAAGTCGACCAGCTCCTTCTGCACCCGCTTGTTGCTCTCCTCGATCGCGCGGTCTTCGCCGAACAGGCTGAGCGTGTACACTGACTGCCGGTCCATTCTTGCGTGGTCGTCGTTGTGGCGGTGGTGTGTAGATTCAAAGTGGGATGAGACGCGCTTCCAACGCGACGCGATCCTCCTGCAGCCACTAATGCGTCTACTTGGGGAATCCTCGGCTCGGCGAGCGGGTGTCAGCCTCCGATCGAGCATCTGGCCCTGAGATGTCAATACGTCGACAAGAGTGTACATCTCGATCAATCGAAAGGTTTCCTGAGCGCGACGTTATCGCAATGCGATGACCATGAGGAGCCAGTGGATATAGTAGGACAAGAAGCGCACCCCATGAGGCGGCCAGCAGCACCCTCGAGTCCACTCCCTCGGCCATGGCATCCCCATCCTTCTCGATAGATGGCCTTTCACCGGACTCACCAACCTCTCAAAGATCTGGCTACCCCTTTCCGGAGACGAGCGCGCGACGCTCGACCAGCAACCGCTACCGTCCACGAAGAGGAAGCGCCGCCAGCAACACCTCCGTCTCATCAATAGGCGGGAGTCTAGACACACACACACGGAGGGGCAGCGCTGTAAGAGAGACCAGCCAGAATGCCATCTCCACCCTGCTCCAACCGCCCATCGTGCGGACTGGCCTTCTACCACACTCGGCGACGTCGGCGGCAGCGGCAGGTTACAAAGCTCCAACCACGCGAGACATCCCTCCTGTCACCCTGACCAACATCCCACATGTCGCGCCGGAGAGCTTTCGCAATTACCTTTCCCGAATAGGGCCGTTGTTTGAAAGCTTCCAGAGAGGTAGAGCTGAGCCAGAGCAGGCGCAATGGCTGAAGAAGGACAGGGAGCTGGAGAAGACCGATCGCTTTGCAGAGGCGCTGGACAGGCGTTGGGGCAAGGACGGCTTGATGTCGCCGACGACCCCGCGCACTGCCCACTCACCACTGCTATCACCTACGCCGCAGACACCTGGAGGAGATCGTCGACGCGCGACGGGCAGTCACCGTCGAAATCGCAACGAGCCCACACCTCTTACCACGATTCCCTCGGTCTACTTTGACGAAGACTTCCACCTCGAGAACCCACGCACGTTTGATGTCGTGTCCGAGCGCGCCGAAATAGTAAGGCCTCCGCCAGGCACGCCCCAGCCCGAGCAGAAAGCCGCGAATGGCACGCCACTTCCTCCTCGAAAAGCCTTGGCCACCAATGCGATACTACAGGAAAAGCTGAGTTGGTACATGGACACAGTGGAAGTGCATTTGATCAACAGCATCAGCACCGCCAGCTCGGGCTTCTTCGCAGCATTGGGGAGTCTGAAGGAGCTGCAGACGGAGGCGGAAGAGAGTGTGGCCAAGATACAGAGCTTGAGGGAGGATCTGCGGCGGTTAGATCAAGAGGTGGCTGTGGCGGGATTAGAGGTGGCTGCAAAACGAAGGAGAAGAGCGAACCTGGGCAAGTTGGGCGCCGCGACGGCGCAGGTACAGCAAGTGGTAGAGAACGTCAAGAGGGCGGATGAGCTTGTTGAAGAGGGCAACTTCGACGAGGCGGCCGACCAGATGGATCGGGTAGGAAGATTGGTGTGCGGACAGCCAGAGGACGGAGGAGAGAGGCAGCTAATAGATCTACGGCCACTGAAAGCGCTTCAAGGCCTGGATTCTGGGCTGCAGGAACTACAACTCAAGATTGGTACTGGATTCGCGAACCGCCTCACCACCATACTAATGTCAGACCTCCGACAACACATCGAGAAAGTGCCGTCATCCGACACGCTGAAACGCTGGTCGAGACAACGAGGCATTCCACCTACGTATATGGAGACCACGCCGGAGTTCCGAGCTAATCTACTGTCTGCGCTCAAGGGTCTGCAACGAGCTGGCTATACCGCACCTGCGACCGCTGCGTACCGAGAAGCTGTCACGAAGGAGATGAAGGCCATCATTCGGCGGTATCTGCCTTCTTCCAACGACGAAGATGCAGACAGCATGGTCTCTTCGGCTACCACTTCAACGAGAGGAGGAGGGAGACTGAGCCAGCAGGAGAAGAGCTCGATCTTGGCTAGGAACCTGCGAGCTTTGGATGCTGAGGATGCTGAGGGATTGCTGGTCAAGGTTTATACGAATGTTGGTGAAGCGTTGCGGAGAGTCGGCACCCAGACGAAGATTCTGCTGGACATCACGTCCGGAGCTTTGGCGAGCGAGGGGGGGAAGGGTCATTCAAGATCTGCGAGCATGGTCGCTGAGCAGCAGCGGCAGATGCAGAATGAACTTCCGAAGCCTGATGAGCTGAGTCAGGCGCTCGACATGTCCTCGCTACTTGGGCAGGCAGTCGACACGGCACAGACGCAGATCACACGTGTGCTGAAGGTGCGCAACGAGCAGTCCGTTCGTCTAGCGAAGCCGCGCTTCTTGCGATACTTTGCGCTCAATCGCTTGTTTGCCGATGAATGCGAGGCTGTCTCCGGCCGAGGCGGGCAAGCGCTCAAGGGCCTCATCAATGCGCAGATCTCAGGCTTCGTGCAGGTACTCGGTACTGCCGAGACCGAACGAATAGCCCAGTGTCTCGACAACGACAGCTGGAACACCGCAGACTTCAGCGAAGATGACGATAAAATCCTCCAGCGCGTACTAGGCGGCATGTCCTTGGACCCACCAGAATGGAGCAACGCTACTCCACCCATCTGGGAGCCCGCAGACCACCAACTAGACGCACCACAACCCAACGGCACCACGACCCCCAACCCTACCGTCAACGGCACACCCACCCCCGCCTCCACCAAAGTTCCCGCCGCCAAACCCGCCTACATCGACTCCACCCGCTTCCTCCTCGTCCCCTCCGCCCTCGCCCTCCTCCCCACCCTCGACACCCTCCTCGCCCTCACCACGTCCCTCCCCAGCCTCACGCCCCAGCTCTCCGCCGCCCTGCTCGACGTCCTCCGCACCTTCAACTCCCGCGCCTGCCAGCTCGTCTTGGGAGCCGGCGCGACGAGGGGTTCCGCGGGCTTGAAGAATATCACGACCAAGCATCTCGCGCTTGCGCATCAGGCGGTCGGGTTCGTGGTCGCGCTCGTGCCGTATTTGCGGGAGTGTGTGAGGAGGCATTTGCCTGCGGGGAGTAAAGCCGGGGGTGAAGGCGGGGTGTTGGGGGAGTGGGAGAAGGTGAGGAGGGTGTGTCAGGAGCATCAGCGCGGGATTGGCGAGAAGTTGGTCGAGATCATGACGACGCGGTCCGGGGCGCATGTTAAGGCGCTTCACGCCCTCGACTTGGCCGCGGTGGCTGCGGTCGAGGGGGATGTGGATGAGGAGAAGGGGAGTCAATATGTGGAGACTCTCACCCGTGAGACGCTGACGCTGTATCGAGTGCTGAGCAGGCATCTGAACGAAGTGGACGTGGGCGTGATTATGGGACAGATCGGTGAGGCTTACAAGGGCCAGTGGAGCAAGGTTTTCCAGGAGAAGGTTTTTGAAGGGGAACAGCAGGGGAGGGTGTTGATGCGGGATGCGAGGGTTTTGGAGAGGAAGTTGGGGACGGTGGAGGGTTTGGATGGGGTGGGGAAGGAGGTTGTGAGGGTTGTTGAGGGGAGGGTTGGGGGTGGGGGGTGAGAGAAGATGAGGTGGGATGGGGGGTTGGAGGGGCTGTACAGGGTTAGCAATATCTCGATGTCAGCGATTCAGCGGTACTCATTCGTCTTCCCCGAATTGAGCTGTCCAGCAATCTGCCTTTGACGTCCTTTCTGCAACCTTTGAGGCTGCACTGTACCGAGTACTTTTACCTTATACATGCAGCCTGTCGTTGGAAGTTGCCTTGCATCTGAAAGCCAAGATTGGTACCTGCATTGTCGTTCCACTTTTTCTTCTTCGTATAGAGCAGTTACGAACATTGAACGACCCTGGACATCGGACGATAAGGACCGCAATGCACATCAAGCTAATGTAATGCCGTCCGTCACATAAACCTCCCTGGAGTACATCTTCTCTTTCATCTTGAAGTTCGTGCAGAAAGAAACAATGTCCGTCCGAAAGCGCGGTGAAGCACCCACGGCCAATGGCAAACCCAATGGCACTACAACCTACCACCTCGAGGCGAGCGACGCAAAGACCGACCATACCCGCTGGCGACTACGCGACGACGACGGCCGACATACGTGGCACTACCTCCAAACCGACGAAGAGTTGAAGCAATGGCCCATGACAGTGGCGGACCGCTATTTCCTCGGCATGGACCCGGTACGTGAATGCAAAAACGACATCACATGATACATCGCTAAACGAAAACAAAAGGGCCTCCCCCAACTCCCCACCCCCCGCACCCCCCTCCAAGCAAGCGAAAACGGCCTCGCATTCTACACCCGCCTCCAACTTCCCCCCGGCAACTGGGCCTGCGAATACGGCGGTCCCATGTTCCTCCTCCCCGGCCTCATCGTCACGCTCTACGTCACAGACCACCGCCTCTCCCGGCCCGAGGAAATCGAAATCGTGCGCTACATCTTCTCCATGCAGAACCTCGGCGCCAAGAACGGGGGCGATGGCGGATGGGGCCTGCATGTGGAGGGGGATAGTTCGGTTTTTGGGACCGCGATGAACTATACCGCTCTTCGACTCTTAGGCGTGGAAGCGGAGGATGAAAGGATGCGGAAGGCGAGGGGGTGTTTGCTGGGGTTGGGCGGGGCGCTGGCGGCGCCGCATTGGGGAAAATTCTGGTTGAGCGTGCTGGGGGTCATGGAGTGGGAGATTGTGAACCCCGTCCCGCCGGAATTGTGGCTGCTGCCGGATTGGGTGCCGATTGCGCCGTGGAGGTGGTGGATCCACATGCGGATGGTGTTTCTGCCGATGAGCTATGCGTGGAGTAAGAAGTGGGTTTATCCCCACGCGGAGACGGATGCGGTGGTAAGGGGACTAAGGCAGGAGTTGTTCACGCTGCCGTATGAGGAGGTCAGGTGGGGGAGGTATCGGAACGCGATTAGTGGGCGAGATAACTATCATCCCAAGTCGTGGGTGTTGAATTTGGTGAATTGGTTTCTGGTGCTGGTGTGGATTCCGTTTCTGAGGATGGGGTGGTTGGTGCAGAGGGCGGAGAAGTGGACGTGGCGCTTGATTCAGATGGAGGATGAGAATTCGGATTATGCGGATCTGGCGCCGGTGAATAATCCGATGAACATGCTGTGTTGTTGTATTGCCGAAGGACCGGAGGCGTATTCGGTGAAGAGGCATCGGGAAAGGATACGGGAGTTCTTGTTCATGTCCAAGGGCGGGATGATGATGAACGGCACCAATGGTGTGCAAGTCTGGGACACTGCTTTCACCATTCAAGCACTCGTTGGCGCTGGGCTGGCCACGAAACCGGAGTATCACGAGATGCTGCTCAAAGCACTCCAATTCCTGGAGAGCCAGCAGTTTGTCGACCACTGCGTCGGCTACACCACTTCACCCACCTACTCCGACCCACCGACCTCCAAGACCTCCCCCGAAACCGGCTACCGCTCCCCCAGAAGAGGCGGCTGGGGCTTCAGCAACCGCGACCAGGGCTACGTCGTCTCCGACTGCGTGTCCGAAGCCATCAAAGCCATCCTCATGCTGCAGACGCTCAAAGACCCCGCGAACCCTTCGCGACCGCTCTTCCCGGAAGTGCTGTCGCTGGAACGGCAGAAATGGGCCATCGATATCATCCTCAGCTTGCAAAACACCAACGGCGGCGTGGCATCATACGAAACGCGCCGCGGAGGCGAGTGGCTCGAGTATCTCAATGCGGCGGAAGTCTTCGGACGTATCATGGTCGAGTACGATTACCCCGAATGCACTACCGCGTGCGTGACTGCGCTGTCGCTGTTCCACTCCCTCAACCCCAACTACCGAGCCAAGGATATCGAGAACTTTCAGAAGAGAGCTGTGCAATGGATCCGCACCAACCAGCGCGCGGACGGGAGCTGGTACGGCAGCTGGGGCATCTGCTTCACGTACGCGGGCATGTTCGCTCTCGAATCGTTGAAAACGCAAGGAGAGACGTACGAGAATAGCGAGCGGGTGAGGAGAGCCTGCCAGTTCTTCCTGGACAAGCAGGCGGAGGATGGAGGATGGGGGGAGAGTTACCGCAGTTGCGAGACCGGGGTGTGGTGTCCGCATCCGGAGGGCAGTCAGGTGGTGAATACGGCGTGGGTGGTTATTGGGTTGCTTGAAGCGCATTTCCCGTATAAAGAGCCGCTGGAGAGGGCGGTGCGGTTGTTGATGGGAAGGCAGCAGGGGAATGGCGAGTGGTTGCAGGAAGGGATTGAGGGGGTGTTTAATAAGAGTTGGTGAGTTTGCCTTGTCTTTTCTTTTTGTTGAAGTGAAAATGAAAGGGTGGGATGCTGATGTTTGGTGTGGCAGCATGATCTCGTATCCGAACTACAAGTTCATCTTCCCGGTCAAGGCGCTGGGGATGTTTGAGAGGCGGTTTGGGGGGTTGGAGATGAATGGGAGTGTTATGAATGAAAAGAGAACGAGCAAGAAGGAGGAGATGAATGGTACTACCTAGATTGTGTGATAGAACGGGCTACCCTCCCCACGGGAGCACATCGCTGCAAGACATATGGGCTTCTCACCAACGAAGCTTCACTGTGTCGAGGACATCTCGTCCCCTCCATGGCCGCTGGAGCTCTCTGGCGGCGGGAGTACTGCTGAAGCCAGACAAAGTTGCCTTGGGCAGCATGGAAATAGTCTCCTGCGAACCGCATGCAAGCACAGCTGGTTCGCATCTGCAGGTGCTATTCCAGGCGCTGCTGCCGAAAGCTCCAGTGGAAAATGGTTGGACGGTCACACACCTGCAGCCATACCTGCGCAACCCTTCGAGATGAAATGTCCAATCACCCGGTCATGGACGCCGTGTGTCGAGACGTGCATGCCCTTGTCCTCGACCTGCAGCGTCTGCGCATCCGGCACATCGCATACCAACACTACGGCGCTCCCGCTCGACTCATACGAGAAGGGGGCACGTTTTCTGTAGATTGTCAGTCAAGCTTCTTCGGACCGGCTGCAGGGCTGATGGGGGCTCTCTGCGTAACCGTCGGCTGGACACGTGCGACGTGAGGGCTTCCACGAGCACTTTTGAATGTGGCCGCCGCCGCGTGCTACAGCGTGCGTGTCGTGTCCTGTCTTCCGGCTGCTGTCATACGACGGTGGAAGTGCAGTGTGCGTACAGTACCATTGTTGTGGTCAACGCCGGACAATGTTCCGGTGGCCAATGGAGTCTGAACCAGGACCAGGGGTTGTTGAGAGAAGAATGGCGTCTGCTGTCAAGGTGCACGGGTGCTGATGGGTGAAATTACCCCCGTCCCACTTGGTGTTTCAGGCTTATTGGGACGACCATATCGGATGTGTCACTTTTGCCAATGGAACAATCGCTTTCTCGACTCTTTCACAAAAGAGAGTGATGTTTTGCAGAGTGACGTCACGCGCTGGCAAGGCCTCGTGACCAGCAGCACGCCGAGGCCTGATATCACTTCTGATTCCACCCAACTTCCGACCTTCGACTTTCACTTCTATCTAATACAACATCGAAAGCGTACGTTGGAAGCTCCGCAGGCAATTTTAAAGAATAGACGCAGTTAGCTCAACGTCGCCGTTGCGGCCGCTAGCGACGCTCTTCCGGCTTCCGTCGCTAGCGCTTGAGCTCTCAGACACAATTTCGGCCTTCTTCGACTTCAACTTGCACTCTTCAAGTCACGTCAGAGCAACACACCACTCACCCAAGAGTGGGAGCCTCTGATCAGCCCTTCAACACCCAGCAGTCACAGCCATTGCCGTGCCAGCCGCACGTCGTGCACGCTTTTTTGCGTGTCATCACCATTGGGAACATATCTAACCGGCTGTCTTCATAGTTGCACTCACCAGCAGCTTTCCTGCACCCTCCTGCCGAGTCCGCACTCGACCGCCACCTACTCCTATCCCACCGACCGATAGCAGAGCTATCAATTACCAAGTACCATTCGCACGGCGTTGGGGCGTTACGGTAACGGACGTCAAGGAAAATTATCAGACATGGCTACCCCCACCCAGTCTCAGCAGCAGTACTCGGCTGGCGCCTATCCTCCATCTGCAGGCCAAGCTGGTCCTCTTCCACAAGCACAAGGCGGCTACGGCATCACGTCGCAATCTACACCAGGCCATTACGGTCCTCCTACGACCCCCTACAACTTTGACAAGTATGTGGTCATCCACATCGCGACCACTTGCGACGAGCACGGCGTGTACGTGACTAAGGATAGCGCCGAGGTCATCGAGATGGGCTGGGTCGTCGTGGATGCGAGGGATCCCAACTTGCCAGAGGTATGTCCAAGTTGAAGTGACGGTAATGCAGCTTCTGCACTCATCTTCTGCCTACCCCGCTACTTGCATGAAACCTCGCTGACAAGGGTATACAGCTCCATCGTGAGAGCGTTCTCGTTAAGCCCGTCAACACGCCCATCACGCCACTCTGCACCTCCCTGACCACCCTGACCTGGGAGCATGTCCGCAACGCTGGATCCTTCCGCGATGCAGTCGAGAAGTTTGTCGCCTTCGCGCAGGAGCACCTCATCAAGCCGGGCGCATCCCAGAACGACCCCCCCTCTTTCGCCTACGTCACACTGATGCCGTGGGACCTTCGCGTGCAGATGCCACGTGAGGCGCACGATAAGCACGTTGTGATCCCGCACTACCTTCGGCACCCGATTCTCTTCGGCCTACGTGGCGAGTACCAGAACTTTCAAGCTCACCATCCCGAGACTCTGGCGTTCAGCTCTTCGACCCTCTCCTCCATCTGCGCTGGCCTCGAAGTCGAAGAAGTCCGATCCTCTGGCAAAGTCACCGGCGGCCTTCCGTTCCATCTTCAAGCACTTGCACCATCTTCGCCTCGCCGCGCTATCGAAGAAGCACTTACGCTTACTCGCTGCTTGCGCTCCCTCGTCCAGAAGTCTCGTCCCAGCCAGACGAACCCGCACGGCGACCCCGACATTATGACCCGTCCTCTGGATGCCCGCAGCGACGTTCGTGCCTTCCTCGCGGAGCACTCCAAGGTCCTGCACCTCAGCGGCCTTCCCCACGACACCACTCAAAGCGAGCTCGAGAGTTGGTTCACCCAGTACAACGGCCGCCCCATCGCATTCTGGACCCTCCGTACCCCTGAAGGTGGTAAGCCCAGCGGCAGTGGGTTCGTGGTGTTTGGCAGTCATGAAGAGGTGAGCGATACATCCCCTTATACATGACTTCTTGCTAACATCTTTCTTCAACAGGCTGCAGAGTCGTTGAGCATGAATGGACGCGCTCTCAACGATCGTGCGATCGAAGTCTCGCCGTCCTCCAACCGCGTAAGTCAAGCCGTCCGGAAGACACGATCGGTCACGTGTGCTAATCGATGATCAGGTGCTCGAGCGTGCGTCCCAGCAAGGCCCACCAGGCGGTCCACCAGTCCTCACGCCGTTCCCGCCGTCCAAGAACCGTCCGCGCCCAGGCGATTGGACGTGTCCGTCTTGCGGGTTCTCAAACTTTCAGCGCCGCACCGCCTGCTTCCGCTGTTCGTTCCCGGCCATGGCGGCCCAGCAGCCAGACCCGTACGGTCAGCAGTACGGCATGGGGCCAAGCCCCTACGGCGGGCCGGGCGGCTACGGCCAGCCCCCGATGATGGGCGGCCCTCAGATGCACCATGGCGGTTATGGTGGCATGGGAGGGTCAGGCGGTAAGAGCACGTCAGCACGAACTCCTTCAACTCAACTCCAGACTAACAGATGTGTTGTAGGTCGCGGTGGTGTCGTCCCGTTCCGCGCTGGCGACTGGAAGTGCGGCCGTGACGGATGCTTCTACCACAACTTCGCCAAGAACGTCGCGTGCCTTCGCTGTGGCGCGCCGCGTCAGGAGGCCGCCGTCGTTGCTGAAGGCAACGGCGGCAACAACTACCACGGCCACGGAGGCGGATCTTCATACGGACCCGGTGGCAACATGATGGGCGGCTCGATGGGTGGTTCCATGGGCGGTGGCTCTTATGGTGGCGGCATGGCCCCCGGCGGCGACCCTTACGGCGGCGGTCAGATGGGAGGCCCTCCCGGCGGCTACGGCGGACAGTCATACGGCCCGCAATCCACCTACGCCCTTCCGTCAGGACTCGGCGCCCCGTCCCCCTACATGCAAAGCATGCATGGCGGGTACGGACAGGCGCCACCACCTACCGGACAGCAGAGCCCCGGTGGGTTTGACAGTCGTGCCGAGCAAGCGTTCAATCAGGGCAACGCGTCCGCGACCGGCGGTGCTCCTGGTGCTGGGTACGGTGCCAACGGCGGTCAGTACGGAGCCGGGCCCAGCGGCTACGGCAACGACGACGTCTCTCTGGCCTTCCTCAACTCGAGCATGGGCAATCTCGGCTTCGGCGAGCGCGACGATCGCCGCAACGGACAAGGTGGACAGGGCGGACACGGTCAGGGACAGGGACAGGGCAACGCCAAGTCCCCGCAGTAGAAGAAGGAAAGCTGGTTGTTTCACGGACAGGGCATAGCATACGGGGGGGACAGGAGAACAGGCATGATTGAGCGACGTCCAGGGTTAGCGATGGCGTGAAGGTGGGGGGCGGACGGTCATGTGTGTTTAGCGTGGCGTCGGTTGACTGGTCAGGCTGTGCTTGTTCTCCGGAGTGTTTGAGATTGATTGCTTTTCTTCTGGTGCTCTGGTTGAGTGCCGTAGATAGCTTGTGCAATGATGTGTTGATATCTTCGAGCTCTCTCCGACCAAGCAATGACTCCTATGGGGACAGCGGGCTTGAAGTGAGCTTAACGTCCAATCTCTGCATTTCCGAGAAGCAGGGCCAAGAAGCTGTTTAACAGAGCGTCTTCTCCAACATAGCAGCGCCTTAACAACATGATACAGTCGGCATCTCTGGCGTAAAAATTCTTGGTCTTCGAGAGACGGTGCAATCACTCCTGCCGCGTGAAGCGTGATCTCGTGTTTAGCGCGTACTTTGCCGAAAGTCAATCTCGTCACCCCACATATTGAACTTCCACCATTGCGACAACACTTTTATCTCACCACACACGATATGCGCCCAGGATGGCTTCGATCGCGGAGAGTACGCTGAACACTCTGGAGTACGAGAAACTTACCAAATGGCGCGACGACTTGCTACAGGTGAGCTTACATCCCCATCGACCGTGTAACGTGGCAGAACTCAAACTGACGCAAGCATCCTTGTCTACGCGCAGCAGCCGCCAAACGAAGCGCAGGCGAGCGGCGCGGCAGATCACCACCACCCGACCTCCAACTCCAACTCCAAACAGTCCACCGTCCCCGAGCCCGCGAATGCCTACAACACCCCTCACTCCCCGTCGAAAGCACCGCCACGCCTGTCTTCCTCCAAGTCTGCGCCGGCGAAGGAGATGGAGGCCATGATGGCGGCGCAGACTTCGCCATCGCAGGAGCCTTTCCGCGAATGGATGAAGGCGTCTTCGTTCTCGGAGTTTACGGGCGGCGACACGCAGCCCATGGACTCCCAGGTGTATCGCACGTACACTGAGTCGATGGCGAATCCGACCACCACGACGCCGAAGAAGGTGCTGCTCAGGCCGCAGATCTCGCCAGAGGGCAAGACGGTGTATGAGATGGAGACGGTGGATGAGGAACCCAATACTTATGTGGAAGGGGAGAGTGGGTATGTGGATTTGGTGAAAGGGTGGCAAGAGAGTTCGCCTGGTGCGCAGTCGGAGTCTTCGCATGCGAGTGAGTTGCTGAGGAGTCCGGAGACGCAGTTGCAGGTTGGTGAGATGGTGCAGCAGAATGCGCTGCCGGAGACGCCGAGTCTGGCTGGGAGCAAGCGTAAGAGGGATAGCCAGGTGCTTACTTCGGTCCCGACGACGAACAAGAAGACGCCGGGTTTCACGCAGCTGTTTGGACGGGAGAATGGTGGTGGTGGTGTGATGACTGCGACACAGCTGTTTAACCAGACGCAGGCTCCGTCGTCGCCGGTACCTGAAGGTCCACGATCCGATCCTATCATGACGCGCCCTTCGCCGAATCTGCAAAACCAGTACAGCGTCTCGTCTCCGAGCATCATGGCTTCTTCGCCAGTTGCGACGCGTAATTCAAGACTTCCTGCTGTGCCAGGCGATCCGAGGGACCATTACAGAAGCGTCAAGGAGTCGCAAGAAGCAAGAGCAGCAGCTCTGCGGCAGGACTACGGCGTGTCTGCACGCTTCAATGAGCAGTTCTCAGACGATGACGGGGATAGTCACGACACCGAGCGTCGGCGTTTTGAGCAGAAGAGGTTACAGAGGGTCATGAGCGAGACTGCGATCAATGAGTGGCAGCGGGTTCGTGCTCGGCCCCGGCCTGGGTCCCGGCCGACTTCTAGTCCGAAGAGGATGCAGACAATTGATCTGGTGACTCCTGGGACGAGCAAGATGGCTGCCCGGTGGAATCGTGATGTCGAGGAAGACTTTGATGTTGAACGCAACGCTGGTGTTGAGGAAGACGCTGGAACGGAAGGAGATGCTGGTGTTGATGAAGATGAGGCAATGATTGACCTTGTACAAGATGATGGAGATAACGACGCGGATGTGTATGATGAGCTCGCGCAGACCGTGCTTAGGAGTCAAGGACCTGCTGAGGACTTGGACGATGGCGAGGAGCAAGAGCAGAACGAGGGTGGCTCGGACCGGGGCTCGGACAATGGTGGTGAAGACGAGCCTGATGGAGATCAAGATGACGAAAACTGGGCTGGCGTACACCAGCAGCAATTTCCACGACTGGAGGACGACGTTGTTCAGAACAGCAGCCATCAGGCCGGCACCCAGCCCTCTGCCATAGCCGACTCCCAACCGCTATGGCAGCCGAGAGCATCCTCTACGCCACATCAGCGGGGGGAGGAAGGACCTTCGCTTTCATCGTTCATTCCCGGCTCGCAATACACTGGTAAGACCAGTGTCGACCAAGCCGTCATGCCCAGAAGGGCACAACGTGAAGCTTCGCAGAACGAGGACAAGGTCCCCAGCAGCCCGCCTCTGCCTCTACCTTTTGCAAGAGAAGAGTCTGGAGCCGGCAGCACGAAGACTTCGCAAGGTCTACCTCGCGCAGCGCCTAGAATGCGGAAGCAAGCAAGCTATGTCGCAGACTTGGAGGTGCCAGAGAGCGATCTCGCCTTGCCTGATGCTACGCAGCAACGTCCGTCGAGTAGACGCGGTCATCTGCCGGATGAGAGCAACAACGGCCAGCTGTTCTCCACCGCACGATCCCACGCCTCAGCTTCTGGTCGCTCGGCTAAACCGACCGCCTCAGCTCCATCGCCCGCCAAAGCCTTCGCCAGCCAGCAGAGCAAGTCCACAACCTCACAGACTCCACGCACGAAGGCCGGCGTGCGGCATTTCGCGGACATTGCCGAGGCGGCATCGACACCTAACGGCAGCGGGGAGACCGAAAACGAGGTGGACATCGATGCCATCATGAGCGATATGGTCACGGCGGAGGACCAGCAGGTGTTTGATGTTATGGAGAGTCCGGGTAGCGAGAGGCCGAATAAGCGGCGGAAGACGATGAAGACGTTTGCTGAGGAGGCGGCGGCGGAGAGTCCGGTGAAGGGTACGAGGGGTAGGGCAAGGAAGGGTGTTGTTGAGGCGGCGGCGGAGAGTCCTGTGAAGAGTACGAGAAGCAGGGCGAAGCGGCAGGCGAGGTTCGACGTTGAAGACTCACCCGTGGGGCAGGCGAAGGAGCAAGAGCCGGATGCGGAGCCACCCAGCTCACCACCACCTGTTTTGCAGGATGCTCCAAGCAGGGCTAATGAGCGCCGACGGCATGCTACTCCGCCAGCGGATGCGGTACCGGAGTCAACGCCAGATAGCGTCAAGCAGCGCGAGGATGCCGGAGCGAAAGTCGCTTCGCAGCTGTTGTCGAGGCGGTCTTCGAGGGCGCCTAAGCCTTCTGCTCTGCGAAATCTGAAGAATGGAAGGGCTACCGGCACAAAGCGGACGAAGGGAGCAATTCAAGAAGATGACTCTACGGAAGAGCAGTCTGCCATCATAGAAGAGACGGTGCTTGAAGAGGCTTCGGAGGACAATGGTCAGCAGGCTGCTGTGGAGGATCAAGAGCAGCCGCAGCAGCAGGCTACCGCATGGCTTTCGGACCAACCTACCCGCGTACTGGCACTGTTCAAAGGAAATTACAACAGCTTCTACCCAGCAACATGGCTCGGGACTTCGCCAGATGGCCGGAGCTACCGCATCAAATTCGAGGATGGGAACATCACATCTCTGGATCCAAAGCTGGTGCTGAGGTTTGAGCTGCGGGCTGGAGATATCATTAAAGTCGATCTGCCCAACATGCGCAACAAGTCGTGGGTCGTCGACCGGATGGGCCGCGCAGCGCAGACCGGTCTGCAGGGAGCAGAAGGCGTCGACTGCCACGGGTACGCCACTGTCTTCGTCCTCAACAAGGCATCGCGCGTCAGCGGCAATAAAGAGACGATGGCTGAAGGGAGTGAAGAGTCGGTCGAGGTGGCGCTGTCGTTCATCTACCTCAACAGGACCATGTTGCCTCACTTCTTCGATCGCGAGTTCACGCCGCCGAACCGCCTCGCCCAAGACCCCAGCCGACCGGCCACACCGTCCAACGGCATGCAGACGCCCGACTCCGGCACGCCTACATCCCGGTCTCGCCGCACCACGATTCTGACTACGAAGGCTCAAGCCAGCAGGTTGTCGAATCTGCGCGATGAGTCGGTGATGTCAGCGAGCCCATCCGAAGGCCAGCGACTCTTCACCAATATGGCTTTCGCCATCTCGTACGGCTCGAACGAAGTCGAGAGGGCTGAAGTTACTCGCTCGATCGTACGCAACGGAGGCATCATTCTGGAGCAAGGCTTTGATGAGCTTTTCGAGCTTCCGAAGCTCGACGATCAAGTCGACACAAGTCCGAATAAGAAGTCAGCTCGTAATGCCGTTGAAGACGACAACGAGACCACAAGTCTGACGTTAAAGCCTCAGTACGAGCGCCTCGGCTTCGTAGCCCTCATCGCCGACAAACACAGTCGGAGAGCAAAGTACGTGCAAGCGCTTGCCCTGGGCTTGCCAACTCTATCTGGCAGATGGGTCGCCGACTCTCTTGACTGCGCGAAGAACACGGCCCTCACCGCGGCCGAAGCCGCTCCGCTGTCCTGGTCAAAGTACCTCCTCCCAGCAGGCGAGAGCGCCTATCTCGGCAATGCTGTCCGGTCACGCACGATGGCCGCTTACCCTGCTTCCGAAGCCAAGCTCGCGACTACGATACAGAACCGCGACATCCTGCTCACCGGCGACGGTGTGCTGATCGTGGCGTCCAAGAAGAGCAAAGCTGTCTGGGAGCGCCGGAAGGCTTACGCTTTTCTCACGCTGGCGCTCGGTGCGGGTGGCGTGAAGCGGGTTTCTGACTTGGCGGAGGCGAAGGCTTTTGCTGATGGTGAGGAGTCGACGTGGAAGTGGGTGTACGTTGATGGGTCTGTGGCGGATGCGAGCAAGGCTATGTTTGAGATGGGCAGTGAGGGCGGGAAGAAGAGGAAGAGGGATACCGAAGGTGCTGCTGCGGCTGCGGCTGCGGCTGCAAAGGTCGATGCGAAGGCCATGTTCGCCAGGGACGGGAGGGTGACGATCGTGAACGACGAGTTTGTGGTGCAGAGCTTGATTCTAGGTGCTCTGGTCGACTGAGCTGGGATGAAGACGCGGATGTACCGACTTGCAAAGAGCCTGCGGTTGGAAAAGATGCCATCGCTACGAACGCTAGTATCACCGCAGAGCTACCCTCCAATGCAAACCCTACCGCAGCCCAAGCGGCTTCAATATCCTCTCCCTCGCCGTCTTTGCAGCCATCTCTCCGCCCCTCTGCATCGCCAGTGCCCCGATAATGCTGTACATCGTATGCGCCAACACCACGTCCTCCCCACTACTCTTCAGATTGTCGCTCTTCCGCGGCTTCCACCTCACCACTCGATTGATCCCATACGCCGTCGCCACCTTCGCCAGTCGCGTCTTGTCCAGTATCGCGTTCTTGGAGAACGCCGTAACGTTCTCCAGCCCTTCGAGCGCCGCGTGCTGGAAGACGTCGTCCTGCGAGGCGGGCAGCGCGGCGGGGGAGGAAGGCATGTTCAGTAGTGCGAGCGAGGTTTGGACGTCGACTATGCGTTTGCCGAGGAAGGCGAGTTTGTCGTTGAAGCCGCGCCGGCCGTGGTCGAAGGATTTGTGGGTTAGGGCTAGCCACTGCACCGTCCGTATTAGCAAAATCAAAACATCTTTTCTCTCTCTCCTCCCTCGCAACTTGAATGTGGGAGAAGAAACTTACCTTCACCTCCTCATCCAACATCCCCCTCCCCCTCGTATCCTTCACCTCCCCCTTAACCGCTTCCCCAACCCTCCCCATGAAGCGATCGTACATTTCATCCATCGCCTCCGCGTCGTCGTTGACGCGCCAGACGGGCTGTTTGGGCTCCGGACGTATGCGTTCGGGCATGCGCATGCCAGGGGGTGTTCTTTGCCATCGGGGCAGGTCGGAGGAGGAGTCGGAGGGGGGTTGGCGGCGTCGGGGGGTTGTGGTGGTGGAGGTGGCGAGGGTGCGGATGGTGGGGGATGAGGTGGTGGTGGGGAGGGAGCGGAGGCAGCGGAGGCAGATGAAGGGGGTGGGTGTGGGTGGCATGGCTATTTGATGGGGGTTTGGGGGAGGTGGTTGTGATGAAGGACAAGATGTCGTTGCTGCATTGGTCTTGGCACTCCCGAACGCCGCTGGCTTGCCGCCTCGCGTTGGAAGGCGCGTCTGATGGACAACCTTACTTCTTGAAGACCAGATTCACTTCACTTCTTCCGGCTGCGTTACCTAGATAGTTCGATTTAGATATCGGATACGAACAACTTGGAAACAGTAAACGTATCAATTTACCAATTGGCAACATCCCATTCAGGCCATGGCAGCTAAGATGGGATCGAAGACAACATCACTCAAGGACGATCTCACAGCAGCACTCCCGGAGAACTTTCAATGCAAAGTACGGTATATCCACTCACCACCAAGGCCATGCGATCCGCTCTTCTCTCCTCTACCTGGTCATGAGCCCGAAAAGACACGTTTGGCCAGCCATTTCCTATCTGCGAGCGTCAATCCATCTGGCGAGGCAACGCCGCGAGATGTGCTTGTGCTTGGGATCGAAGTGCTGGTCTACTCGACGAAGCATCTCACCACCATCTTCGTCAGCAAGGCGGACTCTACCGGCTTCCTGCAACGACAACGGCCTTCTCCTGTTCAGACCATCATCACGACATTCCTGAGCTGGTTATCAAACCAGGAACGCCAAAAGCATCCAAGCCGAAGGATCGTCATTTCGTTGTTCGCTCGAGCGCAATCGCAGTACCTGTTTCCAGGCTCGGCGGAGAATTCGAAGAAGCATGTGCTTGACGACCGACAACTCATTAAGTGGTGGGCTCGAGTCTTGGATCCCATCATTCCCAGCCCAGGCACAGCGAACCCGTCGGATGACAACCAGGAAGCGAGTCATGAAGGCTACATCACCGTCCCTGGCTACGAAGGTGCCGAAGTGCGCCAATTCATGCCACCGAGCAATGGCTCGTCGGGACGGCCACGATGGAAGTCTGGCAATCCGCTGCCCGAGCTCGCTCAAGCTCGCCAAATACAAGACGATGCACCACCAAGATGTTTGCTTCCACGCTTCCCCGACGATCCGAAAGCACGTTTCATGCAGGATCTGGACGATGAGATTGGATTGACCGGCGACACAGCAAATCCAAGCCCGACAAAAAAGCGTAAAAGCGGGAAATGGAGCTCGATACGGGATCTTGATCGTTTTTGGGAGGCCATGGAGTTTAGACAGGAGTGTTCATCCGGGCGGATGGTCGGCTTCTTATGGCTGGTAACACGACCGCCACCTTCGAGCCGAGGCGAAAATGTTGCCAATGGTGCCAGCCAGGAGTCGATGTTCGACAGCCAGAACAGCGAAGTCCTTTCTCAGCCGGAAGAAGTGGCATCAGTGAGCAGAAGTCCCACTAAGCGCCGACGAAAGCCCCTCTCTGGACCGATCATACCGCGTCAGCCACGCTTGAAAGGAGGCTCATCGTCTCTGACTGCAAGCTCAGACCTCTCAGGGATGCTGGACACTGGTATAGCCGACGGAGTCGTGCTGCCCAAAGAAGGGTACGCCAAGGCCATGCAGACACTGCTTCACCTCGAATTCAACACGCTCGATGCAGCGGTCACCTCGACGAGCAAATGGGTGTCTGAGGTGTCTGCCACGGGCGGTTTTCAGGCTGGTTCGTCGATTGAGGTTCAAGGAACTGCTAAAGTAGCGACTTCTGCGGTCACGAATGGCGGTAATGCGCAAGTGAATGACTTGGGCGGCATGATTAGGAAGAAACGCAAGCTAGAAGATCCTTTTGTCAGTCGGCCGGAGGAAGCGCAGAAAGCACAGCCTGCTGTGAATGTGCTTGGGGCCGGGATGATTAGAAAGAAAACTAAGCCTGTTAGCAGTTGAGAAGCATGCCACGATTGGATACTGAAACTCTCAAGGATCGAAGGCTGGACCGGTTTTGGGCAAGAGAAACATGTTGATGCCCTGACATATTCTTCCAGCTGTTTCTCCAACCTTGGGTATCCATACCGACAAGATCGAAGAAGGGGTCGTGGCCAATTTAGCTGCATCCTCCACACAGACTGTCACGACTCGCCTTGTTGTGAGCAGTGCTCACGAACGCACCTTTTGGACCGCTCTCTCTGCTTTGGCACGCTTCGAGACGTTGTATCTTGGACATTGAGAGGCACCTGCGCCAAGGTTCACGGTTGAAGTGAAATCAATAGCGCATCTTAGGAAGGCTGGTGAATACTAGCAGTAGGCAAACTAGGCTGAAAGCAAAGACGCCTTCGCTTGCTGCTCTTCTCTTCTCTAGTGTGCGCCACACCAGACCACGTTCCTCAGTCCTTGTCCTGACAGTACTTGTTATACAATACTCTCCCTGCTTCTCTTCACGTCGCAAGAGCGCATATACAAATCTCTGAGTCCTTCGTCGTTTCCGGCATCAAAGTTGAGTCTAGCCTCCAAAAATCAAAGCAGCAACTGCACCACAAGATCTCACGTACAGCCATCATGTTTGCCGCCGCAGTCAACTTTGCAGCAGTCCTGCTCTCCCTCGTGTCTGGCGCAATTGCTTCATCTGCCAATCTCGTCGAACGTCAGAGCACGGCCTACGTCGTTAATGGAGACTTCAGCGAGCCTTTGCTGGGAACTTGGGAGGTGATACCAGAAGGTGCAGGTACGTCGCTGTGTCCGCGCTGAATTGAGGTTGCATGAGAGATTGATCTTTGCTGCGAACAGTCAACGACGGTATCGTAACTCGCACCAAGAACCACAGAAACACCGTCGTACCATTCTCTGTCCCTGGCGACTGCAGCGTAGACAGTGTGCCTTCCTACGAGCTCCCGGGCACCATCGCCAACGTCAAGCCTGGTTACCGCTATCGAGTTTCTTGGGACTACCTCTTCTCAGAGCACTGGCAGTACGCCTTCTGGCGATTCTCGGCACAAGTCAGTCCGTGTTCAGCCGACGGGAGGGCATGGTCTCAGAGGTCTCGATTACACACGCACCGTAAAGAAGAACGAATGGTACACCTTCACTGGTGGTTTCAAGATCAAGGCGGATCGTCCGAAGGTGTTGAACCCGACTAATGTGACTCTCATCATTGGGTATTGGAAGTGCTCGAGTGTTGGGCCGAATGGTTTTTCGGGAGATGTGCCGATTGACAATGTTCGGGTCAGGGAATCATCACCTGTTTGACGAGCTAGTGTGTCGAGAAGAGTGGTGTGAAGACATGTTTACGAAAGTATCTATGCGCAGATGATGGCAGCAGCCCGTATCGACGTTGCAAAACATTCATCAAAACAAACCGAAAGACTTGCGTCACCTTCTATGCCCATATGTTCAACTCAGTGGCACTTCAAGAGTCGAAAAGCGCCCCATACGCCGGCACACCTCTCTTCTCAAGTCCGCCTACCACAGTGTTCGTGACCTTCGGATTCGCCACCACCATCACCGCCTCGGCTCTACTCTCCTCCTTCACTGCCCACGCAAGCGCCACAAGATCCGGATGCCCCGTAAGTGCGGTATCGACGACGATTGCCCTCGGATCAGCCTTCAAAACCGCGTTTAGGATGTCAGACCCGTAAGTCTTCAGCGGCGAGCGTGCGGACCAGATCACTCGAACCTGCCACTCTGGTTTGGCCTGCAAGAAGCTGAGCGCCGGTCCAATGCCGGAGCCTGTTGCCAGGATCACCAGAGGCGAGAAAAGGGAAGCCACCCGCATCAAGCCGACAGTGGGAGCACCTTTGGTCCAGATGTGCTTGGGTGGATCGTTGATCTGGCGTGAGGTCCAGTCGCCGGCGTTGGAGATGAGGATTGAGTAGCCTTTCTTTGGGTCTGCGTCGGAGCCAGAGGAGTTTGTAGGATTTGGTATGGTAGCAAAGCCGTGGTTCTCGAGCAAGGGGTTCGTAGCAAGGCGGTAGCCGATACAGTGTGAGACACGTCGATCGTTGAAGTGCAGGCGTAGGGCGTGATTGGAGAGGCGCTCTGAGTGGGTGATCGTCCGACGGCGGAGGCGAAGCCATGGGTAGATGATCAAGACGGTGATGATGAGGAGGAAGTAGAAGGTCGGTGTCTTCGACAAAACAGTTACTGTCGGCTGAGAGGCGCGGTGGGCGTTGACGACAATAATGATGACTGTCTGAGCCCAGACGAGTAAAACGACCGTCCAACCGCCGAAACGATGCGTGACTTCCCACTGATTGTGGAAGCATCTCCGCACGGCAGGATGGGCCATGCCGATGATCATGACTAGCAGTACTATCGTCAACGTCGTTGTAATGGCTAGAGCAGTCTGCTCCGCCCGTGTGCCCTGGAATTGAAAGGTAGCCAGCGTAGCATAGACGATGTACCAAAGCATTGCACTGATTCCGCAGCCGGAGTGAATGCCGCCGTAGCTATACACCTTGGCCGCTCGCCGTCGAATCCAAAGTGGAGTTGATATTGGCAGGATACAGGCCATCCGGAACAACATGTTGATGAAATGTTCATGTCGAGCCAACGTGGCCAGGAGAAGGTTGGCTCCCACCGCTGTCGCTGCATCGCGATATCCGAAGCTACTGGTGTTGTTGACGGTGCTCAAGAGCAGAACGATAATTGTGATGATATTGGCCAGCAGTATAAGAGCCCACATCCTCATGTAGTAAGTCATGTGTCGCCAGTTCGTCCATCTTGATGACTCCTGAACCCGTGGTAGAGGGTGGGCAGTGGTCAATGTGGACAGGTCCTGCGCCGTGGCGGTGCAATCGTCAAGATTAAAGATTGGCTCCAGTGACTCCTGTTCAATCCTGAGTCGTTTTTCGTCTATGAATGTAGCGGCTGGCGGTGTGAGGTCTGGCAGTGAATACGGATTATCGTTCCAACAGTCTGCGTATGCCGCACAGTGTGTTTGCTGCTGTTTCGGGACTTCAGCAACAAAACTTCCAGTTCGCGGGCAATTTGGCGCGCTGTTGATGAAGGACAGCTGTGGTGCGCCGTTACTGTCTCGCCGGATTACAATGTTGTTGGGCACATAGATAGGTCTGGGTCGTTGAGGAAGCGGACCTCTGGGTGGTCGGAAGACTGGATGTAGATGCTCGTGTCTTTCGCTTCGAGTGGTGGCAGATTCGTCTAAAAGATCATCTGAGTCCGCCGTCGCTGCCTCCCACGCCTGTGCAAAGGCCTGATCCAGATTCAGAAAAGTTGTTGTCGGGACCATAACGGATAAGATATTGGTCGGAGCCAGCCAGGGATATTTGTTCTGCTCGTAAGCTTCGTAATTCGGATGTTCTTTCCAAGTGGACGAATCTTTGTGTAACAAGGAATCGGTCTCGAGGCCAGAAAAAGCTGACCAGGGGCTGTACAGCGGTGAATGCGGCAAAGGCAAGGAGCGGCTTTGTTGAAGTTTGTTGAGACGGTGCTAACCGCAGGAAGGCTCGAGAATTGGTCACGGCAAGAATGTGACGGTTCGATGATACTGTGTACTCAGAGAAACTGGAAAAGAGTTTGAAGGAGGAGGGGCCAAAGAAACAACCAGACTGGCAACTAGTAGACAGAGAAAAGTACAAGGCTAGCCATAGTCAACTTACGCAATCCTGTCGGTCATGCTCGCCGTCAACGTTTTGCCTCATTAGTGGATTGCAGGCAATACTCGGTCGTCCACTGCTGTCGAAAGACGGAAAGGAAGGCGAAGGGTTGTAGGCTGTATAGGAGTCATCTAGTCGTGGTGGTAGCCCGATTCGTTAAGACTAGATCGATCAGCTAAAGCCTTGTGGAAGCCACATCTGCCTCTGTGTTCTCGAAGACCGTGTGGAGAAGCGTGGCGACCTTGGCCGAACGGTCACACCGACATAGGCAGTTGCGCTACTGTATACGCCGGTGTTGTAGAGGTGGTAGCGGGTTGCTACGGAGCCCTTGTTCATGCGATGGATGCGATGGATGCGATGGATGCGATGGATGCGATGGATGCGATGGATGCGATGGATGCGATGGATGGGATGGACGAGATGGATGAGATGGACGCGATGGATGAGACGGATGTGATGGATGAGATACACACCGCCCTCCTACCCCTCGGTGCCAACGAAGCGTATTGACCAAATGTGAACAAGGGGTGCCGAACAAGGGCTCCGTAGCAGCTCGCGAGGCGGTAGACGTTACGTTTGTGTGACATCTCCGGACCAGGACTTTAGCCCTGTGCAGGGCGCTCGTTGTCATGCGGAGTGCATGATGGCTGCATGTATGCCGGCGGTTCGGTCGCCAGCTGCCATGCCGTGTCCCAGGAACCTGGTGATGCTCCTGGCAAGGCATGGCTGAAGTCGCACGCTGGTAAAGCTTAAGACAACCTCGCGCCCATGCCCTAGATCTGCTCAAAACATGGGGAGGCACTTAAAGGCTTCGCATCCCTCGATGTCATCTGATCAGTTTCCAGTGTCCTTCTACGATCACGGCCAGAGAGTTCGGGCAGGCTCGGCCTTGATCCAGAAGGCGCAACGGGAGCGTTGGAAGGCGTCGGTAGGATCTTCCTTCGTGCTGCCGGCAAGTGTTGCGCGATGTGAAAGAGCAGAAGGTCCTGAGACCTCGCGGCAAGATTTGGCCATCAAGCAACGCCATTTACGCCACTCGCTTCCGCCCGGATCTGGTACCACCGTGGCTGCAGACGTCCAGCGATCGAGACATTGCTGCACTAGTATCGCGGGACAGTACAAATTTTCAAAATGCCCGTCGTAGTAAATGCGAGGAATTCCGAACGTTGGACGGTCGATCGAATGCTTTGTGTGCAGCTACTGTTGGCGCACCATCATGTGCCCCAAGTCAACAACCTGAAATCTTTGCATACATGTAGAATGTTCTGTCTGGAACACAATCCTTCCATTCCTACCAAGCCAGTGTGTCGCCGTATCTGGCGGAATGTAGTCGGTAGCATTGGTGCCGTCATGCAATCTGCGATGCTGTGATTCTGGATATTGCGACCAAAGTCTTTCGAAGCCGTTTCTTGTTCTTCAATTCTTTGCTGTTGTTTTTTTGGCGTCTCCAACAACAGTCGGATTAAGCGCTTCGAGGCGACATTCAACCTGAAATCCATTTGATGTCAAGAATTCGTCCAAAAGCGACATGTCGATTCGAGGTCCTCCGCAATGGCATCAAACGCCGCACATTCCGATGTGCACTCGCCGAATGAGTCGAGTGGTCTTGCAACGCCTGGAAAGATTCATGGAAAGAGCCAGGTCCAGCGCTTTCCAGCGGCTGCTGTCTCCAGTGTCGGCCTTGATGTCCCGGGTTGCTTGTGCTTTCATGGGAAAGAGGTACGCAGGTCACAAGCTAGAAAACCATCCGCACCCAAGCGTGAAGCATGCGACATGTTCTCGTGGACGTCAAAGGCCACTTGATATCGCTGTTGGGTATACGCAGACTTAAATTTCTCCCAGGACATCAACCATCAGCATGGAGGAGGACACACACGGACCGACAAATTCGCCATTCTGCGACCCAACCGGCAATCTTGCCTTGTGGACGTTGTTCTTCGTGCCGAATACAATCAACAAGCCTGTACTTATCGATGCTGCGGACCCGGAACGTGCCCTGACGCGAGGCCGTGTAACAGATCTTGTGGGCAGTTTAGCAGGAGCCTTCGAACCTGAAGTTGCCGTGTGCCTCCATCTGCCGAACGATGTGCTGTACCCAGTCCTGATGCTCAGCATATGGGCAAACGGGGGTATGTGGACCGGATCGAACATCGCTTATACCGAGCATGAGTTGCGCCATCATCTTCTAATGTCCGGAACATGTCGCATCATCACAATGCCTGAGCAGCTACCCACGGTGGCAGCGGCGGTGCTTGACGTGTGGCCCGAGGTGGAGGTGATTATATTCAGCGACATTCTGCGAAAACAAGCCACCCCGGAGGAGCGAGTGGAAGGTTTCAGATCACTCCATGATATTCAGCGGCCCTTCGATGATACCAACGAATTAGCTGTGGCTTCGGACCTTGAAGGTTATATCGCAGCTCTGCAATCAACTTCGGGTACGGCGGGCCTTCCGAAGGTTTCGATCCGCACGCACAAATCCTTGATGCTGGAGTCCATGGCCATTGAGGACAGGGCCATTGCCAAACCATACGAAGAAGGTGCTGAGCAGCCATACGAAATTCGACGCCTTTTTTGCACACCCATCTTTCATGCCTTCTCGACGCCCTTAATGGCCATCAACTCAATCCGATATGGCCATACGACTTACATCATGAGAAGGTTTGACGACACTTTTGCTCAGAAAGTGTTTGACTTCCAAATCACGGAGACAGCTGCGGCACCGCCGATGCTCATGAAGCTCTGTGAGCAGAATGAGTCACATCATCTTCTGCAAAGCCTGCGCAAGGTCTGGTCTGGAGGAGCACCGCTGTCCCAGGATCTGAGAAGCCGTTTTCTCGGAATCTTCGCCAACCCACTACGAATCGTGCAGGTCTGGGGCATGACGGAAGGCGGTTGGTTCACCACATTCCAACGCTGCGAGGACGATTCGACTGGGTCTGTCGGCAGGCCGCTAAAGGGTGTCGAGATCAAGGTTGACCGAAGTAAAGATGGGTTGCAGCTGCGGGGAGACAAGAAGACAGGAGAACTCTTGGTCCGTAGCGAGCAGCTGATGGTGGGCTACCTTCGAGATGAATCAGCCACCTCAGATGCCTTTGATGGAGATTGGTTGCGGACCGGCGACGTCGGATATATCGAAGACGGCAAGGTCTTTCTGGTCGATCGCGCGAAAGACCTTATCAAAGTAAACGGTTGGCAGGTCTCCTCGGCGGAGATCGAAGGGGTGCTGCTGGAACACGAGGCGGTGAAGGACGTTGCAGCCGTCAGCGCCGGGAGTGGAGTCGATGAACACCCCTTGGTGGTCATTGTGCCTCGGTTTCTGCCATCTCCCGAGAATATGGGTTTGGCTCTATCGATCATGCCCTCACTGGAGGATCTCCTGCGGACCCGTCTTGCCCGCTATAAGGTGGCGAAGATCGAGTTCGGGTTTGTCGAGTCCATCCCTCGAAATTCGAGCGGAAAGATCTTGAGGCAAGAGTTGAAGAGTTGGGCGGAGGAGCAGGGACTGTTGGAGCGGTAGACCTCATGCCAGCTGGAAGAGCAGAAGTTCCACTCGTTCATCCCTACCGCAGGCATCAGGCTGGAGCGATCATTATGCACGAGGCATGGCTTCGCGCCAATGTGTTATCGGTATTCCCGTCTAATCAATATATAAGTAGCTGCACCAAGGAGATGTCGCCTCACTAATTCATGTGTGGATCGAAAAGCAATGAAATCCAGGAATCGAGCTGAGGTCGGTCAAGTCAGTGGAAGTCCAATACATCGTGACCACAACTTCCGTCCTTGTCCAAAAGTCGTGTTTCCAAACCTCTTCTCCAACCAAAATTTCCTCAACCTCATCCTCCTTCTTCTCCCCACGCATCCTATTTAGACAGTGCATGCCAGCAGCCGCCGCGCCTCGCGTTATGCCGGGCGCGGTTGTGGCCTTCAATTGTTGACCCTGCGATTCAGCGGTGCGGAGACGAAGAAACAGAGATTCCATAAGAGCTGGCCATGCATTTACGTTGGTTGCACGGGCGGCGTCAGAGGGATCGGACAGACACAAGCACCCGAGCGAGGTGTGAGGCAAGGAGAAGAGGACATTGTACGCGCGCCTGAGAAGAGCAAGCGGCTTGAGAACGGAAGGCGTGAATGGCTCATTCGATCACATAGGTCGGGTATCCAACTATTCATCCTTTGAAAGCGCAGACTCTGCTGAACCAATCCTTCACGTAGCAGTCTACCGTCTTCCTTTCCAGTTGCCATATCCAATCGCTCCCACCACTTCGCCATGATCATTGCAAGGCAGAAGGTCTCCGACGTCGCCCCCCCAAGCCCTGCACCTCCAATCTCCTCTCCTCACACCCTCCTCCTCTGGAACTCAACCGCCGGCCCCCTACAATTCCACCCCCTCCCCCGTCCACATCTGCCCCTTCCCCCACAACTCCTCCGCCCACCCCCTAAACCTTTCCCCCTCCTCCCCCCTCCCAACCCTCATCAACATCCCCGCCGCACTATCAGAAGCATTCCCCGCCCCGAACAACCGCTCCCCGCGCGTCCTCCCGCGGTCCTCGTCCCGCAATTTCGACCACGTGGGGTTGTTCTTGAGCGTGTTGACGAGAGTGGTGGGGGAGATGTCGAGGATTGTCGAGAAGACGGTGGTGGTGTAGGTGGCGTGGTCGGCGGTTGGAGGGTGGGTGAGGCGGGAGAGGGCGGGGAGGTAGGTCTGTGGTGGGTGGAGAGGTTAGCTTGGTTGGGGGGTGAAAAGGGCTGGGAGAGGATGAAAGAGGGGGAGGTACGTGGTAGAGGTGTTGTTCGAGCTGCGTTGCGCGAGATGATGAGGAAGGCATTGTGGTTGTTGTGGTGGGTCGTTGTTGCGTTAGTAGGTGAGTGTGTGGTTGTGGTGTCGTGCTGCAGCTGGTGACGTTTCAAGCAGTGGTCGAAGGACTCGGGCTGTGGTGAATGCGATGCGAAGGTGAAATTTCTTGGATAGCGACAGTATGGAAGTTGGTATGCGGCAATGCAAGCGAATGGATTGATGACCGGTGAATGTGAGCTTCTCTCAGACAGTCTCAAAGTCATTGATCAAACCCTACGAGGAGGATCACCAAGGCATCACATGCTCATGTTTGCCTGCCAGACAAATGTTCACGTCTCACCTCGCACAACATCCAGGCAACGTGGCGGCCGCCGTCTCACTTCACGTAAGAAGGGATGCGCGTACAGGTATCGTCATTGGACAACGCAGAACGCACGCATCGGCATGCTAGGCAGACGTGCATCGTACATAGATGGCTATACAAGAGCAGCGACCCCCAAAATCCCAAACGCAAGTACACCAATGCCTCATGCCAACGCACTCGTCATCTGTACAACCTTGGATCCCCAGGCCCATCGTACCTTTCCCCGTCCGCGCCTTTCGCTCCAGACTCTTCAATGTCTTTCAAGCACTTCCCCTGCCGTCCCACCTGCTCCCGTAAGAACTCCAGTGTCCGCTCATCTTTCGTGTAGAAACTCTTACTCCTCGCTCCGCACGCGATATTCGGCGCCGCACCCGCGCGAAGCGTCTTTAATCTGCCCTTCTCATCTGCACCCGCTTTTTCAGCGCTCTCGCCTCCGCCGCCTGTTCGTCCTTCTTCCGGATGCGTGGCGAGTGCGATCTCGGACTCCATGTCCATGTGGTGGAAGAGCTCCGGGTTGGCGCTCCAGCAGCGCAGGCCTAGATCGCGACAGCCTTCCAGCACGCGCACGTCGTAGGCCATGGTCCCGCCTTCGGATTCCTTGGGCGCGATCTCGGTCAGAAGACGGCGAGCGGCGTTGCGAGTGACTGCGAAGCCGAAGGTGCAGAGGGGGAAGATGGATTGGTGGATCATGCGGGTGTCGTCTGGAATGGCGATGGACTGCAGGAAGGCTTGGGTGTAGGGGTGCATCTCGCGCCGAGGAGGTAGGGTGGGGTCGTTGTAGAGGACACGTGGAACTTGGGCGGTCCATGAAGAAGGGCGGAAGATGTCGCCGCAGTGGCCGAGGTAGAGGATGTCCCAGGTGGAAATGTTGCCCCAGAAGTTGTTCTCCTCAGGGTAGTGTTGGAGGGTGCCGGCTGGAGTGGTCTTGTCAAGGACGAGTTGGCGGACGGCGGCTGCCGCGGTGGGTATTTGAGTCGTCCGGAGGTGTATGTCCCAGTCTACGTCGTCTTCGAGTATCATGACCGACTCGAGGTCGCTGGAGAGGAACCATTGTAGCGCATTGAGATGTCCCAGCCATGCCAGCGCGCTGCCTCTTGATATCCGACTGTCCCTGTCTGCTCTTATTCTGTTTACATCTTCCTCTGTCCACTTCGGTTGGTCGGGGATGGTAATGTCGATTTCGGTAATGTTGGAGGCCAGCAGCAATCCTTCTCGTCGTGGAGATCCCTCGCGCGACACCGCCAACACTGCGCCGAACTACACCACTGCAGTCAGAACCTAATCGCATCCTTCCAAGACATGCGGCTGACGCATGCAAGACATACCCCGAGTGTCGCATTCGCCAGATCGAGCTTCTTGGGATCCACCCGTAATGAAGTCTGCTCGTCCGGCGCAGAGCCTCCGCTTCGCGAACCTCCTCCCCGCTGTACAATGCTGTCCCGCAAGCCCAATGTCCTGTACAATACGACCGTGACGCCGAAGAATAGCACGATCAGAAGCGCGCGCTGGGTGCGGCGGTCCATGATTCCGATCATTGCGCGGCGCGTGGAGCGCTGAGCTGTTGTCACGAACCCAGGAAGTAGAAGTAGCAGACACTGGCCATTGCTAGGGATTACCGCGCGCACAAGATGTCACAGAGAAGTATAGGCGAAGGAGTGGTGGATGGATGTAGTCAGGCTATGGAGGGGTCGTGGCTGGCCCGTTTTGCCTTAGTAGGATTTCCTTCGTGCCGTTGTTGCGCGCGGTGCAGGGGCTGCATCCATGGCGGCGATGCTCCCCATCTCCCAGCCGTGTTCAGTGTTTACAACAACTACGTCGAATGATAGACAAGGTAAAGACGTGGTACGGAGATGCGGCTCCGGCGGTGTTACCTCGCAACGGCAGTGGGGGTCCAAAGGGTCTCTTGAGACTTGCGGGCACACCAGGCCAGGATGGTGCTTGGGAACGAGCATTGGCTGTGGGGAGAGGGCCTGGAGAGTTTGAGCATTGTTTTGACCGGCGACGCGGTGCCGTCTCGCATTCTCTTCTTGCCTCAATGCCAGGTCGTCGTCCACTCGCGGACTTGTATATCAGCCTTTGCAGTCCCCACAAACTGCCCTTCAAACGGCGGATCCTGATCACATCACTGTCGTGTGACCATACAGCACCCTACCCCTGCACCGTGCGTCCGCCGATCCCTGTGATTGCGGCTCTCTTCCTCCAACGGCGGCGGGTACAAGAATAGGCGCGTGTCGCAACGCCCAAGACTTCGACCTTGAAATTCTCACAAGTCGGCGCGTGAGCAGCATGCATCATGGCCGATCTGCCCTCCTCGCCGCCGTCACAAAAGGTCTCGCGTTACCGTTCGCAGCGCAAACCACACCCCCCACCAGATGAGCTTCGCGACCCGCTGCCCGTGCAGCAGCATGAAGTCCCCGCCGACGACAGCTTTACTAGAAGCAAGTCGCGTTATCGGAGAGGGCCAACAGGCGCGAGTAGGCCGGCGACAGCAAGAGACCAGGACCATGTCGACGTCGTGCCGAGACCAGCCTCCAAACGAGTCGCCTCGGCGGAGCGGACGGCGCAAACGCAAATGAACAGCAGGCCGCCCAGTCAGCGACAGCCTGGAGGCCTCAAGACGTATCATGAACGGACAGTGAGTCCTCCGACACAATCTGGAACCGTAGATACGCGAAGGGTCAACGGAGGAGAGCTTGATTGGGATGAGGAGGACGGCAGGAGGAAACGACTACAGGAGCGGTACAGTGCGCAGCAAGGCCAGGTTGCTGGTTTGGTAGCAAGGAAGAGGTCCTCACCACCTACCGGCGAACTGTTTCCACCACCGCAGCCGACAGCAGTGAGACCAACAACCCAGCCAGTCGTTCTGGACGGCCCGCCAACTTCAGACCAAATACGCGCAACTAAGAGTACGAGTGCTCTGCCGCAGTTCAAAGACGACGAAGATGAGGAGACAGCTGGATGCTTCGGTCTGTTCAAGCGGAAGAGAGGAGAGGTCGCGCCACAGAACGAAAAGCACACACTGTCGCATCCTGTTCCGAGCAACGAGCCTGCTACAATCAAGCCTGGTGGCGGAGGCGTGGTTCCCGGAATAGACGCACCGGTGTCTGCCGTCAACTCTGGCGACCGGTCGGTTCTGGTAGAGTGCGGCAAATCGAAGACCGTTTTTCCTGTCACGCCTACAACCACACCGGTGGACATCATCAAGACTGCTTCGGTCTGCATGGCGGAGCGCATCGATCTAAAGTCTGCCGTTCTGATCGAGTCTTTCATCACTGTCGGCATACAGCGTCCGCTGCGGCGGTACGAGCACATCCGAGACGTGATGAACAGCTGGGATACGGACCGATCGAATGCACTGATCCTCGTTGACCCTGGCACTGGCAGCTCGGAAGTGGAGTTGAGTGTGGCTGGCGCGCCAAAGCAGAAACCAGAGGACCACAGCTGGTTCATGTCATTCTCCCAAAAACCCGGCAAGTGGGACAAACGATACATCAGCCTTCGATCAGACGGTCAGATCGTGGCTCAGAAGGACCCGGACAAGCCAAAGGATGTCGTGAACGTCTGCCATCTCAGCGACTTCGATATCTACACGCCCACGCAGGAGAAGGCCCGAAGGAAGATCAAGCCCCCGAAGAAGATGTGCTTTGCGATCAAGTCGCAGCAGAAGTCAAGTGTGTTCGAGTCTACGCAGAACTTTGTGCACTTCTTCTGCACGAATGATCGTCAGACTGCAGATGACTTTCACGCGACCATACAAGGATGGAGGAGCTGGTATCTGGTCCACGTCATGGGAGAAGGCCGCAAGCCGAAGTCTGCTGAAGGCGCTGCTATGGACAAGGAGATTGGCCGCGGCAACACCCACCGCACTGGCAACTCAATGGACTCGGCTTACCACCTCGGATCATTCAAGCCATTGATAGAAATGGATCAGCTCGACAGGCGGCCTGGAACTGGAAGATCAGCTGAAGCACCACCGCCCATGTCCGCTGGCTTTACGAAGTCTTCGAGTCAATTCGATACCACCGTCTCACCCGAGCGCAGAACGAGCAGAGCCAAGAAGCAGCGCCCACCCGGAGCGATGGGCAACAGAGGACATCTGGCAGAAGACGAGCCGCTGGCTAACCTTGGAACGAGACCTTCAACGAATCGCAGGCGGCCATCCAATGATCAGACAAAGGCCAGCCCAGAAGAGTTTCTGACAACAGGGCTGCTTGGGCGGACATACTCGCAGCGGCAGAGAGAGAATGCCGAGCGGGAGAACAAGAAGGAAAGCCCCTTCACCAATGGCTCGAATCTGCTCAATACTGGCTACGATGTCAGAGAAGAGGAATACTCCGGGCGCAGATCCTCGGACCTGACACCCAAGCGTACACATTCGACTCGAGCTCAACATGCCCATGGAGCGACCGACAGCGGCGGCATCCACCGCTCCAATTCCCGCGCCAGGGAGATGCCCAAGCCTCTAGTCGACCTAACGCCCCAATACCGCGAACCACCGCAGCACCTCAAAAAGGGCCGCGGCTACAACCCCGACGGCGGCGCAGGCGCGCTGATCGAGAACGCCACATCTCCCGAAGACCCACTCGGACTCCCTCCCAGCACCGACTGGCGCGCCCGCAACAATGCCAGCGGTAGCCCACAGAGCCGCTCACCTCCACTCTCTCGCAATCAGACAGTCAGTAGGTCTATCAGACGACCCGCTGCAGACCAGAGCGCTTTCACAGGCGAGGGTCTGATGGCGGGCCCGCAGGCGCAATCGGGCTGGGGCGGAGGTACGAAGGGCAGAGGCGTGATGGATGGCAGTCGAGCGAAGGGGCCGATGGTGGACTTGACGCAGCGGAATCAGTTTGCTAATGGGAGTCTGCTTGGGAAGGTCGAGAGGGCGGCAGGGCAGCCGCAGCCGGTCATTGATCGGTCGAGGGAGGATTAGGGAGGGTTCGTCTTTGGGTTGGCGGTTTGGTTGGGTTGGGAGGACGGGACATAGTGATACCCCTGCATTACATCTAGGCTGTTCGAATGTTGAAGAATGCCATCATCGACTCAATCACATCTTGCACATGCTTTCAGCTCGAGTCTCGTGCTGTTGCTGTCTTTGACCCGCATGAAAAGTCCAAGCACGGACTCTCCAATGCTGACCTCATCTCATGCTTCCACTCGACTCGCTGGCCACTTAAGCTAAACATTAATTCACAAACACTATCCCGACATCACCTCCACCTATCCCCGGAGCAGCAGTATACGACGTCTCCGTATACCATAATGTAATACCAAACCAATGGCCGATCAACCCACCACCATCCCCATTACCTCGCTCACCCCCCACACGCCCCTCCCACCCACCACCTCGATTCGCGCGACTATAACGCTCTCCTGGCCCTACTCCTCAACAACCCACCAATGCGCCCTCCTCCTCTCCGACCCGGACGCCCGCCTCCGCAGCCGCGGCGCACAAGTCCGCGTCCGCTTCTCCGGGCCCGCGGCGCAGGCTGTTGCGGAGGCGAGGGTGGGGATCGGCGATGTTGTCGTGCTGGGGCTGGATGGTGGGAGGTGGGAAATTGATGGGACGAGGGAGCGGACGCCGGGGAGAGGGGTGGAGGGGGGGCTGTGGTTTCGGGGGAAGTTGGTTATGAGGGTAGAGGGCAGGGATGATGGGGGGGAGGTTAGGGTTGATGAGGTGGAAGAGGGGGAGGAGGGGGAGAAGAGGAGGGATGGGGTGGTAGAGACGCCGATGAGGAAAGATGTGCCGGGGTTGAGGGAGAGGGTGGGTGAGGAGGGGGAGGGGCAAATGTATGCTTCGCCGGCTTTTGCGAAGAGGGTGCGGTTGTCTGTGGATAGTTGGGTTGGGACTATGGCTGGGGATGGTCCGTTTGAGAGGGAGGTGGAGAGGTGGGAGGCAGAGCAAGGCGGGCAGAGGAGGTCATTTGGTGCGGTCAGGCAGTGGAGGTATGCTGAGAAGTCGCCTTCGCCAGTCAAGGAAGCCTTCGAGAACGGAGCTGCTGTGGCTACGGGACCAGTGGATGGCGACCTCCAGGCTACGATGGGGAGTGAAGATAGGGAGATGCTACCGCCGCCTCTGCCACGACTGCAAGTGCCGGATGCCGAAGGTGAGGCGCCACAAGCGACCATGCCAGAACAGCAGCTTGAACAGCAGCATGGTCGTCCTACAACACCGAAGCTGCAGCCGGTCAAATCGCCAACGCTACCTCTGCCTTCGCCCTTTCCTACCGACACCCCGAAGAGGCATTTTGGCGGTGCAGAACCTACTACATTCCCCACGAGTCCAATGAAACGCCACAGTCCTTCTCGAAGCGATGAAGCTGGACCACCGGCTGGCACTCACCAAAGCGCCGATGCGGATGTTCACTCTGACCCCGACGATGATGCTGATGACGATAACAAGGTACCGATGCAAGAAGCGGAACCTGTCGAGCTCCTATCGGACACCGAGCCGGATACTGATCACGAAAAAATGCTTGATGATGGACAGACAATACCTACTACGGATGCCACTGATGTACACAATACCGATGAAGACGAAATGCTGGAGCTGGATACTACCATGGAATCAGACCTGCTCACAGCTCCTGTGGAAGCACCAAAGGAAGTGCTAGAAGAGATCTTGCTCGTTCGAGATGAGCCAGCAGAAGAGCAGTCTACCATTCCTACCGAGCCGCAGACTCCGGAGAGGCCGCCACAAGCGCATCAGCGACCAAGCATGTTCGGATTCGACGGCACATCGTCTGTCCAAAGCTCCACCCATGTAACGCCATTGTCTGAGAAGGACCGTGTGATGTTGAAGACATACCGCAGCTTGTTTGGCTTCAAGGCCTCACCTGAGGCTGAGGAGGCCAAGGCGGCGGCTGAGGTTGAGGCTGTGGGAGAGGGAGATGTGATGGAAGAGCCTTCCGTGGAAGAAACTCCCGTCCAAGAATCTGAAAGTCCCTCGCCTACGACTGCCTCCGTACAGCCGACAAAGTCACATGGAGATGTTGCTGGCATCGAGCCTCCGCCTCCGATGGCCCAAGAGGTAGAAGTCGTGGAACCTACCTTGGGAGAACCGCTGGAGCACGTCCCTGAACCTGATCCTCAAGACGTCGCCGGGCTCGACGCGGACGGCCCTGTGAGTTCCGAGCCTGCTGAGTACATCCATGAACTGTCGGGAGCTGATGACGAATCGCCAACCGATGAAGAATCACCTACTCCCATGGAAGTGATGGAGTCATCGAGACCACCTCCAACAGCTGGCTTCTCAGAGCTCGCTCGTGCTCGACTCGAAGCGTCGGAGGCACCATTGGAAACTATGCAGGACGTCGCCATGGAGCCTGCCTCGGGCGACGCAGCCGTGGAAGCCTCTCGACGGGCAGAACGTAGCTCACCAGGCGTGGATGAGGACGAGCCCACGAAAGCCGCTCAGCCTCGTGGTGCAGAAGTCATTGAGCTGAGTTCTAGCTCTGAGGATGATAGTGAGGACGAGAGCGAGGAAGAGCAGTTCGACGACCCTACCATAGCCCCGCAGGGCGAAGTCGAGCAACAGGAGCCAGTTTTAGAGACGATCAGAGATCCTGGGCTCGCAGATGAAATCACGGGTGATGACGCTGGTGATCTCGAACCTCACGTGCCTTTGCGAGAAACGCAAGACGCAGATCCTTCGAATGATGTCGACATGGAAGAAACCTCATCTTCAGATTTTGAAAGGTCTGCCGAAGTGTCGCACGAACCTCTTACAATCGATCCTGCGTTGCAAGATGGTCACTTGTCTCAGGCACCAAACGACGCACTGACCTCAACCGGAATAATCGACGGTTTCGAAGAACACTCGCACAAGCCCCGCAACCTTTCTGCTGGCTTAGTAGCTGAAGTTGATCTGCTGTCACATGAGCGAGTGTCTGACGATGAAGAGGCTGCCGCAGAAGCGGTGCAACATCCGAAGTTCTTTCCTCATCCGGACGAGAGCCAGCTTAGCCAATCACATGTACCCTCTGGTGACGAGCAAGAAGACCCAAGTCGTCCACAACCTCTTCACCAAGCTCCGGCGTATCCGAGCCTACCGCTCAGCCCATTAAACTCTCAGCCTCTGCAGGACCCACCATCACAGCTCCTAGTTCGGGACATTGTCGAGACAGCAAGAAGTGCCCTTCCACCAACACCGGAGCTCACGCAGATCCCGCCAGACATGGTGACTGATAACGTGGTCGTGGAGGAGGAAGAGGGCAGAGCACCGACCCCACAACAAGCGCAAGAAGATATCATTTCTGATCCTCATCCTGAGGAGGAAGTGACAACACCCATGCCTGAGAAGAAGACACCAGCGAGGAAGTCCAGGAGATCGCGGCTCAGCAACATACCGGACGTCATATCCGCATGGTTCTCACCGAAGCGATCGAGCGCCGCGGAGGCCGTCAATGGCGAGCGTGATCGGCATGCAGAAGGTCAACAACAGCAGAAACCTGTTGCCACACAAACGATCTCCGAGCCCTCGACCGCCAAGCCTGTCCACGTCAACGGCGTTTCAACCGCCCTGTCGTACTTCACGCCTCTTTCTCGACTTGATGAATGCCTCAACCCGTCAAGCCAACAATCGCATGGCAACGGAACCGTCGACATCTTCGCCGTCGTCACAGACAAGACCAAGGAGCCTGCTCGTGCTAAAGGCGGTCCTCGCGACTACTACACTATCTTCCGCATCTCGGATACAAGTATCACTTCATCCACGAGTGTGCGCGCTGAGATCTTCCGGCCCTGGAAGGCGACGCTCCCGGTAGCAGAAGTCGGCGACGTCATCTTGTTGAGAGACTTTGCCGTGAAGTCTCGCAACCGCCAAGCCTATTTGCTCTCCACTGATGCCAGCGCCTGGTGCGTGTGGAGGTATCAAGACGCGAGCGTCGCCGAGAGCAATGCTAAGAAGCCGGCGTGGGCTCGAAAGTCCACGGAACAGAACGGCACCACAGTACGTGAGGAAGTCAAAGGACCGCCGGTCGAGCTCGGAGACGAGGAGCGCAAGCATGCGACGAGCTTACGGTCGTGGTGGGAAGGCAATGTTCACGCACGAGTGGAAGAAAAAGCCGATGAGCAAGAGAGTGTTGGTGTTGGGCTGAACGGCCATGCGCCCGGGCCTGTTGCTACGAAGCTGTGAAGTAGGGGAATATGCTTTGCCCTATAACTCATCTTTAAAAGGCCTCGACCAAATTCAAGCAATACATGCCACCAATGTAGCAAAAGGTTCCAGTTTCCGCAATGGAAGCAAAGCACAAGTGTCGCTCTTTAAACGCATTAGGGCGAAGACGCCATCTTCCCACACATCAACCGTGCACGAAAGATGCCCTTTCTACCTAACATTCTATCTCGGTCTCCGGTAGAGCTTACAAGACGTCGCATGAGCAGAGTTGCCCACTCGTCTGATCGATTCGTAGCTGGCCTGCAATACGTGAGAAGCCGTCAGCGCCTTTCCAACAACATTCAATCCCATGCGCAGCTCGCACGACCACTCACCAAACACAGGTAGCAGAACTCGTAGCGACACTTCGAGCAAACCATCTGCAGCAAGTTAGTCAATCTCCAACACCTCGATGAAGTCGAAGAACGTACATGCTCGCATCCACTGGCCTTCTGAATTTGCCACCGGCATGATGGACATGGCTTCGAATGCTTGCGAACGGTCTCCTCGCCTCGCCTCTCGTCTTCCCGCCGCTTCTGATATGCCGCCCGCTCCTGCTCAGCTACTGCTCTCCTTTGCACCTCTGCTGCTTGTCTGAGTTGTTCCTGCGTTGTCAAGGTGTCGACCGACCGTTCAAGAGGCATCCCGGCGTTTCTTTGCTGTCTTTGTGCCAACGAATGCTGATATTGGGTTGGCGAGTGCGAACTACTCCGTGTATCGGAAACGCTGGAGCATGCTTCCGAACCCGCCCCGCCCCTTCCAGAGGGTGTGTGTTCCTTGAGCAGCAACTTCTTCATGGTCCTCTTCGACCGAGAGGATGGTTGGGAGTCTGCATCACTGACATAGCTGGCAGCGTAGCCGGCACGCTCTGAGTATGCGGTGTCGAACAAAATCGTGGCTCTGCTCGATTCATCATAGTATTCTTCTTCTGCGCTGGTGTGACTCCAAGCGAGGGCCAAGTCCCTGTCCGCTGCCTCTCTTTCTTGTTGCCAACCGCCATTTGTATCACAAAGGTCTATTTGTGATGGACCAGGGAAAGTATCCTCGCCGTTATCATCATTTTCATGGCCGTCTGCGTCGACAGAACCGCCGTCCATACGACGCGTGAAAGCCTCACAGGTCTCTCCTACATGCCAGGGCTCATCGCAAGCGATACAGTACCGGTAATCGCACGCACGGCACCGGAACAGCGGTGCATCTTCTCCACCCACATGGATCTGTCCAGCGCCGCATCCGCTGTTACGACACCACACAAATTCCGGGTCGTCGCCGAGCGCGGCTCGTGTTACCAACCCGTCGTAGCGACTGAATGTTTGACGGGTGGCGTGTTGCTGAACGTCGGCATGGGTCAAGAGTTCTCGGCACTCCAGACATCGTACGTTCGCAACTCCATTATCATCAACCTGGGTCTCAATCCAATGTTGTACGCAGGCCCTGCATGCGCTGATTTCGTGAGCGCACTGCGAAGTCAAAGGTACGTCCGAAGAGTCCTCCGACCACAACTCGTCGTTGCAAGAGATGCAAGTGTTTATACGACTTTCCGAATGAGTCCCGGACTGGATGGAGTCTCGTTCGACACCACCGCTCTCCGTATCCGTCCTGTCCTCAGGGAGACCCCGTTGTGCATCCGACTGCCATGAAGCAGCAGCAGAGCCTGCTGTGGTAGGACGCGACTCCTCGCTGTCGGGCTGGCTGTTCGGCGACCATTGGCCCGGAACACTCAGCTCTTGCTGCGACAAATGGTTGTGAGGCCGGTTGCCAGGCTGTTCCGCAGAGCTGTGCTCGGTTGTGCCACTGAGGCTCTGTCGATGCAAGCTCCCACCGTATACGGTATACTGGTGGGCCCATCGAGGGAGTTTGCTCTCAACTTCTGCGCCCGAGATTGCGAAAGAGTTCGTCCCCCTGCGGTATGGGTTGTTTGATGCAAGCTGCTGGACGTTTAAGAGTGGTAAACGGGCGTGGTACGTTTTGGCTTCACCGGAGTCCACACTCTCCAGCATTCCGCAAGCGAATAGATCTGTCGAACAACCACCGTATGATCTTCTGGAAAGTTCTTGGAGCATGCGTAAACACCACATCTGCAGAACCTGCCTGGCTGACAGATGAACCTGCTAGACCCGGCGAGCTGTCCTTGATCCGGGAAGGGGAACCTTAGGGGAACCTTGATGCGTAGATTGTCGTCAAGCGATACACCCTTCGACGTTTGTACGACAGCCAGTCGTGCTTGCCGTATTCTCTGCCTCGACAAGGCTGTCAGGCTCGGTATCGAAATGCTGGACCTAGAATGCTACCGCCCTGTTTGCTGCCACTGGATGGAACACTGTTGTCTGCGGGTGCGTTGGTATGTACAGAGAGATGACCAGCATAACTGTCAGGATTATCTTGCTTTGTGAAAGAAGAAACAAGTCTTCAAACCTACCTCAGCCTTCCGACTGTCATCGTCACAAGGCTCGGCTGCCCTACGAGGAGCTGGCGTCCACGCCACGTCACAGCGAGAACTGAGATAAAATGATAGGATGGACATGGCAAGGCTGACAGCCTCAGGCCGGGTACTATGTTGGAGTTGCGAACCGTTGCCTTGCTCCAGCACGTAGAACCGATACCGCCGTCGCCATGTACATTGCATGCATCGCATACGATGCTGAGGTTACCAATATGTTGCGTCGAATATCTCTCAACGCTGCTGCGCGGTTCCGAGGTGATGCGATGAAAGACGGCGTTGTCGTACAAGAGATGGAGTCAGCTTCGAAAAGCTCGGGCCACTTACTTGACTGCATGGAAAGGTTGTGCTTCACCTCCCTCTCCTCAGCGCAGAAACATTCGCCTACCTATGATTTGAAAACCAATACAATTGACAAGAAACTATACCGGGTCACTGAGCATGGAATGCAACATCCAATAAATCTTCTATGTGCAATATGCTGTTCATGAGAATCGTCAACATGCCACGAATCTAGCACGGAAAGTAACAGTCCATCTGCCGATTTGGCATCTTCTGGATCTCGCCCAGTGATGTGAGCATATCTAAGAAGTCGCCAAAGTCCGCGTTGTCCCACCCTCCAACAGAGCAGTACGGGATGTTGGCGTCGTCGGTGTCTTCGGTCGACCAAGCAGCGTCGCCAGCTTGGAAAGAGATTTCCCAGCCTGAACACAGCAGAGTTAGCAAACGTGTCGAACGTTGCGAGGTGTTTGATCTCACCTTCATAGGGGTCCGGTGGCAGGGTACCGGCACCGCCACAACCTTGTGGGAGCGGAGATGCTTCTCTCTTTGGAATGCAGGCAAATGGGTCTCTTCGAAGGATCTCCGCGAGCTCAGCATCTCGCTGGCGCAAAGCCTTCAGGTAAGCTCCGTGGCGAGATGTTTGCGCTGAGCGCTTGTCGAGGGAGCTGTCGGTCGTTAACGAAATGGAAACATCCCAAGGCAGCTTCGATTCGTCGCCAGAGACGGTAAGCACATCCTCCCACTCGGCATCGTACTCAGTGTGGCTCAGGAGGTTTCCGGCGCCATCGTTGATGTCCAGACCTACGTAAACGGGCAGGCCAGTCCCGAGAGAGCCCTCAAACATGTGGAAGTTGCAGGTGCCGGTCTGGTAAGGCGGCGGCGGCGGCTCGTCATCATCGTCGTCACCCTCGGTTGGCTCGGTTGGCTCAGGCGCAGCCGAGCTCACAGGTAAGCCAGAGGAGAAGCTGGCATAACTCGAGTATGGCAAAGAGCTTGCCAGGGGAGCGCTGGAGATCGGGAAGCTTGAGAAATAACTGCTGAAGAACGAGCCAGAGAAAAAGCCACTGCTGACAGGATAGTAGGAGCCGGAGAGGCTGAACGATCCAGAAAGTGGCAAAGAAGAGCTGGCCGGTGCGACGGAGGATCCAGGGAAACTGCTGATGTACGAGCCAGAGGATGGGGCGGGTAAGGCTGACGAGCTAACGAAGCTTGAGGCGGAGGTGCCAAAGTAGCTTAGGGAGGACCCAGATGAAGAGCCAGGCAAGGCAGAAGATGACATGCTTGGGTAGCTAGGAACGATGACCGAGGAGGAGGCGATCAGAGAAGAGCTGAAGGATTCTGAGTCTGATGCCGATGAGCTGGGAACGATACTACTGCTGAGCGAAGCGCTTGCTGACGCCGACACAGATGCTGGGCCAGAGAATGATGCCGACGATGAGGCGGAAGCAGACGCGGAGAACGACATCGAAGATGAGAACGATGCCGAGAAAGAGGCCGACGAAGAAGCAGATGCAGATGATGCAGAGGCGGAGGCGGAGGCGGCGTACCCCGGGCAGTCCGTAGGGAAGGGCAGCTTGAAAACCGTTGCGCACGCCATAGCACCATCCAGGAACCCGTAGACTTCAGGCAGGTCGCCGTCGTCACTTGCGAAGTCCGGGGTGGCCTCCGGCCCTTCCATTGAGCTCGAGCTGACGGAAAGTGTCGTTGTGCTAGCGGAGTTCGACGCACTGCAACCAGTGATGGTCTCTGTGGACGTTTCGCAAACAGTTGTGTGCGAGACAGTACTATCGATGGTGATGGGTGAAGGGGAGCAGGTCACGTAAGAGTGTTCCTTCACAGCTTCGCTGCAGGACTGGCTGGCACTGCTGGACTGACTTTGAGACTGGGAACTGCTTTGATCGTCATCATCATCATCGTCGTCATCCTCTTCATTCTCCTGTGCCTCGTCGATCTGGTCGGTAAGTTCTTGAAGATGTTCCAACTCGGAGGTGATGGTGTTGATGACTTCGCTGGTGATTGTTCCGGTAATGGCACCCTCGATTCCGCCAGTGATGCTCGTGACAGTAGCACCGATACAGCTGAAGATTGAGAAGAGCGACGACGTACATCCGCCGTCGTTATCATCATTGCCGCGGTCGAGTTCGGACAGCAGGTCTTCGATGTCGTCCTTCATCTCGTTGAGAGTGTCGATGACTGGCTGAGGATCCTCCGAGTCATCGTCAAGCCAGCCTTGGATGATGGGGAAGACGCTGGAGAGGTGTGTCTGGAGCGCACTCTGAGAAGAAGAGGCTGCAGTGCCAGTCGGTGCAATCGTGATCGACGGGTTGGGAGCGACTGAGACTGAAGTATACCCAGCACCTGTGGATGAGGACACAACAGCCGATGATGGCGCCAGAGAGGAGAGTGAAGACCCAGGCTGTGCAGACATGGACGACGCATAGCCAGAAGCTGACACGCTGTTGCTCGAACTGCCACTGTATGGTGCTGACGCCGACACCGACGAAGCAGAGCCAGAAACGGAGGCGCTGATGCTTGCACTTGCGCTCGCACTTCCGCTCTGCGATGCCGAAGCTGATCTAGACACCGAGGCAGAGTCTGACACAGAAGCAGATGCGGACATCGAACCCGATCCACTCGATGCAGGCAGTGAACCACCCGAAGACGCCGAACTTGCCACTATGGACGAAGAATTTCCAATGCCGCCATAGCTACTCGAAGCAGGGATGGAAGGGAAGAGGGCTGATGACCCACTGCTGGATGCAACCGCAGAAGAGGTAGACCCAGTTGGCATGTATCCTGAAGCCGCAGATCCAGAGTAGACAATGCCGGAGGTGAAAGATCCTGATCCGGAGGGGGTGGAGCTGGAAGAACCAGACCCCGATGGCGCAGATCCGGAATGCACGCCACTCTGGGAAGCAGAGCTTGCTCCGCCGGAAGCGCTGCCATAAGTCTGCGATGATGGTGCTTGAGCGGATTTCGAGCTTGCTGGTTGCTGAGACGAGCTCTCAGAACCTGAGGCAGACTGCGAGGACGAGGCAGGTGCGCTTGATCCAGAAGACGGCCCAGCAGTACTGGATTCTGGAGAGCCTCTGGAAGATTGTGACGATTGCGACGAAGGTCGTCCAGACGGGTAGACTGGGACGCTGCCAGACGAAGATCCGCTGGGTGCTTGTGAGACGACCTCCGAAGAGTGGCTCGAAGCTGAGACACTCGACCCAGATGCTGGACCGACACTGCTCGATGATGGTGAACCACTCGAAGAGAGCGAGGGTTGGGAAGATGATTGACCAGATGGATAGACGGGTATGCTGCCAGTCGATGATGCGCTGGGCGTTTGGGAGACGGCAAGGAAGGAATGGCTCGAGCCTACTCCACTTGATTGCCCGGAGGATGCACCAGGTGCTGCAGAGCTCGAACTTCCCGCAGCCGGTATTGATGAAGTGGCAGAACTCGAGATGGCATGCGAGCTGGCCGGGGCCGGATAAGAAGGCACATGCACACTCGAGCTGGCGGGAGCTGAAGATACAAAGTGTACGCTTCCACTCGAATCGACGGTCAAAGTGTAGCCTCGGAACGTTGTCTTTTCCGCATAAGGGACTGTAATGTTGGATGAGGACTGCTCAAAGAGCAATGACTTTGTGCCTTGGATGGCCGTGAAACTCTCGGAGTTGGTGGTGTATGTTCTGGTCGTGGTGCCGGCAACAAGACCGTATGCCGTGGAGGCGAAGACAACGGGTGTGAGTAACGAATGCATGGCGTTGACGCCGGAGGAAGAGCAACGAACGACTGTCCAGCAACGCTGTTGTGGTTGTGTGATGGGAGGAGAGGCTCACCTTTGCCTGGGCATACCATGGAATACCATATAATGGGAGCACGTACCTCTGCGACGATCTCTGGTATTTTGGAGCGCTATGGGGAGACGATCATCCATGGCTAGCATCTCCTGCAATTTGTGGTAGTTTGCGCGGGCCTTCATTTCGCGTTACAAAGCGAGAGCGACGCATGTTGGGAGCCAGCTCGTCTCGCCTCGTCAAGATGAGCCGCATTGTAAACCTTGGTGCTGCAACAAGATATGTTTTGGCCCGCATCCTTCAGCGTGAAGTCGCAGGCCGAGCCGCTGCTTGGCAGGAGTAGCAAGTCTAAATCCTTCTATTCTTGCACTATTCGGATCCACAGCGTCGGTGCACGTGGGTTGCTTGATTATTTGTCTTCAGCTCCCAATTTGCTTTGCTTCAACGTCGTTGATCTTGTCCAAATCTTGCTTGGCCGTTGGTGTTTCGAGTTTCAAACATCGGCCGTTTTTGTCGATAGCCTCTGACGGGCAACAGGCCAGTTTGGAAACGAGATATGAAGGATCATGGCTTCGCATCCCCTGCGCAGAAGACGATGTAAGTGCTGTGGTGGTTCAATATCATCATTGAACGCCCATTTCGACGGTTTGCATCTTGTTGTCGTTGCCAAACCTCACGCTCATTCAGTCGCCGTCGCCAGTCACTCGTTCCATAAGGCAGCATGGCACCTTCGACACTGCGCACATTTGGTTGCCTTCTCTTAAGCCTGGTTGTACCCACCTTTGCTGGAATCATTTTCGACCCTGTGCTTCAGACTTGCGGTCCCGCGGGTTCGGGCGAAGGCGCACTATTACAAGACGTCGTGAACATGGCCAATGCCGCGCTGGGGTACATGAACAACGCCGAGTCCAACATGCAAAGCAGTGATCCGGTGGCCCATTGGAACTGGTATAGAGTTGCAACCCTCTTCGATGCCATTTTTGGAGCGCAAGATGCCGCTGCGAACACCCGGTGGGATACCGTCAAGTCCAACTTGCAAGCGCTTGCCAACCTGGCCAACAACCAGCCGGACATGTACGTCTTGTGCGACGACTCGCAGTTTTGGAGCGTCTCTCCCAGTCAAGGCCAGCCGACCGTCTTCCGAAACCCTGTTGACAACCAAGCCTACAATTACCCGAACGGTGTGATGACTTGCGCTGGTATGTTGAGGACAACACTTGGTGATTTGTTCACAGTGCTAACCGCCTGATCCAGATTCATCTCCGGAGGGGCTGTACCAGATAGCGTATCAGATCAACATCGGTGGCACCCAGTTCATCTCCATCTGCTCGCGACAGAACAGCTACAACTCCAATTTGTCGCCTGGATATTCGGAAGGCACGACGCTGGATAGCCTGGGTACCTGGAGCACAACATTCCTTCATGAGATCATGCATGCGCTGCCGCTGAACCGTAAGTCGTTCGCTCCTTGAGAGTTACTCGTCGTCGCTGATGTCTTGTCAGAGGTCGGTGACTCGACTGGTGGGACCGCGGCAGGAGGTGAACGGTATGGCTGGAGTGGTGCTGTGAGCATCCGGCAAGACTATGGAGAGCGGAATCCCGATTCCTACAGGCTGTAAGTCTCTCCGAACACCGAGGGTTCCAGTGGGAACATCTGTTGACAATAGACTTCAGCTTTGCAATGGCCCTTTCCATGGAGGAGTGGTTATGGCACAGCGGACAAGCTGTGAGCTTCAATGCCGAATATGACAGGCTCGACAAAGATGCCAACGATGCCACAATCACCAACCTAAACCTACCATCCCCGGCTCCCGGACCATGGCAGTAATTAGTTCATTGCCAGCTCCATAGAGGTCTTTCGAACCACTTCCGCAACCACACCTTCCGTTGCAAGCTGTCTCAGGTTCCAAGAACTGGCATCTGCCCACCGTTGAGTCTCGTCTTCTGCAGACTCCAAGAAGTTCTTCGCTGTGCGGAGATCGTCGAAGCGTACGACACCCATGAAAGCCCGCCGTCCACCGCTCAACTCCGCAGCTGTCCAGCCTTCAGTGGCCTTGTCCGAGATCCATACACCCTCACTCCTTAATGCAGCCTGCCGGGAAAGCATTCAAGCGTTGTGCGACACGATCTTCCGTGGTCGTTGAGGGTTGAGTCTGTCCAGAGGCTCGATCGCATGCGGATCCCCCCAATTTTGCGGGAACCGTGAAACGACAAAGAGGGGTGACGGCGTCTTTGGATGTTCCTTCAGGCAGTTGGAAAGCGTTCAAGCGATACTGTTGATCGGCAGGGAGTTTGAAGAACAGCGGCGGGGTGGTTGACATGGGGTTTGGGCTTGACTGCCAGCTTTGCAGGAGCAATGCCGGTTCTCGTGATGCGTGAAAAGCATGGTAGTCGTCTTGCGACTTCTAATCCATTGTGCCGGCGATGATCCATTCGCAAGTATTGAAAGATAGGTTCCGGTGCTTACGAACCAACAGCAAGCTTCAACACTGTCGTCGAGGCTCCCAACACTTGCCCACACCATACATTCGTAGTGCTTGGGGAGTCCGCATATGTGTTTATGGCAGTCTTTTACAACTGACCTTTCCAGGTCTGACGCATTGTCGAAGTTGACCTGCTTCGAATACTTGACATTCATGATGTCGGTGAAAGAGTACGGCTGTTGCTCGAAGCTGGTCGACGATTTGCCGTTCGCAGCGATCTTGGACAGGTCCTCGAATATTGCAGCAGACATGGCGGTGGCGGTGACGGACTAGGCGAGGACTGTGACATGGATGTACGGTATGTTTTTGAGCTGCGTTTGATGGATGCAAGTAAGTCGTTTGCGGCCCAAGAAGTGAGATCAAGGACGAGATGTGAGGTTCAAGTTAGAACGAGGCGAAGGATGAAGAGCCTTATCTAGCAGTATAGACGATTGCAGTCGAGATCCCGCTACTTCTTTCACGATCTGCCAAGGCCGCGTTTCTTTGGATAAACCTTGCCAGCATGGGGAGCAGAGACTTGCGCCGACATTACTACTGACTGCGCTGTTGACCTCGTGCTTGACGCGGGATTAGCTGTGGGCCGACAATTGCAGCACCGTCCTCCCTGGATCCACTCACGTGGCTTACGAGGTGGGTTCGGGGTAGGAGGTTTCCTTCTTGTCTAATAAGCACGGCTTGATACGTATCAACGGACTCAACAACGTTTGGTCGCATGCCAGATTTGGTATTGAAGGGTACCGACATTTTGGAGAGGCCCCCATTTTCATGCGGCTGCCCATTCCATGACTCTTAAACCGATGACGAGGCATTGGCCGCGCTGACTCCAGGAAGAGGACCCAATTCAGCCGGCCTGAGCGTGTGATCGAGAGACGTTGCTCTACTTCGCAGCTCGAAAGCACGAGAAGTGTGTCATTCCAAGCACCTTTTTCCCGATGCCTGAGTCAACACAGAGTACTTACCTTGAATCCGATACCCAGCCCAAATCGTCCAGCTGAGACGAGAGGGACACCCGCGACCTCGGTCCTGTACTGCAGCTCTGCCCCGTCGCGAGATGTGGGCTGACTGGCTAGGATGGTGTTGAGGAAGCCCGAAGCGGCGGTCGCTCGGCGGGTGGCAGTAAGGGTGGGTTTCTTTGCAGATGCTGCGGGCTCCAACCGGACGCTTCGAGATGATCAGCCTATGCGTTGCTGCAACAAAAGTGTGGGGGTGGGAGGGGAAACTTATAAGAACGGTTGAGGGTGGAGTGGTGAGTGCCCCCTTCAATGAGATCCAACTGCTTGCAATTCGGCGGGCTATTACTACTCTCTCTACCTTGCGGTCACTTTGTCGCAGTGGCCAGAAATCGAGTAGCCCACCGCAAGCCGGCTCACATCTCTTTTTGGATCCTGTACCACGCACGACGACGCTGACCGTAACACCCCTTTGCGTGGCGTCCCGCGCCTTGCGCTGAATGGTTCCGTGGCCGCTGCGTGTCGTGTCCAGGCAGAGAGGAATGCGAACGATCACGAGTCGCTTCCAAATGCAAGACATTCCACAATTACCACTTCAAAAGACCCAGCAAGTAAAAGACGCCGCGCGTGAACGCTCATTTACAGCACCCTTCTCGTCCTTCTCCAACCATCATACCACGACGTTCACACGGTGGCCCGCACAGTAGGCCCCGCGAGAGTGAACGTCCGGGTGTCGAGCGGACATGTCCCCAGAATTAGTGGCAGTCGCAGCAGATAGGCATCGACAAGAACAGCTGAGCGGCTCGAGGGCTGAAGCCGGGAGTCATGATTTGTTCGACTCGCCCCAATGCCGCTTTGCTTTACCTTCACTGGGGTCGCCGGCGGATTTCGCGCTCGCAACGCCTGGGGTGCTCAATGTGCCGCACTACCACTTATTCGAACGAGACGCCTGCGAGACCAACACCCTGCCCGATGCGAGCTACTCTTCCTCATTAGAGGAGTAGCCGCGACCTTCGTCTCGTGTTTTGAAAAACATCACCAACATCGCATCCTTCATCGGGGCTGGCCAATATGATATGTGTTCTTCCACCTCTTTTAGAGACAGGTCTTCTGTCAAGCGCCCTGCGAGCTCCTCCCTCATCCGGTCATCGCTCCGCATCTTTGGCCATATTTGCTCGATCTCCGACGTAGCCGGCGCATGCCGACGGGCTTTGGCAGTCGCCATGAAGGCCAGCGTACGATTAAGAACAATGCGCCGTAGTGTTGGATCCGTCAGCTTGACTGCAAGCTGATATAAGTTGATCAATTGGTCGTACTGCCGTCCTATGAACTGCTCTGTGAGGTCGGGATCCTGCTCCTGGGAGATCTCTTCGTCGTCCATATGTAGGATCAAGGTTCCGGTGTACACCCAGCTGATGTATATCTCGAAAGTGGCGACCGTTACATCGGGCAGGTCTACGATTCGCTGTGGACCATACAAGTATGCCAGGAAAAAGAAGGATGTCTTGATCAGGTGTCGGATGTGTACCGTGTACCATTCTCTCCTCTGACCGACGCGGATTGGTATCGTCTGGCCAAAGTCGTGCGGGTCGTGGTGCTCTTGAGCCACTGGCACATCGAGCAAAGGCTGCATGAGTGCGAGTAGAACGAGTCTTGTGGCAGTCTCGAAGGTAAATGGTATGTGAATAGTGCAGAGAGACATGAGGAGAAGGGCGTGCTATTTATCAGTCTTTGAGAAGAGTCATTTGAGTTCATCAAACCTTTCTACCTCTTACCCCTGTGCCTTGAAATATGTCAGAGCTTGGGTGAGCCTATGAAGGGAGAGGTGAATGTAATCGATCTGACCAAGGTGGCCAACAGCTTCGCGAGCTTCTTTGACCACCGCAGTGGCTAGATCCCAAGGCACCACTATTGGGCGGGTTCAGTAAGCTTTTCGCGTGTCTGTTCTGCAAGCAGCAAAAATCGTGCAAGCCATTTCGATGGCGAAGCCGACAATGGAAAGTGAAGTGGGATGCTATCACGCGTCTCTCGCCGGTGGCCACACTGGACACTGGACGCAACCAATATGCGGTCAGCAGCAATTCGAATCATTGTCATTGGCGACCACTGATGTCAATCCCAGCAAGCAGTGTACCGTATACCTTATGTTGTGTGGTGTTCCATCGCACGGGAGCCATACAGGTTTGGATGAAGCGAGTCGGGCGATGGTGGCCTTTTTAATGTGTGCATTGAAGTGTGCGGTCGTTGTAGGTAGGAGGTATGTAGTTCGGGTTGCAGTCGAAGAGTTGAGTTGAGTAGCGCCGGAGGCCGTCGGGCCGAGATCCTCGGATAGGCAGGCGCCTGGAGCCAAAAAGATTGAAAAGCCGTTCGAACCACCGCCAAAAGGATAACTTGTCATTGAGGACCTTGAGAAAGCCAAAAAACTTTCAGCATCTCTTTGTTTGCATGTGTCATCCTTAGTGCAGGGGCCATGCTAATCTTCTCTGTATTGTTTCAAATTGACCAAATGCCCGAAGGCGAAGGTAAAACTTTCAAAAATGTTTATATACCCTTGCGCGATGGCCGAGTGTCTTCCGAGCGTCTTGCGGGCTTAGCCCGTACCGCCGACCTTTCAAGGCTCGTTCGTCTTGTGCTCTGTATGGGACCACATTTGCGATAGGTAATGGAGGCCGTTCATCGATTTGAGACGGGTAACACGCAGGCGGAGGTTGATTCGCTTCAAGGTAGGAGGATGTGCATCCCGGAACGTTCGCTCGTGGAGGGGCAACACTACCTTCTGGTAGAGACTCTGTACACATAAAGCCAGACGGCATCAGTCCATCGATCACAGAACTAGGTGCCAGAGAAGAAGGGGAGCAGGATCAGAGTAAAGCAAGAGAGCTAGGGAGACGCAGTCTATTGCGAGCTAACAGCAACATGGAGCTGTTGTGGGTCAATCGACGCTGGTCGTGCCTGTAGACACCCATTTGTCTACATGTTTGATGAAGCAACATCTCGCCGCAGACCATCTTTCACGGAGATAGCATAACATATAGCTGTAAGGCATTGCCTCCTCAGCGCTTATACGTACCTTAGAGTGCCCTTGTTCGGCCTTCTCCAACATCGTCCAATACATGTAGTCTGATGTTCTCGCCAAGCCATTGAGACCACCTCACCTCTTCAGTCTACGTCTATGTTCACCGTCCGTCGCAGGGAGAGGCTGCCCAAACAACCAGCGCAATGCATTCTAGCTTGGTGCGGATCCAGAATGTCTTTGGCTTCTTTACCTCCGTCGCCTTCACCGTCGCGGCCGCAATCGCCGTCAGCGTCCTATTGAGCCCGCAACACCCATCAGCAAGCCTGCAGCTGCGGAACGTTCAGGTGTAAGCAGAGGCCTCAGAGGTCGCAAGGGACGGTGTTGATATGTGACAGAGTGAAAGGCCGTCCGCACTACTACAGCACCAAGCGCGAGGAGTATGCGCATATCAAGTTCGACCTGGACGCTGGTACATCCGCCCAGATATGCTTCGCGAAGCAAGCTGACACCATCCAGACCTGACCTCGCTCTTCAACTGGAACACGAAGCAAGTCTTCCTCTACATCACTGCCTCCTACCCATCAACATCTCCCTCCACCATTCCGCCCTCCGAAGCCGTCATCTGGGACGCCATCATCCCCTCCGACTTCGCCCGCTCCCACCCAAACACCTACCTCCACCCCACAACGTCCAAGTCAAAGTCCTCCAAGAAGTCGAAACAAAAAGGCAAGCCCTACCCTGAGGGCGCGTCACCGGGCATCGTACGCCTGAGCAATCAGAAACCAAAGTACCAGATCACGGATGTGTCTGGCAAGATTGCTGAGCGCACGAACGCCACGCTGAATCTGCACTGGAACGTGCAGCCGTGGGTTGGTGCGCTGGTGTGGACGAACACGAACAGCTATGGGAGATGGGAGGGGCTGAAGGGTGGGTTGGACAGGTTTGAATTTCCCAGCTTGAAGGGGAGTGAGACGGTCAAGAAGGAGGAGCTGAGGACCGAGACTGGGGGGGAGCGGAATAGGGGCAGTCCTGCATGATGGAGCCATTAATGATGTTCGACCGACCTCTAAAGATGCTTTCTGACAGTAAGTGTACGCTTGTCTCTTCCTGTCTCTGGACCTCAATGCGCTCATCGATCGGCATCAATGCAGTTTCCGATCCTGCCTACCACTGATCCTTGCTATACGTGTGTATGAACCAGCTGACCGACCGTGAGTGTTGTTCTTGTCTTATGCCGTCTTTGAACAAGAGGTAAGGCTTGACTACTGGCCTCAGTATCACTATTCATATAGTTTGTGGCCTGTCAAATTTGTTACGACATGAGACATTGAACCAGTCCCCGCCACCCGTTTCTGTTGCCTGTTCAGTGGGTGTATATTGTGCTGACCTTCGCCCGGACATGCACCGTACTCTCCCTGCTACTGTCCAGCCTCCTCTTTAGCTATTGCTGTCGCTCTTCTCAATTTTCTAGGATTCGCCGACTCAGGCATCATTCGCTTTTCCGGCAAGAATGGATGAAGTAGGAAAACAGATGCAGCGGTGAGCAGATCACGAGGTTATCAGCGACTCATTGAACTTGCACTGACTCAATACAGGCTCGACCTTACACACACCTTCACCGTACGTGTCGGCGATCAGAGAACGCTGTACACATTGCACCGAGCCCTTGCCGAGCAGACCTCAGACTACTGGACGCGAAACCAAGCCGAGTTCGACCTGCACGGTATCCCGAAGGCAGTCTTCGACGTCTTTTTCCAGTGGCATCTCACCGGCATGAATGTGATCGTCCTTCGGAGTGACGAGATACCTGGACTTGACAACCGCCGTATTCGCCCGAGAAGCTCGCCAAACCACCGAGAGCTGATGGGAATCTACAGCGTCGCCCTCACGCTCGAAGACAAAGCGTTTCAGAATGCGGTGATGGACCGTATGATCAAAACCATCATGATAACGCGGGAAGCACCAGGTCAAGAAGTTCTCGTCCAGGTCTTCACGGAGAAGCCAAACAGGTGTCCCATGCAGAGGCTGGTTGTGCGGTGCTGGCGAAAGTACCTGGACGAGCACAAGGTCGACGAGCAGTGGGACGATTGGCGGGATGAGTTCAAGAAGGCGCTCGCCATGGAGCAGAACGGCACTCCAGATGACGCCGCACGCTGGCCTTCACTCCGCCGCCGATGCGAGTACCACGTGCACGATGAGCGCGCTTCCAGAGGCCGGTAATGTGACCCGCCGCCAGCATAGTAAGTCTCCTGCTTAATTGTATGCAACGAATACTTTTCGCTGACCTGATCCCCGGGCGAATACCAAGCAACCATTCTCATCACCCGGCTCTAGGAGATACCTGCTCTCTTCTGCGAATTTATGGTCGATGTTCTTGGGCAATTGCACCTCGTGCAAGGACTTGTACTCCAAGTTCGCACAACGACCGATCTGAATGCTTGGCTGGTTGGCGACAAGCATGCGAGATTGTGAAGGATTGTATGTACACAGCGATGGTTTTGGTGTCGGCTCTCTGGCTGTTTTTTCTTATCGTTGGGTCAAATTGGCGCGACGGACAAGATAGATCGGCAGACTTTCACGAAAGTCACGAGGTGAGCAGCTCAGTGTTTCATTCGCCTGTGACATACGCTTACACCTGACACGTGAAAGGGTCACGCCGACTGCCCAACCTCACATCCCATTCGATTTGTCCCGATTTTCCATTCCTCCTTCCATGTTGAACATCACCATCTCTGGACCATACAGCCAGCTGGCCACTTTGGTCGCTGCGCAAACATGGGGCAGCCGGCGGCCAAGAAACAGAAGTAAGCGACATGATATCCTATCCGCTTCTCACACTGACTGTGCTAGGCTTGACTTCAGCAACAGCTTCACTGTCCACGTCGGCACTGAAAGAAAGCAATACATGCTTCATACCAGCTTCGCCACCAAGACTTCCGGCTTCTTCAGAATCGCCGCGAACGGGAGATGGAAGGAGTCGAAAGACAACAAGCTCACACTGCCTGATGTGCGACCGTCCACCTTTGAAGTCTACCTCGAGTGGCTCTACACCGACAAGATCGTATTGCTTGAAACCGAAACCGGCCGAAACCCAGACGGGACCCCGAAGCTTCGCAAGGGGGCCGACACAGCGTACCCGCAGCTGCTGCGGCTGTACTGTCTTGCGCAGTACCTTCTCGACCTCACATTTCAGAACACTGTCATAGATCACCTGATCAAGTCGGTCTTGCACTTCAAAGTCCACCCCGGAGTGAGCGATGTGAAGACCATCTGGCCCCTGGTTCCGGACAACTCACCCATCAAGTGACTCATCATTCGATACTGGATCAAAACCATCAAGATCGACAACATCAGGAACGATTCGAAGGATTGGCCGGAAGGGCTGGCCCTAACGCTGCTGGAGGACTTCGTTGTTGACAGGGAAGCGGCGAAGATGGGCAAGGCGGGGGGGTATCCGACGATGCGTGATCGATGCAAGTATCATGAGCATGATGAGAGTGCACCGAAGGGACCAGACTGTGAGGATTGATCAGGATTTCAACCTATCATGCCATGGATGTGTCCTGTCCCGCTTGTAGCGTAGGCTTCGGACACGCCACGACGGCAATATAGAAAGCTGGAAACATTTCAAACGCTGCACAACTGCTGGCGCCATTCAGAGCACACACTTACAGATACTACTGGTCCCAGGTCATCGCTCACTTGGAAGCTAAGGTCTCAGACGTCTCGCCCCGATGTAATATTGGGTTTGCTGCTACGGGCTCTTAGCATGTGACAGTAACAAAGCGCTGCTCCTTTGACATCTCGATTTGAAGTTTGCCGCACTGATTCATATACAGACATGCCTGTTCAACAAAAAGCCCTCATCAAAGATACGTGGATGTCGCTGCCTTCGATCCTTTGTGTCGAGCTTGCATAGAAGTTTGCAGAGGGTATGGGGGAGTGCTCTGTCTTGAAGGGATCGATATAAAAACGGCAAAGATCCCAGGAAGTACAGATCATCAAGCAGTTTACCATTTTCACATTCGATCGCATCAGTCTCTACAGACAGCCAACCAACCTCCCACGAACTCGTCTAATTCGGAACCACTTCGAAAGTCTTGGGCCACCTGGCGGCGAGAATGCAGAAGTTGGACTTCTCCGACAGCTTCACAGTCTACGTAGGTGCATGCGTCGTTCACAAGGCCCTTTTCGCGCAGACGAGCGACTTCTTTGCCAAAGCAACAAGCAACAGCTGGAATGAGGCCGACAGGAAGAAGGAGGTCAGCTTGCAAGAAGTCGCCCCAAGGATGTTCGAGTACTATGTCCAGTGGCAATACACCTGGAACGTCGTGGCGAGTGAGCATCTCGAACTGATGCAGCTATACCTCCTCGGGCAGTTCTTGATCGACGGTGCCTTCAAGAGCGCAGTCGTGGACAGGACGATAGAGATCATTACGAAGGCCTCCGTCCAACCAGAGATGGCGCCAGTCAAGTTGATCTATTCCAATACGCTGGAAGAAGATTGTGGCATGAAGCGCCTGCTCACGCGGTTCTGGTACTTCTACTCCAAAGCAGACGGCATCAAGCAGTGCTTCGATGAGCTCCCGGGAGACTTTTCCTCGAGGCTTCTCCAAGAGTTTGTGGCTGTTCGGGATGGGACACAGGGCTCGCCGTCTCTGCAGAACCGATGCTACTTCCACGACCATGACAGGACGGCGCCGAAGCTTTCGACTTGCAAGGATGACCCCCTCAGCAACTCCAAGACCAACTTCCCTCCCAAGCCCACGGTCTCTGTCCTCCCCCAATCGGCCCGTGCCACGAGCTCGTTGTCGAACAGTGTCGCCAGCGATGCCAACCTTGACGTATGGCGCGCGCTCTCCACCTTCAGCGGCCGACCAACGACGACAGCCGTCCGGGTACCTATGGTTGCATCCGGCCCAGGTGGCAGCTTCAGCTTCGGAGGCCACCGACCAAGCCCTGCTCGCCCACAGACTGATCCACAGACTGATCCAAGTTCCCGCGATGGACAGTAGCCTGTCGCGAGATGCGCCTGTTCTCCTTCGAACGGAAGCTTCCAGAGGCTCATGAAACCACCGATGGTATGTAGATCCTGACACATGAAAAGCAAAGAAGCACAGCTGACATAAACGCAGGGTATCGAGAACGTCTCGGTGGTGCACGTGTTGTTTGGAGTTTGACGAATGCAATACCGGGCGCTGATGACCCATGTCTGCAGAGGTGGAGAGGCCGAAGCGTACGGCAGGCAAGTCACCTATCTGATCTGCGACCTTGCTGTTCTGTGCGTCTCGGCGAGGAAATAATGGATAGCGATGACTGTGCGGTGGTTCAGGAGAGTGACGTCTGTAGCAGAATTTGAGAATCCGAACCTTTCGTTCCATACCGTCGCCATGCATGCACGTATCTATACCCATGGCTATGCACACCCATCACGGTCCGTGTTCGGCGGCTGTGCAGCCATGAAGGCAAGCCGCACCACCCGCCATGCAAGATAAACCAGTCCAACACCTCCTACCCAGCCTACGCAGCCTCTGCCTTCTCAACCCTTCCCTTCTTAGCATCTGGGCCTTCAAGCATCTCCCCTCGCCTCTTCTCACCCTCCTTTGTCCCCTCCCTTTCTCTCCTCCTTGCCTCGCGCTCGCCCCTCTCCTTCTCCTTCCGCAGAGCCTTGCTCTCGAATTCGTGCCATTCCCCCTCCAACCCTTCCAGCTCCCACACTCGCTGCTCCTTCGGTTCTTCGGTCGTGAAGTAAGGATGCTCCAGCACATCTGCCGCGGTAGGTCGCAGGTTTGGGTCAAACAGGAACATCGCTTGCAGCAGCTCAAACGCCTCTGGGCTGACGCGTTCGCTGTACTTTTGTTGGAAAGAACTTGGAATGCGCTGCGCGGGACGAAGCAGTTCAAACCACTGCAGCTCAGCGATGCCAGGCCATTCGCTTCGTGAAGGTGTGCCGAGGACGGCGTAGATCTTGTCGAGCTGGTTGATCTCGCCGCCGTCGCCAGGAAATATAGCGTGGCGGGTGAAGATCTCGACAAGCACGCAAGCTGCAGACCAGATGTCCACGGCAGGTCCGTACTGAGTCTCGCCGAGCAATAGCTCCGGGCTCCGATACCATATGGTGATGACGCGGTTCGTATAGTCCTGCTTACTGCTCTTCTGATAGAAGCGCGCCAGGCCGAAGTCTGCGAGCTTCAGCTCCCCGGTATTCGAGACGAGAATGTTGGCTGCTTTGATGTCGCGGTGCAGCACGCCGCGGTGGTGGAGGTAGTCGAGGCCTTCGAAGAGCTGGCGGGCGAGGTGTTTCTTGTGCGCGGCGGTAAGAGAGAAGGAGGGGTGGTTGAGGATGCCAGTAAGATCGTGCGAGAGGTATTCGAAAACCATGAAGCAGTCGTTGCGCTCGACCATGACCTCTTGCAGAGCGACGATGTTGAGGTGATCGAGCGACTGCAGGAGCTTGATTTCGCGGATGGCGGTCACAGGGAACTGTGGTCAGATGTGTCAGTAGCTGGGCAAACAAGCAAGCATCGGGAGGTGTTCTACGCACCCCATCCCTTTCGCCCTCCATGCGAATCTTCTTCAAGGCCACCATCCTCCCACTGTACACATGCACGCCCTTGTAGACCTTGCCGTACGTGCCACTCCCAACCACACTCTCGTTGCCAGTCTTGCGGAAATACACACTCTCACTCGTCGCAAAGTCATCGCTGAGCTCTGGTCGCGCCTTTAGTCGCTTCTTACGCACCTTCTCCTTGCGCACAGCAGGAGAAGCAGCCTTCTTCGTAGCATCACCTGGCTTCTTTGGCGGCTCGACGCGAGTATTACCGACGTAGTTCGCGCTCTTGGCGACTCCAGTCTGAACGAGTGGTGAGACGGGTACTGGTGCTTTCTTCGCGGCGGGAGCAGCAGGGTGCGCTTCGGGAGACATTTGCTGAGGCTTCGCGGGAGCGCTCATCGTGGCGGCCTTCTCCGCGGCCGCAGCGTTGGCACGGCCTTTAATCGAGAAGGAGATCTTGCTCTTTGAGCCTTCATCTTTCTTTCCAGCTTCGGATGCACCCGCGCCGCCAGCTGCTTGTGCCGGCCTCTCGGACTCAGAGATCTTGCGCTTCTTTCTGGCGCTCTCATCCTCAGCGCGCAGGTCAGCAGGAGGACGAAAGGGGTTTTCATCGTCGTCCTCCTCTGGCGGCGGAGGTGGGGGTGGCGGCGCTTTGGAATCGCTTTTGTCCTTCTCCTTGTCGCCGGGCTGGACAAGGTTGCCGCCACGAACGCCGTCATTCGGTGTCCATGAGAGGTTGGCGAAGTGTCCACGTCCACCTCTCTGCGCAGGACCACCTCGCTGAGCTGGCCGTGCTAGTGAATCGCGTGCGGAAGGATAGGTGGGGTGGTTGGGGGATCCGCTGTACTGCTTGGCCGACTGCGGTTGGTAATATGGCACAGCTGGCTGTGGTGCACCATGGGAGTACTGATAAGGCGGCTGCTGCGGAGGGTAGCCGTGCATTGGCGAGCCTGCATGCGATCCATAATTGGAAGGCGGGTATGAGTGGTGATTGTATGGCGCGTGTGATGGAGGGTATCCGCCGTACCGCGGGTCGTAATGTCCTCGGCCGTACATCTCTGCGTCTCGGTCCCGTTCGTTCTTGCGCGAGGAATGGCTTTCTCGGCTCAACGAGCGCCTGCGATGAGACTCGCGACTCACGCCCTGCTCAGGGCTTGTGTGTTTATAGTCACGACCGCGCGGTGAGCGTGACGAAGGCAGGCGTGGAGCTTGATACCGGCCACGTCGCGGCTCTGGTGAACGCCTTTCGCGACGATGTTCTCTTTCTTCCTGAGCGCCTCGTCGATCTCTTTCTCGACCAGCTGGTGAGCGGCGCGGAGATGATGGCGAACGTGGACGTCGATGTCGATAGTCTGATCGGGACGGCGAACGGCGAGAGCGTCCGTGGTAGGCCTCGGCCCCTCTTTTCTGACCTTGCTCGAATGATCGCTTCCCTCGAACAGCGTCACTTCTGTAGTACGAGTCGGTGGATCGAGATCGACGGCGACTCGGAGGGTAATCTGAGGGCGGGCGTCGTGCGGCCACAGTGGTGTCGGTCGGTGCAGGTCGAGGTGACCTGGCTCGCTCGTCTCTGCTTTGGTGATGGCGGTGATTTCTGGATGGCGAAGGGCTGCGACTTTGTTTTCGCTTCCGATGTTGAGGATGTGCCCCTTCATGCAATGGAGATCGAGTGGTTGAGCGGTGGTGCGCCGGAGGTGAATGAGCTGGGCGACGTGGGTGGTGAGAGCTCCGATCTGCGCTTCGGTCCCTCCGCTTGCCTACTACCTGCCTGTCCTCCTCCACTCGGGAGTCTGCTTGCGAGCGCGAACGACGTCTGCTCTCACTGCGCCTTCGATGGCGGTGATGCTGGGGGAAGTGGTGGTGTCGGGAAAGGTTGCGGGAGGAGGAAAAGTGCGGAGGGTGAGAAGTGGTGGTGGAATCCTTGACGTGCTTCCGCCTGCCGCTCTCCGGGGATGCTTCCCGCCGCGCCGACGCCTCAGGACTCCTTGAACGCCGACGACGATGCCGCTCGTCTTCGTCCTCCTTACTCCTCCACGGTTTACTCGGTGCAGCCGCTGGTGGTGAGCGGGCCATGTGGTGCTCGCAGGAGAATGGCATCGGTCGGCGCAAGATCAAGGTTGCCAAGCAGACTCAATCGCCGGGAGATGATTCGCTCGTCCACCACACCCTCGCTCGTGGCCAACCCACGCAGCCGCAGGAAGAATATCACAAGAATAAAAAGATATGGCCGTGTGCATCAATGTCAGCTATACCGCACTCACCTGTCACACTCTTGAGGTCCATGTTGAAATGCACGTTCTGTCCTCCAACCGCCGCTTCTCTCTCCGACCCCCACCTTCTTCCAGTCTTGGCACGGCTTCGCAGTGAGTTCGCTTTGTTAGTGAGCCCGATGAACTATGAAGCGCACACCATGACCCAGCGAGCACATCAAGAAAAGCTGGTTGTCCTGCCACCCACAGATACATCACGTAGGCAATCTTTCTTTAGTATGGCCTCGACCTGCCAGGCTCGCAACAGACCTTAAGCCGGCCGCTGGTGCGGCAGCATCACTGGCCAAACCTGTCTGCATATTCACGACGCTTGCTGTATCATGTCTTGTTAGTAGTCAGGACCAAGGTAGCTACATTTCCAGTGAGGCCAGTGAGACTCGGATCGCTCAAGTGAACAATTCCTTCGGCTTCTTCAACCCGGGTAAAGTCTCGCAGGAGGTCGTAGTTGGTGCACTTGGGAGTGAGAGCTCTTCGGAGACAGACCATGCTGACGCTGTCGGGCGTGGGCATCGAACTTGAGCGAAGGCTCGTGTTGGTATAGTTGATCTAGTGATCATGCTTGAGCTTCGCTGGCCCTGACATGAGTGGCGCCTTCATCTGGAGGCTGGACAGTTTCGACCAATGCCGTCCATCCGTGATTTCGTCGGAGTAGGAAAGAAGCGAATGGTCGTGATTGCAGAGCCCAGGCGAATGAGCAATGGTGGTTCCCATGGTCGTAGAGACTGTTACAGACAAGAGGCTCCTTGTCCTTGCCGAGACATCCACATCGTGTCACAGTATGCGCAAACTAGCTAGTAAGGAACCACATAACATCCGCCACGGCCAGCCACGCCGAAGCAGAGTGAGTAGTGCTGGAAGAAGCGAAGAGCGCCGCCATCATCAGCCAGAGCACCACCAGTCTGCTACGCATCTGGAACCCATCAGGCCTCGGCAGTCAAGTGAAGATGTATGGCAAGAAGGTAATGCGCGTTGGTCCCGGTGCGCACGCCGTGAAAGATGGCTCGGGAGGCGGCGAGGACAGCCAGTGGGCAGTCTGTCTGGCGCAGAAATGCATCCTTCTAACCTTCGATCGCCTTGGATAAACACACAACCGCCATGCGGATCGTGGCATGGCGTCCGAGGATGGGGGCAAGCATGAGGAGTTGATGACAGAAGAGGTGGATGATGTGATGACATGAGGTCGAGCAGAAGACGCCCGCACGTCGGCAGCACCCGGCTGACCTTCCTCTGAGCCAATGACGGAGGGCAAAAGACTTCACCTCTCGAACCTCACGCAGCAAAAGTGTCCCGGATGCTTCCAAACGGAAGATGGAAGTCGAGATACAATGAGGCCGACACGGACATAATGGACTGGCTGTTCTACTACATCGAGGCCGCCCACTCCAACTACTACCTCTAGCTCTCCATCCCTCCGACCACCGGCCTGCGAAGGCTGAGAAATAGACTGCGAAAGTTAGAAGGACAGGACCACAACCGCAAAGATGGACACCAACCCAGCCATCCCTACTCGAGCCAAAGGCACCGGCGCCCACTTCGTCAACGGTCACAGTCCGCTCCATTCCTCCTACTCCGCCGACACCGACCGTTCGGATCGCGAGAGCACCTTCAATGCGATCAAGTCTTCCATGGGCCCTCGCAATGAGCCCCTCGATGTTGAGGAACTGCAGCTCGACGACACGACCAACGGTCAACGATCGTTTCACGGCTCCACGGCGTCTCCTAAGCAAAACCCCTCCGCACGGCAATACGAGGAAGTGGCAGACGGCGACATCGAAGATCTCGATCAGAAGATCTCCGCACGCGATCTACGAGACCAAGTACCTCTCACGCCCCCAGCAACGACTCGATCTGCCTCCCCGTTCGTCTCCCAAAACCCCACCATTGATTTCGACGGGCTGTCCTGGCCCAGCGCCGGCACGCTTTCCCGCCTTCGCGAACGAGAACACCCTACAGATGCCGAAGCGAGATTGGAGAAGCTTTCGGGAGCCGTGCGAACGATACTGGAGTGCATTGGAGAGGATCCAGACAGAGAGGGGTTGCACGGCACCCCGGAGCGGTATGCGAAAGCCATGATGTGGTTCACAAAGGGCTACGAGGAGAACTTGCGGGACATTGTGAATGGCGCGGTATTCCATGAGGACCACGATGAGCTCGTGATAGTCAAGGACATTGAGGTGTATTCGCTTTGTGAGCATCATTTGGTGCCTTTCACGGGGAGGGTGTGTTCTCCCTTCGCTGGATTTTATTACTCCCGATCATCGGCTGACTGCTCTTCCTCTCATACAGATGCACATCGGCTACATTCCATCCCGCCGGGTCATCGGCCTCTCCAAACTCGCCCGTATCGCCGAGATGTTCTCCCGCCGGCTTCAGGTCCAGGAGCGACTGACGAAGCAAGTGGCTTTGGCTCTCAGCGAAGTATTGAAGCCGCAGGGCGTGGCGGTAGTTATGGAAAGCAGCCATCTGTGTATGGTGATGCGGGGCGTTCAGAAGCCCGGAGCAATGACAACGACAAGCTGCATGCTGGGAGCGATGAGGAAGAGAGCGAAGACCAGAGAGGAGTTCTTGAGCCTTCTTGGCAGGAGATGAGGCTTCGTCGATTATGGATAGAGGTGGGCCACGACGGTACATTTGCAGCGCTGGTGTCTGGTGTTGGAAGCAAAAGGTTGGAAAGCATGCTGGGATGGTTCTGCTTGGGTGGCCGGTTCAACAGGCCTTGCTGGAGGGAGTGGGAGGGGGCGGCGACCTTGTGATACCCAGGCCATATGTGCGCTCAACGCGGCGTAAGTGACTCTTTGCTCATCGTGTTCAAAATACCTCTCTGCCCTTGCGGAAGATAAGTACGGTGTCACCGTTCTTCATGTGCCATCCAAACCACGACTTGACTTCATCTCCGACCACTTCAGGCTCAGGTTACACAGGGTGCATGTGCTCACAGCCTTCCTTTTCTGGACCCCCGTGAAGCACTAACCAATCTTCAACCGCCTCGTCACCTTCATCTATCAGGTCGCTCGCCTCGAAAAACTTCACCTCGTTCCTATTGTCCACCTCGTATCCCACAGCTCGCCTATTGTTGTTGCCACCGCAACTGACCCACTAACATTTACACCTTTTCGACACCCACATATCCTCACAACTTTTGGTCAAGTAATGGCACTCGGCCGCCTTTACTACACCATCGCCCTGCTTTTCTGCTGCACACTCTACTGCACCTCCCACTACGACGCCAGTTGGCCTTCGCGTGGTTGGAAACCCACCAGCGGTTGGGGCAGCAAGTACAAGCGCCACGAACAGGAGAAACAAGCAAAGGCGCGCAAGGAAGCGGAGCGTCAACAGAAGAACGAGAGGGCTGGGAAACGGGCAGTGCGCAGGGCGAGCCATCTTGTGGAAGAGGCCGAGCAGGACTTCCGGGAGGGCGAGGAGAAGTTTTACGCCACGCGAGTCGCACAGAACGATGAGTGGAATGGAGATGAGTACTGGCGCGAGAAGGCCAGACGGCGAGCCAGAGATCCAAGAAAAGGGAGGAGCGAAGGTACGGATGGAGGTGACCCCGTCCGACCATGGCCGTGATGGGGTGACAGCGACAGAGGCGGAGGCGGGCGGGCAGGCGCGGGAAGAACATCGTCCTGCCCGCAAGAAGTTGAAGATCGAGACGAACATGGACTTCAGCTACGACGAGACCGGAGCGCCAGTGTTTTCGTCTTTTGCGAAGGGTCGAGCAGTTGAGCATCGCTATGGTGGCAAACCGACGGACGGCAACGCAGCGCTGCTGGGTCCGCAGCAAACACCCACCAACTTCCTGAGGACACCCAGCCTCAAACATCTCTCGCTCACCACACCGGTCACCCCATCGACACCCGCATCTGCTGTTCCACGCAACCCCGACGGCAGCTTCAGCCTCCTCAATGGCTTGTGCCGCGACGACAGCCTGCTGCTCAGAATCGTCGGCCACCTCACCCTGCCATCGCTCAACTCGTTGTACGCCATCAGCAAGACCTTTCACTACCTCTTCAACCGCCACCACACTGCCTTTATCCTCGCGATGGTGCGTACATGGGCGTTTGGCGCAGAGACTATCTTCCCGTGGCGCCACTACAAGGCTCTCTGCGTCAAGGACCCAACACAGATCCAGAAGATGCGCATGGTAGGGAAGGCGGGAATGACGCGGAAGCAGTATGATGATCTGAGGAAGCAGTGCGATGATCTGAGGGATTGTCCGGGACTGAAGTGGCTGGCGATGGTGATCTGGCGGCAGGGAGTTTGCGAAGACATGCTGGTGCAGCTGCGTGTGAATGGGCTCTGGTGTCCGCCTGGTACGCTGGAGTCGGTAAAGAAGATGTGGTTCTTGATGGATATGCCGCTCAATGCGCTCCGGATCCCGCTGATCAGAGACTCGAAATACTTCTCGAACACCATCCTGCAGAACTTTACGCACTTCATGCTGAAGGTGGACATGCTCTTGACAGATCCAGTTGCTCCACAAGCGCCAACTGATCACCCGAACAAGAGGCTTTATCCGGAGAAGCATGACCTGAAGGTGCTGTGTGGAGCTGATTTGAGAAAGATGTTGCTTGCAGAAAAGCAGATGACTGGGCTGTGGCGCGTGATCAGAGGATGGAGCCCAGACCCGGAAGACGGGCAGAGGGAGATCACGAATTTGGATGTGTTGAGGCTGTGGGTGAGGCACGAGTACCGGCATCCTCAAGGCACGTCCGAGAAGAAGAGGAGGCTGCCGATCATGGGCATTCCGTGGTATGAAGTGGGCATGGCAGGCATGGAGAGGACAGGAGTGGCGCTTGCAGTTGCCATGCCAGATAAGAGCAAGGCCCAGCAAGGAGGACAGCCGCGTCCTCAAGCACAGCAAGTCGCCGTCACGCATTCAAGCGTGGCAGGCTCCAGCACCATCTCAATACATCATGCTCATGCTCAAGCGCATGGGCAGGCACAGTACGGCACCCCAAAGATGAAGCCACGCGAGCGGCTGTTCCGCCCGGACGAACTGGTGATGCGGGAGTGCTTCAGGCGGGGGATGAAGATGCACAAGAAGGTTGTCAAGATGATGGCGTTCGGCTTCAGCGATGTCCTTGGGAGGGAGTATCCAGTCTTGAGCGAGGAGGAGATCTTGAAGGGGTTGAGAGGGAATGGAGAGGGGTTGATGATGGGTGTTGATGACATGGATCCGAGGGTTGTGTTTGGTGACGGATGGGAAGAAGGCGAAGAGAGCGATGCAGACAGTGAGAATGGCGGTGAAGGCAGCACAGAACAGATGATGGAGGAAGATGATATGGAGATGGTGGATGAGTTGATGAGCGGTCAAGACTGAAAGGGGCGAAGAGCAGGAGGTCAAGTATGCACATAGCCTCCACGTCGTCAATGCTCCGTTGGGTATAAGACCAATGATCAGCCGGACTCATCCACGATTCTCGATTACACATTCTCCAGCGCTCGTTGCCTGGAGTCCTTGGGTCGCACTGTTGACCTGTCGTGGAGCAAGTCGACGGTTGGCGGAATAGCGATACCTGGTAGTAATGGATCAATGGAGGGATTCATGAATTGATGAATTGATGAGTTGGTGGATTGATGAGTTGATGAATTGATGAGCTCATGAATTGACGAATTGATGGATTGACGAAATGACGAATTGAATGGATTCGTGGATTGATAGATAGATTGATGGATAGATGAACTGTTCTGGACGTAGGGTATTGATCGATCGATGGGTTGAACTGCCACTGGAATGCCTTAGCAGAAGTAGCAGCGCAATAAGCCGAGGAATTGATTGTGGTCTCGTCGTCGAAGTCTCTGAGCGTGCAGCCTCGCCATGTTGGGTCGATGATTGATGAAGTGAATTGCAAATGGATTGATAGAAAGCGGCAGGTGCGGCTCAAAAGCGCCAAGAAGACGGGCTGGAGCTCGAGCTAGGCAGGTGCGGTGGACCTTTGGTGTGGCATCCCAAGGCATCGGAGAATAAACAGGTGCATGCTAGGTCTGCGTCCCAACCGTCCCTTCTTGCGCCCGCGTTCATCCTATCTCGACCTCATCCATCACCGCGACATCGAGCAGCGCTCGCAGTTCAGACTCGGAGGCCCTGACCGCCACCATCACCAGCCCGTGCGGGAAGAAGAGATTGTTGTCGAGCAGAGCGAAGCCGTCGAGCTTGCATTGCCCGAGAGTCCCGAGTTGCTCAAGTCGACTTCTGCAGAACCCATACCGAGTCCAGCGAGGCTTGAGAACGAAGAGCAAGAAGTAACCACTTCGAACTACACACCCAAACCCACCACCAAGATGGGCTCCACCGGCGAGGATGAGTTCAAGGGCGGCCGCGTCTTCTCCATCTCCGGCCCCGTCATCATTGCCGAGAACATGATCGGATGTGCCATGTACGAGCTGTGCAGGGTCGGCCACGAGAACCTTGTCGGCGAAGTCATCCGCATTGACGCCGACAAGTGCACCATTCAAGTCTACGAGGAGACTGCCGGTGTCACTGTGGGCGACCCAGTCACGCGCACAGGCAAGCCATTGTCCGTCGAACTTGGTCCCGGGTTGATGGAAACAATCTACGACGGGATTCAGCGGCCATTGGCGTCCATCAGCGAGAAGAGTGGGTCCATCTACATTCCCAGGGGTGTTGACGTGCCGGCCTTGGACCGCGAGAGGAAGTGGGACTTCACGCCCAGCGACAAGTTCAAGGAGGGCGACCACATCACGGGCGGCGACAGCTTTGGCAGTGTCTACGAGAACAGCTTGGTGACCGAGCACAAGATCCTTCTCCCGCCGAGAGCTCGTGGCACCATCACCCGCATGCCAAAGAAGGGCAGCTACACTGTGGACGAGAAGATCTTGGAGGTCGAATTCGATGGGCAGAAGACGGAGTACAGCATGGTTCATCCATGGCCGGTGCGTGTGCCTCGTCCTGTGGCGGACAAGGAGAGCTCGAACGAACCTTTCATCGTCGGGCAGAGAGTCTTGGATTCGCTCTTCCCTGGTGTACAGGGTGGAACTGTGTGTATTCCAGGCGCTTTCGGTTGCGGCAAGACGGTGATCAGTCAGAGTGTCAGCAAGTTCTCCAACTCGGACATCATCGTCTACGTGGGCTGTGGCGAGCGAGGCAACGAAATGGCTGAGGTGTTGATGGACTTCCCAGAGGTATGGCGATACTTGCGACACTACTCTACATAACCTCTTTGCTAACATCTCTTCCTACAGCTCACCATCGAAGTCGAGGGCCGCAAGGAGGCCATCATGAAGCGTACCTGCCTGATCGCCAACACATCCAACATGCCTGTGGCTGCCCGTGAGGCTTCCATCTACACGGGAATTACAGTGGCCGAATACTTCCGCGATCAAGGCAAGGCTGTGGCCATGATGGCTGACTCGACCTCACGATGGGCCGAAGCTCTTCGTGAAATCTCTGGTCGCCTGGGAGAGATGCCGGCAGATCAGGGTTTCCCAGCCTACTTGGGAGCCAAGTTGGCATCCTTCTACGAGCGTGCAGGCCGTGTCATCTGTCTTGGCTCGCCGGACCGCAAAGGAGCTGTGAGCATTGTCGGCGCCGTGTCCCCACCAGGCGGTGACTTCTCCGATCCAGTCACCAGCAGTACGCTCGGTATCGTGCAGGTGTTCTGGGGTCTCGACAAGAAGCTGGCCCAGCGGAAGCACTTCCCGTCCATCAACACCTCCGCCTCGTACAGCAAGTACACCACCACCCTCGAATCGTACTACGCCAAGGAGAACCCAGAGTTCCCGCGGCTCCGCGACCGCATCAAGGAGCTGCTGTCCAACAGCGAAGAACTCGATCAGGTGGTGCAGCTTGTCGGCAAGTCTGCGCTTGGTGATGGCGACAAGATCACGCTCGATGTCGCCACTTTGATCAAGGAGGACTTCCTGCAGCAGAATGGATACTCTGACTACGACCAGTTCTGCCCGCTCTGGAAGACGTTCTGGATGATGAAGCTGATGATGGGCTTCCACGACGAGGCGCAGCGGGTCATTGGACAGGGACAGAGCTGGGCCAAGGTGAGGGAGTCGACTAGCGACATCCAAGCTGGTCTTCGTGGGATGAAGTTCGAGGTGCCAACGGAGGGCGAGGAGAAGATTGGCAAGAAGTACGAGGAGCTGTTGCAGAAGATGAATGAGCAGTTTGCCAGCGTGTCGGATGACTAGGTGGATGAACGGGCTTGTATGTACGGCTGAGGAGTTCTCGAGTATGGATAGATCATGAAACACTTGACAAGCGATATCTCCGCATCAGTCTACCTTCGGTTCGTGAGATGAGGACGAATGCGGTCGGATTAAAGCGAAGTGCTTGCGCCACTCTCCAGGCCGCCGCCACTTTGGCTGTTTGGGTCGGCTGCGGCCGCGGCCGCTGTTTCCCTGTCGCTTGGCACATGCAACATCACGTTCACTGCTGGCAAGGACAAGCGTTGAAGGCGACAGAATAAACTCTCCCTCTTCTTATACCACCTGCACTGCTGCGCTTACGATATTCACGACTTCTCTATACTCTGCTCTTGCGATTGGCACTGGGCTATTATTCTTGGACTCGCGACAAGAGCAGCAAACGCGGATCGCGATCTTGGAAGGGGAGATAACAACACTGCATTTGAGGCATTTGGCAGAGCGCAAGCATGGCGCAGACGAATCCTAATGCGTAAGATGATCCTGCCAACGAGGAGATGCCGCGGGAGGCCTGGCGAATGCATGCTGACCTATTTGCGACGGCAGGATCAACGTCAACGACCCTGGGTTGATCACGCTGGTCAACAAGCTGCAGGATGTCTTCACAACAGTCGGGGTATGTACGATGAATATTTGACGGAGGCGACGGGAGCATCTGCAAGAGGCGCCCGGTGTAGAAGCGAAGGACATGCTAACGGAGTACTGGCGCAGGTCCAAAACCCCATCGATCTACCTCAGATTGTCGTAGTAGGATCGCAGTCAAGCGGGAAGAGTTCGGTTTTGGAGAACATTGTTGGCAGAGACTTGTAAGCTACGCCGCAGGCTTCCCTCGACCGGAGCGCTCGGGGAAGAAGGGGTACAAAGGACTATGCAGCTAACTTGAGCATCGCATAGCCTACCTCGAGGAACTGGCATCGTCACACGAAGACCGCTCGTCCTCCAACTCATCAATCGCGCCGCCTCCCCCAAACAACAAGCAAACGGCATCCCAGACACGGACACCAAAGTCGAGACTACCGACGCCGCGAGCAACACCGACGAATGGGGCGAGTTCTTACACATCCCTGGCCAGAAGTTCTACGACTTCAACAAGATCCGGGATGAGATTGTAAAAGAGACGGAGTCCAAGACGGGCAAGAATGCTGGCATCTCACCCGCGCCGATCAACCTGCGAATATACAGCCCGAACGTGCTTACTCTGACGCTGGTGGATTTGCCCGGGTTGACGAAGGTGCCAGTCGGAGATCAGCCGAGAGATATTGAGAAGCAGATCAAGGACATGGTGTTGAAGCAGATCTCGAAGGGCAACGCGATCATCCTGGCAGTCACGGCGGCGAACACGGATCTGGCAAATTCCGACGGTTTGAAGTTGGCGAGAGAGACTGACCCGGAAGGACAACGAACGATTGGTGTATTGACAAAGGTCGATCTGATGGACGAGGGCACGGATGTCGTGGATATTCTGGCTGGGCGCATCATCCCCTTACGGCTGGGGTACGTGCCAGTGGTGAACAGAGGACAGAGGGACATTGAGACGAAGCGGGCCATCTCGTCTGCGCTAGAGAACGAGCGAAACTTTTTCGAAAACCATAAGGCGTACCGGAACAAGGCATCATATTGCGGGACTCCCTACCTGGCGCGCAAGCTGAATCTCATCCTGATGATGCACATCAAGCAGACACTTCCAGATATCAAGGCGCGCATCGCCGGCAGCTTACAGAAGTACAAGGACGAGCTGGCTTCGCTGGGCGACAGTATACTGGGCAACAGCGGCAACATCATCCTCAACATCATCACCGAATTTGCCGGCGAGTACCGGACAGTGTTGGAAGGTCACAACGCTGAACTCTCTTCGCTAGAGCTATCAGGCGGCGCACGTATCTCCTTTGTCTACCACGAACTCTACTCCAACGGCGTCAAGGCGGTCGATCCATTCGACAACGTCAAAGACGTCGACATCCGCACCATGCTCTACAACTCCTCCGGTCCGTCGCCAGCACTCTTCGTCGGCACCACCGCTTTTGAAGTCATCGTCAAGAAAGAGATCAGGCGCCTCGAAGATCCCAGTCTGAAGTGTGTTAGTCTCGTATACGACGAGCTTGTGCGCATTCTCGGCCAACTCCTCAACAAACCCCTCTTCCGACGGTACCCACAGCTGAAGGAGAAGTTCCACGCCGTCGTCATCTCCTTCTACAAAAAATCCATGGAGCCCACCAACAAACTCGTCCGCGACCTCATCGCCATGGAATCGTGCTACGTCAACACTGGCCACCCCGACTTCATCAACGGCCACCGTGCTATGGCCATGGTGAACGAGAAGTACAACGCCGCGAAGCCGGTGCAAGTGGACCCCAAGACCGGCAAACCCCTCCCTGCATCCGCCGCACCGCCGCGAAGTAATAGTCCCAGCTTGGACTTAAACGGCGACCAAGGGAGTGGCGGCTTTTTTGGCAGCTTCTTCGCCAGCAAGAACAAGAAAAAGATGGCGGCGATGGAGGCGCCGCCGCCTGTGCTGAAGGCGAGTGGGACGTTGAGCGAGAAGGAGACGCAGGAGGTGGAGGTGATCAAGCTGTTGATCATGAGCTACTACAACATTGTTCGGCGGACGATGATTGACATGGTGCCGAAGGCTATCATGTTGAATTTGGTTGAGTAAGTGGATCTTGCCCCAGCGGGCTTGTGGTTGATGTAAGACTGACTTCATTCTCAGACACACCAAGGAGGAGATGCAGCGCGAGCTTCTGGAGCAAATGTACAGGACGAACGAATTGGACGACCTGCTCAAGGAGAGCGACTACACCGTGCGGAGGCGGAAAGAGTGTCAGCAAATGGTGGAGAGCCTGGGACGGGCGCAGGAGATTGTCAGTCAAGTGCAGTAGCGTGGTGGATGCTTTGGGGTTCTGCAGGGTAATAGAGCTTCAGCGAGGCATCGTGGTGTTCGGAAGTGCAACGAGGTATATCCAGTTAGCGTGGTCTGTATTGCTGGTACGTTGCAAGATCGACTTTCTTTCTCTTCCGTGGCGCTCTCAGCCAGGAACATCTCCGCCGCTTACGTTTCGCTGCCGTCCTCTTCACAGGGTTCCCCATTCCTTCCTGTCAATCACGGCATTTTCGAAATGTTCAGTATGAACTGAAGCATCCGTAGAGCTGCTGTACCAACTCGAGACAGCACGCCACTCCTCGTGCGTGGACGTCTCCCGGATCCGAGTCTAACAAATTCTTGTGGTACTCTTTGAGGTCGTCCGAGTGACTGGCAAGCAGACCAACAGCCATCATATGCCAGCTACGTCAACCCCATTGACAAGATCTGCCGCCGCCATACTTCTCGCATTGCCCTCTTCTCCCGCCTTCTGCTTTGCCCGTTCCTCTTCCGCCGACTTGGCCGCACGCTCGGCACGTTCGCTGTACCGGTCGTTGAACAATTCAAACTGCTGCCGCATGATGATGGTGTACTTCACAAACTCCTCCATGCAGTCGACTAGCCTCTCGCGGTTCCCGGATGGCTTCATTCGGCTGCCTCCTTCCGCCTCAATGTACGATTGATGATCGTTTGGATCCTGGGCGTCGGTGAACTGTGTGTAAGCTTTTGGAACGGACGACTGGTTCGGGATCGTGAACATGCGCATCCAGCGGCCAAGGATCCGAAGCATGTTGACGGCGTTGAAAGATTGTGAGCCCCCGGAGACTTCGGCGATGGCGAGCGTACGACCTTGAGTTGGACGCACCGATCCAGTGCTCAATGGAATCCAGTCGATCTGATTCTTGAACACGCCAGTCTGGAGGAGATCTCTCGAATTAGCTTGGCATGGTCAAAGGTTGGGGTGGCAATTAACGTACGAGCGTTCCATGCTGTTCCGGAGAAACCCAAACATGGCCATCACTCCATTTGCTCAGGTCACGCAGCTGCTGTACTTTTGGGTGGTCATGTTGGACGTCGTCCTTGACAGGCAGGCCTGCTGGATCGTAAACACGGACGTCGCAGCCCAGTCGGAAGAGGATGCGTGCGCATTCCAAGGCCAGAAGTTTTGAATATGATCTGCCAAAGTCTTCAGTCCAGCTGGCAGGAGTTGGGCAAGCCATCGGTATGCTCACCGACTGCGCAGGCTGCCGTAGAGTACAAGGACCTTGAGCCTCTCGCCCGTGCGGTTCATATCCACCTCTGCCATCTTGAGAGCGGTGCTAAGCTCGAGCTTCGAGATCCAGTCGCTGTTTGCAACATCCTGGTGCAGTAAGAAGGGTCTGTGCAGTACGCGGATGTCCTCGTTGTCCTCCTCTTTCTGGATGGCCAAAGTGCGCTGGGAGTAGGCAGGGTCGGGTGGGACGACTGAGCTCTTCCGTAACACTTCGGTATTGTTGAGATCGCCGTTGACCCGAGCCGTTGATACCATCTTTGCAACTGCTCTGGCCGGAGATATTGTGGAGAGGAGCGTTGGCGAGAGGAGCTGTTTCTCGTAGGTGGTCTGAAGCTTCGTGAGGGCAACCAACTGTCCAGCGAGACGTGTGTAGGTTCGGCGCATCGAGAAGAAACGAGGCTGTTCAGAGAATGAGAACGCACAAGTACCTACCTTGCCCTTGTTTAGGAGCAGCACCTGTTATATGTGAAATGTTCTGCGCCTAGCCTCCATGAGACGATGCGTAAAAGATCCGTTGCTGAAGACGTCGCTGTTCCCCGTGCTCTTGTCTCGTAGCCAATCACACGGCCTGGGTGACATCTCTCGGCTTCAAGAGTCTTCCGAGCAAGCCTACGTATTTGCAATCCGCCGCATACCTAGGCTTATTATCCGACCAGGAGGCCGAGAGAGGAACAACAATGCCATCTTCATGCAAAAGCATCGTGCTAGCTCAGCGTCCCAACGACCACATTGAGCCTGATACGTTCAGGGTCGAGGAAAGCTCGGTCCCATCAGAGGCATCTTTGAAGGATGGCGAAGTACTCTTCCAGAGCAACTACCTCTCGCTGGATCCCGCGATGAGAGGCTGGCTCAACGATACGCGATCATACATCCCTCCCGTGAAGATAGGCGCTGTCATGCGAGGCAATGGCGTGGGGACGATTATCGCTAGTAAGAGCGCCAAGTTCCGTGCGGGCGAGGAAGTGTTCGCCATGTGTGGTTGGAGCGAGATGGCTGTGCTCAAGGAGGACGTCGTCGAGAAGCTCGGTCTGCCTTCCAATGGAACTATGACTGACTCTCTGGGCGTGCTTGGGATGACCGGCCTGACTGCCTACGTACAGAACCCATAAGCCCTTCTATATGACATCTCGCTGATCATCCGAGCTTTGGCCAGTTCGGGATATTGAACGTGGGCAAAGTGAAGAAGGGCGACTTTGTAGTCGTCTCCGGCGCCGCGGGGGCCACTGGCAGTGTCGTTGGCCAGATCGCTAAGCTCAAAGGTGCTACTGTGCTGGGAATTGCTGGCTCTGATGAGAAGTGCAAGTGGCTGGTGAATGAGCTTGGCTTCGACGATGCCCTCAATTATAAGGATAGCAACTTCGCGAAGTCGTTCCGTGCTGCTACGAAGCAGCTCATCGACGTCTTCTTCGACAATGTCGGCGACGAGATTCTGGATCTTGCATTAGGCAGAGCAAAGGCGCACTCGACATTCGTGATGTGTGGAGGCATATCCCAATACGTTGAGTGACACGATGGACCTGCATTGCAGTGAGGAGCTAACTTTTCCTTCTTAGAATACCAAGAACGCTCAGGGCCCGAAGAACTACCTAATGATTGTGTCGATGAGAATAAGAATGGAGGGCTTCATCGTGTTTGATTTCGAAAAGGAGTATCCTGCGGCACGGAAGGAGCTTGCTCAATGGCTCTCGGAGGGGAAGATCAAGCGGCAGGAGACTGTGATTAAGGGTGGCATCACCAAGATGCCGGAAGCGCTGAGAGCGCTGTACGATGGCGTAAACACTGGTATGTTCTGCACCTGGAGTCTCGGTACGTCTGCTAATAATGTCAAGGCAAATTGCTAGTACAAGTGAAGGCGCCTGAATCACACCCGCGGTCCATGCTGTAGCTACGCAGTCAACGTACTTTCTGTCGCATTCGCTACAATCACTCGCTTTGTCGGTCGCTTGTGTCTCACGGTTGCACTGGAATGTTGAAGCAGAGAATTGGCCGTTGATCCATCTTAGCTTATGAAATCTCGTACCGGATGCTATATACAGGTTGCTGGGCGTAGATCCCAACCATGCGAACACGATACTTATCGTAGGAGTATACGCGCTTCACGAGAGGCCGTTGCCTTCCGAAAGACGTATAAAAGATAGCAACTTACGCTATACTGTAAGATTTTAGATTACCTTTCCTTATCGTTAGCCCGCTTAAGCCTACGTATTACCGGTTACCGTCGCCTTTAGCTACCTTACTATAGCTCTCCGCGTACTCTATATTGTAGTAGTAGCTACTATTATACTCCTACTTGTAAACGCCGCTAGCTACTACGGAGCGGCGGGACTCGCCTATAAAGATCTCTATAGTATTAATAGTAAGACTAATTATAACAAAGTCCCTATAGATATTACGACTACCTACTAGTAGGTTTAGCACAAAGCCTTTAAGATTAACGACCCGCCTTATATACGCTATTTAGATGTTACGGGCAAACGTCCGAAAGGGTTAGGGTTAGGGTTAGGGTTAGGG